AGCCTAATTTTTATTGTAAGAATCTTACAGTGCTATCAGCGACGTGAACTTTGGAAGTTGTTACGTGGGTAATTTTCTGGCTGTCCTTGGACGCGAAAACGGCTCCTTTTTCTCCAAGTGTTAATATGACCGTCTGAGCACCTTTTCCCAAAAGGAAATCAATCGCCCTGCAATTAGTAAAGCATGCACGCATTTGAACACGTTGTGTCAGTGGCTCAGTAATAATTCAGAGGCTACAAAAGTACTTTTGATAAGACTCTTCCGAATCAACCGGGAATCCACACAGGAGTTCAGCTTCCGTTTCGTTAGGACATATAATATCCAGAACGTTCCAGAATGCTGCATTTAACTCGGATGTGGCAGGCGCTGGATTAAAAATGGAGCGCACTAGGAGAAAATCACGGGATGTATTACCATTTGCTCAGCTGCAGCACAAATGGCTTCCACTATTGGACCCGCTATGCAGTTCACGCGATATAAGCACATTCACACAGAGTTTCTCCGCAAATTTCTAATTTTCAATTTAAATGATGTAGATTTGCTCGTGCATCTCCTTACCTCCGTCAGCCTTAGCAAGCTTAAGAGCTTCGAGCGATGCTTCTTGGGACACCTCCAACTGGCAAATAACCATCTTGGCCGCCTTGATGACCTTTGCAGCTTCCGCAACGTTCTTAGCAGTCAGCTTTTCATTGGCGTTGGCTGTTATGATTATACTGTTCTGTCCTATAAAACTACGTCCATAGTACTGTAACGCAGTAAAATTATTATAATTAGAGAGATACAGCACCACGATCGTTTCCCAATCGTTGAAGGGATATATATATACTTCCTGAAAGCGCGACCACTCGTATATGCAGAAAGGTCAAAATTGTGCTTTCCTTAATTACCGTTACGGAGTATGGCTATGAACAAATAGCTTTCGCGACTTACCGGATGCCTCTACCCATATCGAAGCAATACCCGTTCGGCAGTTCGAAATTTGTCGCAAATAATCTAGAACGTGGAAACAAAAATGGCTGCATATTCCCTTTAGAAAATGTAATTTTGTGTTTCGGAATTCACTTAATAGTGAATTCAATTCACGCGTTTGGTGAAGTGGTCGATTGCCAACCTCTACGCCTGCCAAGTTCAAAGCTTCTACTTTAAATTTACTCACCGGTCGCATGTGCTTACACATTTTCAGCACACTGGATTCATCAAAAATGTATTTACGATACAACAGTGGTGCTCGTATTTATCGGTTATTACTTATCACTGTATATTTATGTACTCCATTCCGTACTTGTGTCATGAAGTAAATTATATTCACAAATACCATTAATCCGAAAGATAAAAAGCCAGAACGAATTACAAAACAAATCATTCGTTATTAATGCAAAATGATTTTCGTAATCATAAATCGCAATTTTAAAAACAGAAAGTACAAACTACAGAATATCATACTGTATTTCATTTTAATCTGTAAATGTGCAACTCTTACGCAGTTTGCCAAATTCTTCGTTTATACCTGTATTCGCTCCAGAGTTTTCGAATTCCGTTTTGTACTGATGCCCAAAATCATCGTCGCCCACCTAAACCAAAGTTAAAATTCCTTTTCAATCGCTTTTTTTACAAGTCCCGGAATCCGTGCGGTTTCACGCTGACAAAAGAATGCCAGGGGCAGCCACCACGGAAGTAAAAGCTAAGTTAGCCGCAAATCGCAGTATTATGGCACAGTGGCATAGTAGCTAATGGTAAAGCTAAAATTATTGATGTTAATTGTTAAATTAAGTAAGTTTTACTTCAGTTTTCAGATTGCCTTACCGCTAAACTCCGCTACATAAGTACCTTTCGCATTTAAAATTTAACTTGAAATTTAGCATAGATTTTGTTTCTTGAAGAAGAATTATTAATGCGATCTTCTTACGTTTCCAATCATAGCAGTGTGCGCACCTAATCTCTGAGCAGCGACGCACTGGTTGGCTCCTTTCCCACCGAAGTTCTGCGCGAAACTTTTTCCATGAATTGTTTCTCCTGGCTTCGGGATACGTTCCGTTACGCTGCAATTTATCAATAAGATGAGGTACGTTTCACAAAATATGGTAGCTGGTACTTGGTAGGATAACTGCGCAAGGCCTGACCTGACTAGGTCGATCATCAGGCTTCCAACAACAACTATTTCAGCCATTCTGTTGTCTCGTTTCGATGATATCCGCCAATAACGATCGTTTCCGAAATGCTTGAAAGTCTTGACGATAGCAAGGTGTTGGACTTCAAAAATTATCTGGCTCTGTATTTTTCATAAGATCTTTATTGTTCCAAGCGATAAAGCGATTATTAGACTAACGGCAGTAGCGCACGACATGCATGTACTGTACAATACTGTACACAACACGACGCAGCTTGTGGCAATCAGCTGATTGTATCGACCAAATTGTACTGTACCGTATTCAAGTTGTATACAGTCATTACAGTGTACATTACAGTTATCAATTATCTATCGGTGGTTTTAATAAAATCTTTAATTTGATAAGTGCTTGTACATGGTGAAGTAATTTTAATTTGAACTTATCTGAAGTGAAAAAGCGCACGCGAATAAAACCTGAGTGATAAATCATAATAGACTGTTAGCTGATACCCATATTGTAATATGGACGTGGTAAATATACCGTTTGCGGCTTACATAGATAAATAATTTTGGTAACTCTCAATAGTCAACACCATGTTAACATCAAGAATCTAGCTTATCAGGGAACTGATTTCTGATAACGCGAAAAATCGATGACGTTGTGTCATCAGTTTTTTAGCATTAACCATTTGGCAAATCGGTGCATTGTTAATACGGCTTCGTGAAACCGCTCAGGCTTTTAGCGGTGCGATCCCGTGCGCAGGTATTGCTCGTGTTTAGATTTTATTAAAGATTTTTCTGTTTCAGGGTTCGTGATTCACTTTTCAAATCCATCTGCTCACATACGGCTGCACCTGGCTTTCGCTCAGTTTTAACGGGTCTTACTTCTGGTTACTTAAAGTTACCGAAGACAGGTAAATACTATCTATACATGGCCCGCACTGCACGTACAGTTTCACAGCTCTGTTGATTGCTATAGGCCTATAAATAAAATTTATAAAATAAAAATTACGTAAGTAATAAATTGTATACATAAAACGAGTTGATTGGGGTGATGTGGAGCCTGCGCTTAAAAACCTCGCTGCTTTCGTTTTCTTTGATCTATCGGTTTTTGCAGTTATTTTGGTTCAGACTTATAACAACCATAGTTTTTGCCTTCTCATTTGTACAGTACTCGTATTAGCAGTTAAAGAATCTACTCTAGAACTAGATCAGTGTCGTTTACAGTGTGGATTCCTAGTTTGTCGTTAGTATGATTTTATTGTACTGCTTTGATACCGACGTCGTGCACTAAACTGGGAATTTTTATTTAGGGCGCCAACCATTGCCAAAATTGATGAAAAGAATGGCAAGCACGACTTCTCCTGTTTATGCCGATAAAAATATCTCCGCGGAGAAATCGGGGATTTTTACACCTACCCTGAACATGATGGGATGGCAGCAGAATGCACTAGATGAGTATTTGACAGAATTCGTTAACAAATCTCGCAATTTCACCCGACCGGTTGCCGATGTGGGATGTGCCTATGGCTTTGTGACGAAGAAGTTGCTGGACGAAGGCTTAACTGTTATTGCCAATGACCTCGAGAAGGAACACCTGTCACAGCTGTGGAATGAACTATCACCGGAGCAGCAGTCGCGATTGAAATGCCATCCCGGCAGCGTACTGGATGTGGAACTGCCTGCTGGTTCTCTGGACGGTGTAGTAGCAGCTAGATTACTACAGTTTTTCACCACAGAGGCTGTCAGGAAGTCCTGTGATTTATTCTATTCCTGGTTGGCGCCGGGAGGGTATTTATGCATCACCAACACTTCCCCGTACCGCGGCACAACCGATGATTTTATTGCGCAGTATGAGAAGAATAAAGCCGATGGAATGGAATGGCCGGGGATTACGACGACAGATTCCTTGGATAAAAACCGACAGAAGCGAATTGTTGTTGCGCAGACCGGCTACCGTTTCGATCCCGAAGTTTTAGCACGGGAAGCGCGTCGAGTGGGCTTTAAAGTGTTAAAGTGCTCCTACTACTCCACACCGTTTCTGCCCGATGAATTTCGCTCGGCGGATGGAGTGCGAGATGCAATTGGATTGATGGCTGTTAAAGAGTAACAGTTGGCGCACTTTGTTCCGTGGGCAATTACATAATGTGTGTGAACTGCAATAGACCAATGTGTCTTCTTTCAAGGTTACCCGGTGCTTGAATTTGTCTAATTGGCTGTGCGTTGAATAAAGTGTTTTTGACGCAGAGATAATGGTTGGTCAATATGACAGAACCTTGATGTTCTTAATAAAATTATTTATGGTGTATACTTTGTTTGTATTGTGTGATTGATAGTTGCGTTGTTTAGAGTTGTGCAAAATAGTACAATTCGTCAGGGTATTTTTTAACTTAAGATTTCTCCACATTTTATGCACATAACCTCAAATTTTCTAAGCAAGGCAAATAAAATGCCAAGCGTTTCGTTAAAGGATCGATTTTATGCATTGCGGTGCTGTTAATCAAATGACATCCAGGAGAAGCACGCAAATCTGGCCAAGTTGCCAGTCCCCAAAAGTTGACCCGCTGTATGCAGATGGAACTGCTAATCGTCTTTGTTGTGCACTTTTTGTTGATTTCTTCAATCAGGTCGCCTACAAAATAAAGCGCTCTAGTAGTGTGAGCAATAGTAAACAGAAGTTGCGTTCAAAATATTCAGTACAACAAGCTGAGAATTTTTATCCGTAACTTGAAAGGTATATATCTGGATGCGTTACTCGTAAAGAACGTTAACACTGACCGGTAATGTAGACATCGTCGATCCAGTGTTGGCGGACATGAAAAGCTGTGCGCAACAGTGCGGGCAAAGTAGCCGCCGAAAACACATAAAGAATTCCTGATGCATACACCGGAAAAAGGTCAGCGTAATACTCAGCTTTCGTGAGAAATTGCGCATGCCGCGTATCCCGAATTACGTTGGTACCCGACTGAAAATGGAAGCCCACCATGAAGTGGTCGTAATGCAACGTTTTCAGGAACGGCATGATAAGGGGAAAGTTTATCCAAGTATCATCATCCGCCTTGGCCACTAAGGGGGCTTTACAGTGTTCCGCTGCCCAATGAAAAAAGGATAGAACCAACGCGGTTTGGTTGCGGTATCCATCCCGAACGCGGCTGCTCTGTAGCACATCACCGTACATAACGCTTTCCGTGCTAATAAGCGCTTGCACTTTGCGATTCGTTTGCTTGCCGAAACCAAAAATGACCTTTACGCCGCACGATGCTGCAGTAAGACCCCATCTGTAGAAGATGTTAATGCAGCTTAATACAGTCCTCTCTTACATTAAACATTTACTGGAATGTGTATCTTACGTTTCTCTTATAGCAGCTCGCATATCTGCGGAAGATGGCCGGGACGAAACGAACAAAATCATTGACGGTATCCTGTCATCAAGCAGGCAGCTTTTCGGTTGGAACGTCGATTCCGCGCCGGTTTTGGTAGGCTTCTTTCGGTGGTGGTTCGCTTTAAGCTTTCCATGGCCAATAAAATGTCCTGATGAAATATGTCTGGTAAAGCGTACAAACGTTTCAGGGAGATACTCTTGGGAACCAGTGACATTATTATGCATGGTCGCACAGCATCCTCCTTCCTCATTCAGCGCGTCTTGCATTTGCCGGTGCGGACTTGTGTTATGCATAACGATCACCAGACTTCCGATCAGGACTACGGAGCCCATACAGCATACTATTTTCAGACAATTTCTCAGGTTGACAAATATCATGTTTGATGGCGTGTGGCTTTCATCTTTTTTGATATGCAAATTAAAAGAAAGTGCAAGAATAAAAATTAGTGTGAGCAAAAATTAAAGAATCCTGGTTTACTTACGTGATCGGTAGTTTATTTAATCAAAACATAGCTGCATTATCAGTGCGATCTTTGTAAAAGCACACGGCATCTACATGACAGCGAATAAATAACTACAAATCTGCATGGAGATTACTCTAGGTGTTATAAAGAGGCGACATCGCGTCGGCTGTAATTAAAAGCGACTGTAAGTAATCGTATACCTTTTTAACCTTTATTTTTGTACGAGTATCGTACTTATCGTTAATGCACTGTACCGTGCATACTTTAAACTTTAAAGTACTGCGCCTTAAAAAACACATCCGCCAAAACGATGAAGTATTTGCTTGTGAAATCCTTGTGTACGCCGTGCCGTCGGGTATGTACGATTCCACCAACCTATACAATTGTACGATGAATAATTGTACAGTACAATGCACACACAGACGATTGTATTTTAATTTAAGACTTTAATTTCATGGGCTGAATTAACGAAGAACTTTAAGTATCTTTTATAATAAAGCTATAATATATGTAGCGTTTCTCCATTATTCATAATGCATCTTGCCATGGCAGTACAAAATCTCTTTTAGTACCGCCATCATGCCATGATCTTACCTACGGGTCAGTTTAAAAGAGACGATATCTTGATAAATCATTTTTGAATATATTGCGTTTAATATACGTATCAATAACAGTTTGGAATTCGGAAACCTTCATACGTAAGAAGTTTCTTTCATTTGCCGAGGCTGCATGCAGTGCCATGTACATTCCATGCACGTTATACGTTACAGATCTGAAACCGAAGTCATTTGTTCGGACTCGAAGGTAACTAGCAAACCGACGTCCACAGATGTAACTATCACCGCAGGAATGCATAAAGGGCATTACCGCTTTAAATACTACATTCCTATTGGATTTTAACAAATTTATTTGTAACGACCACGGAGTGAACCAGCACTTGCAACTTTGGTTAATTGGGTGCCAGCTAATGTAAATAAACGTATTTTAACAAATTCAGCCGGCAGTGCAATGAGTGCATTGCCATATCTGTACTGCAGTTATGTTTCGTTACTGCAGTTATGTTTCAAAAAGAGTTTTTTAGCTAAAAATGCTTGTCTATGATTATCTTATAATCTTGGAATTGTTTAAGCGGGATGAAACCTGTTGCTAAAAATGACATAAACGTAAATTGTAAATAATTTGTTTTACTATAGTCAATGAAACTATGCCGACAATAAGCTTTGACGTACGTATTATGCATGCGGAAGTCGGCAAATGAGCGCGTATTAACCGAGCCGACTTCGATTGATGGCAAAATATGCAAGAGTGAAGTCACGCACAAGAGATCTGTGGGACCGTAATAAGTTGTTCGGCGTTGACTGGCTCTGCCTGTCTGTTTCACTTCGTGTCCTAACTTTGCTTTACAATTGTTAGTAACCATAGACATTCTAAAGATTGCAAGATTTTTTGTTTCATTCGTTCGATTGTTTGATTTTTGAAAACTATTCTGAATGCGCAAAATGTAATTTGGGGTTTATAGTAATTTTGTTTTTATAGTTTTCTCTACTGATTTAGGATGAAAGACCGCGCGAAGTGTCGCACAGCAAGATTCTCGTCAAATTATCTGACCCGATTGTTTTGATGTGCCATCTGTGTGTGCTTCGTTTATGACGCTGGTCGTCGTCTACGTGGACAGCGCTGGACCATCATTGCAAGCTGGGTTTCCGAGCAGCTCAGCAGTCCCATGGCGAATTTTTCGCGCTTTAAAAGATATTTGTTAATCGGTCTTGGATTATGGTTTGTTATGCTGTTTGGAATTTCTCGCATGTTCATCGTGACGGATTTGAATTCCGATGGAAACGGAACAGACTTGGAAAAACTACTGGGGAAAAATGCACCTCCCGAAGAGGTGCAGAAAATTAAATCCGCACTGGAAAGAATCGACAAATTGCAAAAACAGAATGATAATCTGCAAAGGCGACTGCAAGACCTGCGGTAAATGAACCATGAGCATACCAATATAATGGTTTTGGTGAGAGAGCTGTATTATACACGATGAGTATTATCCACAATAAAATATTTTATCAGTGGCGTACTCTGATCACTTAAGATTGCCCGGGCTTATCAAAATGTAAATTATTACTGTCAATGTTTATTACTGTATTTTTATTACCTGTGTTTTTGTGTTTATTTTAGACGGTCTGACAAAGATACCATAAAAGAAGTGCGCGAGAAGGGACTTTTTGCGTCAGCTGATTGTAAGTGTAGACTGTGTAGTAGTAGAATTTTCTTCGTTTGTTTTCGAATCATTTCTTAAGATATTTCCTGCAGACACCATTAATAAACTATACCTGGTAGCAATAAAGTTTATCCCATTTTGCAAAAAATAATATAAAAACATTTGTGCGATTTGTGACGCTTGTCGATCAATTGAGAAAAAGCGCGCATTTTGCCGTGAAGTAAGCTTTTTGCATTTGTGTATCTCTTAAAATCAGAGATTATGATTGGCCGGATTAATAACAGAAACGAGTCAGATTTGCATGATGCGGTGGATCTCGTGAGGACAGAGGAAGGAAGTGGTTTAGTGTATTTTTGGTTCACGCAAATCGAAGCTATTTCGAGCTTAATTATTGAATTTAATAAAAATTTGATCCCGGATCGGTGCATTAATTTATTTTCTTCATCGATTTTCGATCTCCGTTACCATTTTATATCTTATGAAATTATTCCAAGTTTTTATTCTTAACTAGCCACCTGAGCAGCGGAATAGCCTTTGCGATGCACCACATAAATAAAAATTTGATACAAAATTTCAGTGTAAGGTTGAGTCGAAATAAGTAATGCGGCGTTACAAAATAGGAAACTGTGGCACATCGAGTGGTGGGAATATACAGAGTATGAGCGCAAAAGTTTATCACCTGTATCCATGCAGAAATTTCCACACAAGATCATTGTGTTACCGCTTCTTTTTCATTTTAACGATTTTGACTATCATTGGACTATGTGACATTAAAATCGGCACTGAGGTTTTGAGCACACAACAAACGTAAATATCTGAAGAATTTATTCAAGTCTGCATGCATTACGAAATTGCTGCATAAATACAGTGGCCGTTTAACCGTTAAATGTATTTTTTTATAGGAATTCCGTATTCACAACCAGAGTTTCAGATTTTTTAGCGCTTGTGCTGGATATCTTAATCCGCCATTTAATGCTGATCTATGGCGTGAGTTTTTATATTTGCAGATATAACACCGACTAAAGAATTCGAGCTTGCCAGAAGGCGACTGGAAAATGGAATTATCGAATTTTGGCGGTATACTTCAACCCACTTGAAGAAGCTTTCTGAGATGAAAAATGCGGAAGAGGCGCAAAATTTTGCAAAAGAGATGCTAGATTTCCTCACAGAGCATAAAAGGTACGATTGTTCAACTGTTTGATTCCTGATTGTATGGCAATTGAGATTATACTACGACAATCAATCCCGAATTGATCGTGCTAGTACCGATGCAGGAGTTGCACGACTGTAGGGAAAATCGATAAGCGAGTCGAAGAGTTTACTTTACTAAAACGTTCTTTAAGTATTCTTGTCAGGCGTTGTTTGAGGGGAAAATGTAGTCTCTTGCATAATAATTTTCCGATGGCATAGTCTCTAGGTTTATTACGGATTGTACAAAGAATCCCGATCTGTATTTGTTGGCTGTTGCTCTGACTTGAGGAGCGAACCGGTGTTAATACAGGGCAATTATATTATTAGCGGTGTAGTAGTGTGAAAACTTTATAGGTCATATTTATGAGGTTGTAGCGGTAAATGGAGCAATGTGCGTAATATTCAACAGACGCTTACGACACCGTATTGTTATTGTAACAGTACTTATCGACTAATGATTTAAAACAGTTTCTGATGATATAAATTCTAAGGAATAGTCTTGCGAAAATTTGGTTGCTTCACAGCAGAAAACATTTTTTTTGGATTATAAGCAAACTCTGACACGGTTGTGCATAATAACTGCATTCTGCATTAACAATGTAAAAGACTGCGTTTTTGAGACATATAGATATGTATGTTGTTGTTCGAGTCTTCGAGCATTCCAGTCGATTCAGAACACTGGTTGCAAACATCGCCGTCAACTGATGGGTACTGCTGGCATGTTTCTTTGATCTTTGCATCGTAAGTTTAGAGCAACAACGAGCGGCTCGATGCAGGACACAGTGTTTGCATGGCTGCTGTTGGAATGAATGCCATAAATGCAGAGAAACAATGTTGCGCCGCTTAATCAAACATTTCTTTAAGTCTCGCGAAGCTTGCATAAGCTCGAATCGATTCGGTGCTTGTTTTTCCGGCAGGGTAATTTTAAAAGATATTGATCAAGTGGAACAAGCCGCCGGACTTACAGATTGGAAGACCGAAAAATCTCGAGAAATGACCAAAATTGTCCAGTCCCGTTTGCATCGTCTGCAGGTATGCGCTATCCAGATCGCTCTTGAATCTTGGTGCACTTTAATTTTAAACTGTTCGTGAAAAGTGTTTACGCGAAATTTATTAACAAAGCGACTTATTAACAAAGCTTATTCTTGCATCCCACAACACTTTATTCCGTTGTTATTGTTATGATAAATATCCTGCTGTATATTAGGCATTTCAGATTTTGTTGCCCTGTTGCTTCGTTCATGTCTTTATTTAAGTACTTGTCTATTTTGCAGCATCCAACAGACTGCAGCACAAGAAAGCGTTTACGCTGCAACCTCAACAAAGCGTGTGGTTTTGGTTGCCAGATTCACCATGCCACTTATTGCCTTATCGCGGGTTATGCCCTGAATCGTACTGTGATATTGGAATCAAAAAACTGGCGATATTCCAGAAAAGGCTGGGAGTCAGTCTTCTTGCCAGTTACTTCCTGCAATGCCGACGGTTACCAGGCGAAAATCTGGAAAGATGATAAAGCGTCCCGACAAGAAATGGTATTGGATATGCCCATTGTTGATAATGTTGCCGGTGCCTCTCGGTCGCGTCCAATGTGGTTGCCGCTTGCTGTGCCCGCCGATCTGTTCGATCGAATACACGCCTTCCATAAAAATCCCCCGGTTTGGTGGTTAGCACAGATTGTGTCGTATTTATGGCGATACCAACCGGAAATGAAAGAATATCTCGATGAAAAATCCACTAAAATGGGCTTCCAGACCCCGATTGTTGGGTAAGAAAATTCCTTGATGGTGGTCCGCGCGGTTATTTGCGATATTTTAATTGCGTGGTTCAACCTAGTGTTTAAATATGGTTTATGCGCATTGTGCAATGCATGTACGGGAATTAAAACATTAAGATTTAAGATTTCTTCCTTAGTGTGTACTGTGTTGATATTCGTTTATTACAATTTTTTACGATTTTTATTGATTACGTGGATTTCATTTTCACAGGGTTCATGTGCGACGGACGGACAAAGTGGGTACCGAAGCCGCTAAACACGAAATTGAAGAATATATGCGTTATGTCGACGAATATTACGATCAGTTGGAGGTAACAAAAGGCGAGAAAGTGCCAATTCGTCGTGTCTATCTCGCGTCGGATGATCCCAGTGTCTTTCAAGATTGCAAAACAAAGTACTTACACAGTGCATGCGAGACATATTCCGGGAATAGTGCGTGATGCTTTGAATAACACGTAGATGTCTTCAGGTTTCCCGCTTATGATGTGGTGGCTGATGTGGACGTGATGACAAATGCTGGACTGAGCAAACGCTATTCGGATGAATCTCTTAGGGGAATAATCTCGGATGTCCACTTCCTTTCTCAAACAGATTATCTTGTTTGCACGTTCTCTTCTCAAGTACGTAGTTTTTCATATGAATAGTGATGATTACTGATTAGCATCCCATAGAGAGAGAATGAAAGCGAGGTCTTCGGCACTGATTTTCTTCACCATTCCCCGAGATTTTCTATTTTAAATTGGGTTTCTTTCGTCTTGTGCTTTAGGGTTAAAAATTTACAGAGAAAATCTTTGTACGTAGTTTCTTGAATCATCATGCCAATAACTACTAGCATGTTCTTGCTTTGTAGTTGAAGCTACAGTCTGTTATTGTATTTTTATATACATATATATATTTTTTAACGACTGAAATGCACTTACTCTACGTAGCCATCGTGATCGCTGAATGCTGGTAATGCTACATTGGCTAATAGAATTAAATTGCCGTATTTTAGATTTGAAAGCTCTTATTACTTCAGGTTTGCCGGTTGGCATACGAAGTCATGCAGGCACGATTTTCTGATGCAACTGATCGCTATAAATCGCTGGACGATATTTATTATTACGGAGGACAGAATGGCCATCAGTTTGAAGCTATTCTGCCGCATACTGCCAGGAATGGCGAGGAAATCTCCTTCGCCAGAGGCGATTTATTGGGAATCGCCGGTAATCATTGGGATGGATTGTCCGTAGCCGAGCACGTTAAAACGCTACGCAAAGGCAAATTTCCGTCCTACAAGGTAAGTTTTTTTCCCCCAGAAAGCGGGAAATCGGTGATGATGATCGAGATAGAACTGTGTATCATCAACTGTGCTTCTGCAGGCCGATGAGCATTTTGTGACGTATGATATGCCTCGTTATGAGGATTCGGTGGATCTCTAGATGTCGGCCGTTTCGAGTGCCAAAATATTAATTGAAAGTTTATGACGAATCTGTGGTGAATTTTTTACGGTGTTAAACGTTTTACTTTTTGAGGTAATACTCATGACCTATATTTTATACTCAACTTGGTTTTACGTGTTTGTTATTTATGGGAGTGTTTCTTTTCGTACTTGCAGCTGCATTAATTAATGGAATCGAATCTGATGCTGGGTTATTTTGGTTGTTGTTTTGAATTTTATCGTGCTGTTGCATACTCAATTCGAGACAAGAAAACGCAGAATTGCGGAAACATACTGGTTCCTTTGCAAACAAAATTGCAAACAAAAATTTCCAGAATTTCTAGTTCCTTAAAATGTTTTATTTCGTATTTATTCGAATTTGATGGAAACGTAAAAGTCTCCGCAAGGATCTTCGGCATTCAACTGCGGGAACAACATGGCGCGTCCGTTCAAATCAACCTTAACGGTCAGTTTACGGCCTTCGGCGGTCAGATCGAACTTGGTACACTTTTCTTCGTCATCCGTGCTTTGGCAGTTCTCCACTTCTTTGTCATCCACAAGAATAGATATCTTCACTGATCCGCCCTCGGTTTTATAGGGTAGCGACAGGTGAGCGCTCTTGATTTTCCAGTCTGCCAATAAACGAATATGAATAAAAATTAAAATTCCAGTATTACATTGAACTCGGGAGTTATAATGCTCGACCGCCGGTTAATATTATATGTAGTCCAAGAATCGAAATACGCAGTTAGAACAGGCAATTACCGGGATGTTCGAAATTCCATTCCAAATGTCCATCTTCCCAGGAGTACAAGCAAGCTGTACAGTTGTATGACTGGCTTTCAGCCGCGGAGTAGCACGCTATGCTTTTTTCTTGGGCCGCCTGGCTTTGGTAGCCTGTTTTATTAACCAAAAGTTTGTTGCCCCATAAGACAAATAATTGTTGAAGTATTTTAAAATACCGGCATAGGAGGGTGACTGCTGCACTTTGCTAGTTATATGCTGTTATTATTTTATTATTCGGAATAACATCTCAGTCAGTTCTATCTTTTATGTACGATTTATACTAGGCCTGTATCGATAATTCGATTCTGGTAAGTACTGCCGCGCACTGTACGTTCAAAAGTAATAGGTATGTCCAAGCTCACGTGGACAAAATCATAATAATCACTATGTGAATCAATGTTGCTATCCAGTTGGTAAGAAGTAAGTACAATTTCATTACAATTATTACCAAAATACGGTATAGGAGCACTACGTAGTATTCAAAGTCGAGATTCCTTACCTTTTGTTTTTTCGGGATGTCCAGTGTTTTCTCCATGAATGTATGTATCGGTCCTGGTGTTATAGCGGAAGACCAGGCGTTTAGCCGCCAGTTCATCAGCAGTGGGAGCAATTGTTTGAGCCATATTGTGAACAGCAGTTAGCCGAACCGGTGTAATGAAAAACTCTCAAAAGTTTTCGACTACTTGCTCAATATAATTTTCAAACAACAGCGAGCACTCACAGGTCACAGCGCGACGGAACTGCTTTAAATGCAAGGTTGCTCCCAGCATGATTTGAGCAGAATTACTAATCGTCTGACGTTTAAATGCCCTTCTTTCTCCTTCGACAGCAGCCGGTGCCTGGTGCCACAGATAACAGACCGAGCTAATCTTTATATAAATTCATAAATTATGTAAGTGATTGGATCGTTATGCAAAGTTGCAACTTGCCGGTTGGAGACCGCACAGTACGCAACTGTTCTCTTTCAACGCTCGCAGCCACGGTTGAGTCTCTTCCCAGTATTTTCGCGTAACTGTAAGCGAAGTCTTTGTGTATTTTAAGATAATTATAAACCCTGGATGCGACGGTTTCCGGCTATTCTGCTATAGACGTTCGCAAGTCCGCCCTGCAGACACTGTTCTGTTTGCGACCGTGAAGGCATCAGAACTCTCGGCAATAAATCAGAGCGTTCTAAAAATACAAACACTGCAGCGCAAAACTCTTGTACAACTTGGATGATAGATACCAGAAGTATATGTAATTGTTTGGGATGCGCTTGCGTGTATTCGGTGCATATGTATTTGCAATTTGAATTATTAGTAAGGGCAAAAAAGGCTCGAAAGTTACTCGGATTTCGTTGTTACCTTAATTTTATTGTTACGTGACAGCTCCAAGTTATTAAATTTTCTATAATTTCTGGAATTTGAAAGAACGTGCTAAAACATGCTGCTTCTTCGGTGTAATAGATTAGGGAGTATTTTTGCAGACGTATTGTGCTTGCTATGCCTTTAAGTGCCGAATGCCGATGAGCCAAAAATTTACTACACAAGCACTGATAATGCAACAACGATAGCTTAAAAAACAGTATTAATGCCATATCAAATACAATAAGATGTAATAAATTAAAAAAAGCAAAAAAGTAGTGTAACAAGTACAGCAAAGAGGAAGGCGCAATATTACTCGGTGTTGCCAATCATCGCGATTAAAAAATATCACCTAAACCCAAAAATAATAACAAATACCAAGCCCGGATCCCGACACGACGCTCCACATAATACAGAGCACCTCTATACGACAACATCATGCAAAACAATATGTGACAAAACACATAGCTTTAACTCTCGCCCCCACTTGCGGCAGTTTTCTCCTCTGCAACTGAGCTTGTCCTGCGTTTTTTCCCCGAACTTAAAAATGTCAGCTGGTCAACCAGCTGCTGAGGCGTGAATGGTGATCCCTGGACCATTTTGTAGCTTTTTCGGCCGCGAGAAGAACTGGCACTGGCCGGAGTGGTTGTAGCGGTGTCCGTGTCGAATGTCTCGGTAATTGGGCGTTTCCGAGAAGGGATACTGCATCGCACCGTGGTCTCGGCATTCTCTCCGCGTTCCAATTTGTATTCATAACAATTTTCAGCTAGGCACAGCGAATCTCCGGGATAAATAATGCGACTCCAGGGATAGACTAGAGAATCGCCGTTAATCCGGGAATTTTGCAATTTGCCCAACTGGGTCACTTCCACATGGCCCGACGACGCCTTGGCTTCCACGCGGACTGTACACAGTAAATGTTACAAACTTACTACTTAAGCTGTTAACCAACCAAGTACGTACGGTGTTCCATCATAACCAGCAGAAAAAAACAAAACAGAATTATTAATCATTAATGGAATAAAATTTTATGAACTATCTAATTAATATAAATTTTATAAATCGTAAATAGCAGGAAAATTCAATCGTAAATTATAGAACTCCTTAATTCTTGTGCGTAATTCGGTAATTGTCACCAGTTCACCACTGTGCGAAAACAGTAAAAAATTAAAGGACATTTTAGCAAAAGGACGAATGACAGCATTCTGAATGACAAAGCCAAAGGACAGATGGAATTTTAGAATCGAAATCCAGAACAGTGTAAAATTTTTGACGTAAAATACTAAAAATAGTAAAGTACCCTTAAAAAGTTAAACCTCACCCTGTCTGCGGGACAGTTTCAGATCTCGTATTTGCGTTAAACGACATCGTCCCAGTGTAACTGCCTGAAATTTTAAAAATTACGCATTACCAGCTCGTCCAGCAATTTTTAGGGAGCCCGAAGTTTAAGAGATACGAATCATACGATGTTAGATTATCTTCGTTCCCATGTCAAGTACTTAAAAAATTTAAAATCAACAATATCTTACTTGATTGTCCTGCAGATATACTGTTGGTAGGCTTAGAGGCTTCATTGGATCGGCAGCTTCATCTACAGCTGCGCCTTCTTTGGGGATTTCGTTAGCCTGTTGAGTTCCGTTATTTTCGGACTCCTGGCAGTCAGTGCTTTCGGATAACTTTGGACTTATCACGGGAACTAGTTTGAAGACGCATCGAACGATGTCCTCTTCCAGAGTGCTCATTTCCGTAAGCACCTTGGCGTAAGTATTGAGCAACAGTACGCAACAAATCACGATGAGCGAGAGGATTTTTACATAAAATCTTTAGTAAACAATGATATATGAAAAATAGATCTATAGCGGCACAAGCTGGTTTTTCGAATTTGGAGCGACGAATCGCAAACTATCATGCAAAGAAACAAGTAGTACGTATTCGTAATTTACGTTTTAATAGAAGAACGTCAGTGTAAACAAACCAAGATGAACTCGTAAACTACACAGGAGCGCCGTTGCGCGACTGGGTACCGCCAAAACGGAAATAAAGCGAATTGTTATGATTGGCTCGAGTGTTCTACAAGTAACCCGACCCTCAGAAGTTAGCTACTGTGTCAGACCGACTTGCTCTTGTTGAAGACGAAAAGGAACCACAATATTAATAATCGCAGAAAGCCACAAGCAAACGAGCGAAAAATTCTGACATATTTTTGGTCTTTGGAGAAATTTTAATTCTACCACAAAAGCTCGGGTTTCAAATCCGTTTTTAGTTGTTTGTTATCTGCAGTAAACAATGCTCTATTTCCTTCTGGACTACGTCAGTCATTGAATAGATCAAGAATTATATATTGTAAAACTGTTATATTACGAGACTGCACGATCATGGCTGCCACCATTGGTGTGACGAAAATCGTGGATGAATTGGGCGAAGAAGTTATGAAGAATTTCTTCAACTTCTTGAATGTGTAGGTGCTAAAAAAAGCAAGGATGATAGCACTGTGTAATTTTGAACTCCCCATATCACTCTCTGAACTCGCTCTGCACATTCGGTGTGTAGTTGCCCTCATCCGGATGGTGATGGAAAACTGAAGTACCTGGAGCAGGTCCGTAATCTGGCGCTGCCTGACCGATCGTCTCTGCACATCGACTACGAAGATATGGAACGCTACATCAAAGAAACTTCCGAAACCCTGGCTGCTGATTATTACAGGTGCGTTTAATGATACAATGAATGAATGGTTTTGCCTAAAATTGATGAAGCGTGGTTTCTGCGTGGCTGACGAGTGGCTTGTTTCATTAGAGTGATGCCGTATCTAGTTCGTGCCGTTCGTCGATATTACGAAGAGACATTTGAGAATGAGCTGAAAAAAGAAATAACGCTGGATATCAAAAATTATCCAACTCAATGGGAGTAAGTTTATTATCGCGAAGAAATGCTCAGCTGTAGTGCATGTTTTTACCCTGTTATGTTTATCCTAGTGTTTGTTTTGCCTTCCTTTTTTTCTTTTAAAATATTAATGTATTACGTGTGCATTTAATATGGATACTGTTGATGTTGGCTTACTCTCTAATTCGCAAAAATGCTTGAAGTTTATTAAAGATTGTTTTAGCGATAGCAAATTCAAAACAAAAATATGAGAAATATTTTTACAGTATGAGAAAGCTGCGAGCGGATAAAGTTGGTGGATTGGGCATCATCACTGGTCAGGTGGTGCGTACTCATCCTGTCCATCCGGAACTGGTAGCCGGGACATTCCGCTGCCTGGAATGCCAGACAGTCAACTACAACATCACGCAGCAGTACAAGTACACTCTGCCAACAGTGTGTCGTAATCCCGTTTGCTCCAATCGGTCGCGATTTTCCTTGGACATAAGGAATTCGAAGTTTATCGACTTTCAGAAAATCCGTATACAGGAAATGCAGGACGAATTACCCAGAGGAGCGATTCCTCGCACGTAAGACAGACATTACAATGGTTCCGTTCGTTTGGAGAAACCGAATGCATAATTCTTTTTTCCGTCTTTCGTTTGGCTACAGCTTTGTTAAAAAAACATTTGTTTTTTGTTAAATTATTTATCTTTAGGGCTTCTAGAAGAATGCTACAATTTTACAAATGTTTAGAGTGGAAGTCATTCTGCGAGCGGAGTGTGTTGACTTAGTCCAGCCGGGCGACCGCGTTAAGGTCACGGGAACTCCGATTGTCGTGCCGGACGTTGGACAGTTAGCTGTGCCAGGTTGGTTGTCTATTTTCTCAACTGAAAACACGACCCGTGCGTAAAATAATGTAAGTTGCTGCACATAGGTGCGAGAGCCGAAACCTCCAATAAACACCGGCAAACTGAAGCGTCCCATTTGGAGGGCGTTCGTGGACTGAAAGCGCTGGGTGTTCGTGATCTCACCTACCGAATGGCATTCTTGGCCTGCCACATCGAATCTGCTTCTCCGGGATTGGATGGTGCGCATGTTAATCGTGAAAACCGTGAAGTCACCATTGAAGATCTCAAAAAGGAGATGACGCCAGCTGAGATCGAGAAGGTGATGGAAATGGGCAATGATCCGCGTATCTACGACCACTTGCTGGATAGCATGTTTCCAACCATTTACGGTGAGAAGCTTGCTGGATTAAAGGACAATGGTGGTCTGAATAATCTAGTAAGTCTTACACCTGTTTAGGAAGCGAAGAAGTGAAGAAAGGCATTTTGTTAATGTTATTTGGCGGTGTCGGAAAACAAACCAAAGAAGGCACACATTTACGAGGTGACATCAACGTGTGCATTGTCGGTGATCCTAGTACTGCTAAGAGCCAGCTGCTCCGGTGGGTTTCGTAGTTCTGACCATGACAATTGAACACTTACTGGAGGCAATGTCTTACTGTTTTGTACTGTATATGTTTAGACAAGTTACGGATTTCGTGTCTCGTGCTGTTTATACTAGCGGTAAAGCTAGCACTGCCGCTGGTTTAACTGCTGCGGTTGTTAAAGACGAAGAATCCCATGAATTTGTTATCGAAGCTGGAGCGCTTATGTTGGCCGACAACGTTAGTAAAAACGCAGATACTATTTACAAATTTTAAATCAGATCGCACATCGTATATTCTTTACAGTTGGCGGTGTGTCGTAATCTTGGGACTTTTTCCAGGGGGTATGCTGCATTGATGAATTTGATAAAATGGATTACAAAGACCAAGTAGCTATCCACGAAGCCATGGAACAGCAGACCATTTCCATTACGAAGGCTGGTGTTAAGGCTACACTGAACGCCCGCACATCCATCCTAGCAGCGGCCAATCCGATTAATGGTCGCTACGACAAGAGCAAATCTCTTCGACAGAACATTACCTTATCAGCTCCTATTATGTCTCGTTTCGACTTGTTTTTCGTTCTCATTGACGACTGTGATGAGAATGCTGATGTCGAAGTGGCCAGGCGTATTGTTGATTTACATCGCGATCGACTGGCTGAAGAGCATCGAACCTATTCTCTCAGTGAAGTCCGGAAGTACATTACTTTTGCAAGACAATACAAACCCAGGGTATGCAAAGTGCATGTCGCTATGTATATTGTAACCTCAAATGCAGTCATGTTTTTTCTGCATTTGTAAAATAAAATAAAAACTTAGACGTATACATATGCTAATTTTAAATAATTTTAAGAACACTTTATTACTCGGGATAAGAAAACTGATTTCGATATGAGCAGTCATGTAAACGTGGTTCAGTAGGCCGCTTGTTAAGCGCTTTGGGAAATTATTCAGTTTTTGTTTTTGCAGCTCGATCGAGAAGCCAAACGCTTGCTGGTGGATGAATACGTTCGCATGCGGCGAACCGATGCAAATGCCACAACAAAATCTGCATGGCGTTTCACTGTGCGCCAACTGGAAAGCATGATCCGACTGGCAGAAGCCAAGGCTAGGCTGCATTGCCGAGATTGGGTAAGTCCCGATTTTCTGTTTTGTTCGTCGCTGTCAATAGTCGTACAAGGGTAAGTTGGGTAACAACACTTCATGAGCTTTACGTTTTTCGATAGGTCACTGCCCAGAATGTCCAGGAGGCTGCGCGTTTGATCGAAAAGTCAATTGTGCATGTCGAACAGGCTGACTTAGAGATCGACGAGGGAATTCACGATTACAACAGAGAAGATGGTTTGGAAGAGCATGGCAACCCAGGTGAGTGGCGTGATTTAAGTACTGACAGACGGAAATATGTGGATTAATAATATTGTTTCTTTCCATGATGTGTTGCTCGTGTTTTTTTAAATGGTGAAGTTATGTAAAAAATTTTTAGAAGCGTTAAAATGAGGATACAATAGTTCTGAGGACATATACAATTTTTTTATTATGTGGTTTGGCATTCTTGTCGTCTTTGAACTATTTGGTGTTTAACGCTTAAAAGAAATTTCAGAAGGTGCAGATGCACCTATGGATGTGCAGCCAGCGGATGGCCAAGCTCCACCACAGAAGTTCACGTTGACTTACGAGGCATACCACAACATTGCCACGGCTATCATCGCTTATTTGAAAAATGAGGAAGAAAAGATTGATGGTAGGTAGAATCTCTGTAAGTTTTAGCCAGATAATTTTGTAAAACAAACACCCTTGTGTTTTCGGATAATCAGTGGGACTTGACGGGGAAAATCGGAAAAGTGATGTCGTCCGGTGGTTCATGCAAAAATTTGAGCCTCACGTCACGGCCGACGAGTTCATTGTCAAAACGGATCGGTTGAACAAGATCTTGAATCACATGGCCAAGGTGGACCATGTGATAATGTTTATTCAACAAGGAACCATTGGTGCGGAAGCGGCGGACGGCGACCAGCAGGGTCCGGCGGAGGATAACCCGATTATCATCGTCCATCCCAATTATCATTATACTGATGACCAGTAGTTGTGAAAGTAAATTGGTCATTGCATGTGTTTGCCTTTTTCAGACAAGCCGCTTTCGTATACGTCAGTTGCACTTGCCGTGTTATTGTCTTGATTGTTAGATTTTTGCGTGTTTTACTAATTATACCGATCCGTTACGCTGTCACCAATACAACTTCCGCTGTACTTGTCATGGTCTGGAGATACGCTCTTTTTGGTTATGACGGTATGTATTGTGGATAGCGCTTATCTGTACGGGAAGTATGGTTTCAGATTTAACATCAACGTATAAGATCCGATAACCAGCATATTGCTAATTCGCAAATCTTATCGCCGAAGTCGCAGTTTCGCTATAACCTTATCTAGTGCCCTTACGGCGTGGGAACAATGACACAACGTAAGCAACACGCATGTTTTTATGACTATGGTACAGCACATTTGAGCACTAACTCAGAGTACGCATTGCCAAATTACCAATAAAAATTTAGTTATTGGATTTCCGGCCATTTACAACGCGAGCTGGAAACCCGGCTTTGTGTTCCTTTAGATACAGATCCTGTGAAAATGTCTGGAAAAATCTTGATGATATTGTTAAGTGTTAGCACATCGGCTTTTTGCTTGGAACTGTGTCCACACGATTTGGGTGAGGTGGAGTTTAATAAACTTCACAGTTTTACGCTTTGTAGAAGCACTGTTACTCGTATATGCAGGTACAATACTAATTCGTCCGGAAAACTGCAATTAATTTCATAATTCAAGAAATTATTTAATTTCCAGTTTTCCCTTTTGTCCTGCTTTTTGTAATTTAAGCAATGGTTTAAAAACGATGATTCTAGTAAAGCGATTTTGTTATATCGCAGTATTTTGGTTGGGTTCCGTTTTTTATCTGTTTCGAGCCCCCTATTAAGGTTGTTGCAGTTTCTATAACATGTGAGAAGTCCAGAGCGATCGCCAATTTCCGATTCGACGCATTAGTGGCACCGGAATCACCATGGAAGGAATTTTCCGGCATGAATTTGTTTTCCTCCCTGATTGATTTCAATAGTAGCACTTTTCTTCCCCTGGAATTACATTTTGAAGAGCAGCGCTTATCACGCAGTTTAACGTATGAAGATTTTCTGCGCGAGGTAGCTACAGTACCTCCACAACTCTCCAGTAAAAGTAATATAGGTTCATATTTAACATGGAAAAAATTACGCAGGAAACGAATACAACAACAACGCTTAATAAACAACTTACTCTGGAAATGGTCTGGCCTGTAAAAGATGATGGATCCATCTATCGGTGGCCGTTCAGTGTGGAATGCGGCTTTAAAAACACAGTGGAACAGGAGAGTGCGCGTTTGAGTTTCCACGGTGGTGCGGATTATGGGAATGCCATTACGCTTGAAATAGACGGTGGCGCTGATGCTGTTATTCCACCTGGTCAGCGTGTCCACTTAACGGTTGAAATTCCTGCTGATCTACGTAAGCTTTTCTTTGAGCGTTTCTGTGATAATGAACTTCAAAGTTAGATAAATAACCTTTGTAGTTCACTTCAGATGCTGTGCCTGACACTTGCATCCTGATGCCGGGAGATGCCGATGTTGATCTTTCTCATGGACTTGCGGAAACTAATGCGTGCTTTCTCGTCAAAGACAGGTGAATTTGTTTACCAGGACAGTTTATTATTGTTTTTAAGAAAACTAGCTTTTATCGGATTATAGGAATTTACTGTTTTTTTAGAATGAAATCTTCGGAAAATTGCACGATGACTGGCGCCGATCCTGTCGTGTTGAACGTGAAAAGCAATGTGACGTCTAACGAGACCCTTTCGAAAGCTGTACTGCTGGAGTGGAACTCTTTTCTGTATCCAAACAGCAGCGGAGTTTTTACGGTTATCTGTGCAATGAGGATATGTAACTTTGCCGATAATACCATCTGCAATGTAGGATCTTGGACAAAATATTTCGTTTTGCAACGCACAAGCGATTTATTGCACGTTTCTTTCATTGCGTATACCTAATGCACATTTATTTATGCCAATTTAGCTGGATGGGTTTAATTCCCCCGAAGAAAACGATACGAGTATGGAAAAACTGAACATCGATTTGCGCGTCGACATTTTTAATGAAACATGGATTTATTATGTGACAAAAAGCTATAACATCCGGCTGCCTACGACGACCGAAACCACGTCTTCCACGGTTACGACAACATCAGCAACGATCTCGACTGGAACACCGGTTCCTGTTCGACGTAAGAGTTTCGTTTAGTTTAAAGATGTTATTACAAAAACACGATTTTCGGGTAAATTTCTACTTTGGAAACAAGTAATGTGCTTGTTTGAAATAATTATCTAAGCAATGTTTATACTTTATACACTTGCAGCGTTTTCGATTGATTTACTATTTCGCGCATTTACGTATACGCTAGCAACGCTACTTATACACATATTTTGCTGCTTATCTGTAGAAAAGTTTTGAAGTTTATTTGTATTAACATACAAATAACGCGAAGAAGTGCCAGACTGTCTGTTTACGTATTATCTGCATGCACAGCGGGAGCACGCAATGAAAATGATATCTGCCTTCCACCGGCGGAAATGTGGAGCATAGTGACCGTACCCTTTGGACTGATTATTATCGCATTGGGATTACTGATTTTCCTAAATGTGAAACTGAACAAGTCTACCAAAAGAAAGGCATTGGACAGTGTGCCAAGAGTGTCTGTAACAACGGAGCCAGTTCTCTTCCGGCGTCCACATTTGGTCCAGGGTCAAGGTCGGCAGAGACGAGATCGAGAGTACTAGGCCGGCAAATCGTCGTGGATTTTCTTAGCCATTTTGTATAACTGTATTTCTTGTCTTTCAATTGGTTTTTAAAGTCTGACAATACATTTAATGTGTTTCTCCGAACAAGCCGTTAGCGTTATCAAACTGCAGAATAAAACACTGTCCAAGCGAGACAAGTATACACAGTACGTAATTCGCTATGCATAAATTAATACAATACAAAGTTTGTTTGTATTACAAACCGTACAATAGTGTTTCAAATTAATTTGCAGCATTGCGGTATATAGGGGGCGATGATGAAAACTGCTGTAGCTGACTGATCGAGCACACGAAGTTTTACACAATGAAATTTATAAAGTATAAGAATTTGAACCGACCGCAATTTATCATTCAACTGCAGTTTAACAGTTTACGATGTAATGCAAAATATAGAAGGGTAAATGAACTTTTAAGACCTTTGGACTAGTTATGCTGTTCTACTTTCCATGACTGTTACTCTAAATATTGCCGCTACCGATGGACAATGACTTGTGCTTGTAAGACCGAAAGTCACAACATGCGACACATTATGAATAATTTCTTTACCATCTCCGAAGACCGTTCATCCTTGGTCATCTCCGCCGACGCTCCGCCGTAAGCAAAGCTTGTGTACCATAAAAAAACTTACCATGATTTCAAAAACTAAGTAGTCAGCGGTAAACCGTTCGGTTGATCTTTCAAAAATGAGGGAATTACTAATCGCATTAGCTATTATTGGTATGTAAATTGTTTCCTTAAGAGAAATTAAATCGAAAACTATATTCATTCATATGCCCAGTTCGATACAGTGGCGCTTTACACAATGGAATATTAATTACAGGCGCGGTTAGTGCCAGCGGATATGGCGGAGGCGGTTACGGAGGTGGCGGGGGTGGCTACGGTGGCGGTGGTTACGGAGGCTATGGAGGCGATATTTCCTTAATTGGGTAACAGCAGCATTACCGACAAAACCGTACACTGATTTTTTATACTGCGCATTTGTACTAGCTATCCCATGCCATACTTTGGCTTTCCCTTCATGGGCTATCCCTTCTTCCCGGGTCTTTTTGGACCGTGGGGTCTGGGATTTGGAGGATTTGGTGGTTTTGGATACGGCGGATTTGGAGGATATGGTGGCTTTTACGGTATGAAATACTCGTGCATACTTGTGTTTTAGCGGACTTTATTCCTTTGAAGCGATGCTGCTGCAATAATTTAAATAATTCAGGAGGCGGCGGTGGCTTTGGCGGCGGTGGTTACGGTGGTGGTGGCGGTGGTTATGGTGGCGGCGGCGGCGGTTACGGAGGTGGCGGTGGCATGGGAGGCTATGGCCGACGGAAATAAATCTTGCCGGCGCCCAGTTCTTGGATTGACTAATTGGAATCTCCTTTATGTGATAGAAAGTTAGCAACCCTTCTGCAGTGCACATAACCCATACCGTTGTTGTTACGTAATTTTAACATTGCATATATATCAGTCACGCCCATTCTCCGCAGTGCTTGTGTACTTGTCATCCGTGTGGTCAGTCGTGGTGCGCTTACGGCGGAAACATTAATGTTTTCTTCTGGAGTGCGAAATGTTAGCATTCGATCTTTTGTTCTACTGGTTTAGAACTTCTTTTGAGAACTTTCGGGATACTTGTTTTGGCAACGTGCTGTACTGTAATTAATTTGCGATATGCTCCTGCCTAGCTGTAATTTTGCATTAATCGGTTCAATCGAGTCAGTGTCTAGTCTTTGAATTCGCAAATGCCATTTGTTCAGTTGTTCATTTGTCTTTTCTTCCGTGATCGCGTTCCCAAATAAATTTGTGACTGTTATTCTTATGACTGCATACGACATGTGAAAGATACATCTAAATTACGTATACATAAAAAACTGTCACTACAATATTACTGTCGACCCGAACTGCGCAACTGCAATACTTTTGCATAGACGTACTTGTACATACGTGGGCAATAGGACACGAAGTTTCTATAAGATTTTGGTTCTATATCAAATGCTCAAAATGCTAAAAATGAATCACTTACTGTTCAATTGAGACGTCGGCTACTACTAGACTTTGTTTTGTTTGGCAATATTGAATAACCGTGCCATAATTAATAAAACCTAGCGGTACGGTCATTTCAGTCAGTTTAAGAGCTGGTTAACCTAAAAGTGCGTTGACGCTACCAGCTTGTTGGTGGGATTACTGATTGCAATTAACGAAAGTCCGAATCACAGTAAGGCCGCTTAACCAATTTAAATTTAACCTCTAGAAACAAATTAAAAACCACTGTGCCTTCATTACATAATTCTTTCCAGTTTTTCAACAGGCGTGTCAGCCACTAATAGTTAATTTCTTCGTTTGAATTTTTCTGCTGATTTTATTAACCATGACCTTTTCTAGAGTTATTGACACTTCTGTATACATCTTCTTCGCGCTGTCTCTATCGCTGCTCTTATTCGTATCTGGTCAGTCACAGAATTATGTAACAGATGCCTATTTATTCATAAGTCACATCAATTCAGTAAATGCAACTCAAAAATCTGGCATTATTTACAGGACTAGCATCTGCACAAGGATACTTTGGAGCAGGACGGAGTATTAGTGGATATGGGGGCGGATACGGGGGAGGTTCAGGAGGTTATGGCGGTGGATCTGGAGGTTATGGCGGTGGATCTGGAGGTTACGGCGGAGGGTCGAGTGGCGGTTACGGTGGGGGTGCAGGTGGCGCAACAGGCAGCACCGACAGACTAGACTGGAGTCCGGATTTACTGGCGGGGTTTCCCATCATGGGAGGACTGTATCCGGCTGTTGGCTATCCATTCTGGCCGGCTGCTTTTGGTTTTGGATGGCCGTTTATTTTCGGCGGTTATGGAGGCGTACACGGATTTTACGGTGCCCAGGGATACTAAAGAGCATTATGATAATAATTCAGTTCAAAAGATGCAGTGAATATTTGGTATGCTGTGAGTGGTTTTTTTGTTACGTGACTTAAAGATTTGTTGAAAGATTACATTGCTGATCTCTTGAGACAAAACCATGGTGATGATTAGTGGAGAGCATTTTTATATCGATTAAAAGCAGCGGACGTTTGAGTTTTGTATTTGCAAAAACCGCGCCTTTCAATGCGGTCGGATTAAGGTCAAGATCATAGAAAGAGACATCCGAACGGTTATTGGCATTGTTAAATATCAATTGCCGCTCATCTGCCCATCATATTACTTTCTATGTTCTAGTTTCCATGAATAATGCTCCTATATAACGTGTTTTACACGGCAATTGCACTTCTTTTAAGATCTAGATTATTTAGACTATACAAACGTATTTCTTTCGTTTTCCAGTTTTTTTTCCTTTCCTGAGCAACAGCATAACCGTAGTTAGTAAAAAGTGCCGACATTAAAGTCGCCAGCAGGATGGAACTTTGCTTATATCCTCTTTTAATTCTCGTTTTCGTAACAAGTAAGTAAAGGAACTGAAATGTTAAAATGCTAAATGCCTTTCCAATAAACGAAGAAGTGTCTGTGAACATGTGTCCTGCCTTAAAGCGATTAACGCCCAGTATGGCGGGTATGGAGGAGGAGGAGGCGGAGCCTACGGAATGCAGGGATATGGTGGCGGAAGTAGTTACGGTTCCACACGAAATGTAGCATCCGTGTTCCCGTCTCGTCCACTGTACGTATAATTTGATTATTTGTTCAGAGCTGATTTAATTTGTATTTGCTTTTTAGGTTCGTTGGTAAGATGTGGTTTTCGTGAATTTAATGTTGTATCAACACACTGACGTGCGAAATTTCTACCACGAACAGCGGCGGTACTACGGTAGTACGAGTATTATGCACAAAGACCAAAACTGATACTCCGCTATGCCTATAGAACTCTATAACTTTGAAATTACATCCCCTTAATATCGGTATATATGGATAATTATAAGCCGGTGTTTAATGCGCATTAGGCGGTCTCTACTTCCCGCCCACGTGGACCTTCGGTTTTCCTGGCGCCCCCATATGGCCGTTTTTTGGTGGTCTATACGGTGGAGGTGGATTCTATGGTGGTTCCCGCTTTGGTGGCGGTTACGGTGGTGGCTATGGAGGCGGTGGATATTAAACGTGTAATTACAGTTTGGGATATCTACACGCACGTTCCCGTCCTTGTTCCTGACAATTCTCTGTCCACAATTCTGCGATATGTTTCCTCACAAGCATGCTCGCTGTTCCTGGAGAACATTGTTAGCATCATTTTTGCACGAGTTGAAGTTTGCGGTGCATTTGTGATAATTATCTCATTTTAATTAATTTACCGTATGAAGGCACAAATACACATATATATATTCGCACATTTATTTATCTCGGAAAAGCTACTGGTATACAAAATACTGCTAGCTAGTAATTATATAGCTACCCAAGTTGTTATTATCACAATTGAATTGTATTTATTCACCAGGATATGCGTAATTGCGTATCTATTGTGAGTATCGTGTTCGAACTTTCGGCAATGTTTTTTGACTGGTCATAGGGACACTAGTTCCTACGGTAGTACATAGTATGTACAACATCAAAATTCTCTGTTACGCGTAAGTTAAAAGAACGCAAAAATTCGTTTAAACCCTGTACTTACCGAAAGTGCTGTACTACGAAGCTACGTACCGTTCTCGAATTTCATTGACAGCAAAATGTGGAAAACTTTTGCCGGTGTCGATGGCCTGATTACCACGATCTTATTAGAAATTTATTTATCAGAAATATGTTATTATAAAGGGGTCACCGTGAGAGAGCCTTAAGTACCATGACCAAGCTGGCCCAAAGCCGTAGGTAACGGTCGTAAGACATTTGGTTTTTCTAACCTTGATTATAACGCCCATCTGAGCGTGGATTCAAACAGCGAACACTACGCACAACACTAGCACCAGTAATAATAGCACCGAATTCTTCGTTTCTTCGACCGGAAAGGAATTGCGCATTATCGCTGAAATGGGCTATTTCGAGATCGCCGCCCTTTTATGCATGATTGGTACGCGACAGAGAAGAAAAAGATTATCAGTTTCCATTCTGTGTATAAATCGGCGACTTTTACACGATTTGAATGATCTGACCATTTTACAGTTTACACCACGGCACAGCCGTACAGCGGCGGAGGTGGTTATGGAGGCGGCAGTTCGGGTGGCGGTTATGGTGGCGGGGGTGGTAACTACGGTGGCAATACCAACACGGGTGGCTATGGTGGCGCAGGCGGATACGGGTCTACCAATGGATACGGAGCCGGTTATGGAGCATATGGTGCTGGACCATTTGGAGGGATAAACGGTTTGGGAGGATTCGGGTTTCCTTTTGCTTCAGTTGGCTACGGATTCGGTAAGTGTTGATAAATCACGTTTTTGACTGAAAATGGGGCTTTGATGATAGTAATGCAGTAGAAGTCGCACAATATATGAGCATTACATTTTACTAAACCATTTCATAAGCAACAAAATAATTATTATTATTACTAAAAAAACGGTTGTATGGAGTACTTCTGAGCCACAAACCGGCTTTTTCTGCAACGTGATTTCAGGTACGCCCTTTATTGCTCCGTGGATTTGGCCTAATTATTACGGTTTTGGTTACAATAAGGGCTACGGATTTGGAATCAATGACGGATTAGGTAAATGTAGAGCGGTATGATTTGTATTTTCAGTCGTTTTCGCTGTCTTCGTTTTTCTTTATTAAGTATGACTTTCGTTGTTTGTGACTTGTGAGCACGCAGTGTAACTGTAATGTAACTGATAAGATCGGTTTGTTTGACCCACCAGCTCTACTTTACATAATTATACTATCGTATTAAATGTACTCGTACTATCGTTATATTTATATAGGTGGCAGCTATCCCGCCGGGTACGGAGCGAGTAGCTACGGAGGAGGCGGCGGATACGGAGGCAGCGGGGGTTCATACGGCGGTGCAGGAAGTTCCTACGGCCGCAGATAGCCTTATCGCTTTGTTACTCTTTGTTAGTTCCTAACTTCCTACTATTATGGTTTATGTAAAAACGTTCAAGTTCGACACGACGACACCGTATTACTTCGTACTTGCTTGTATTGTTCGATTCCGATACGCAACAGAAAAGGTTCACTGATTGTCTTCTCCAACATTTTTCACGCATGTGATGATGTGAACTTCTTGCTGTATCTATACGGACCCAACCTATACGGACCCAGTTTAGTAGTATTCAGAAACTGGCTGACACGTTTGTCATAAACAATTTATTCGGCTATTCTCGGATTTTAACGCGTAAAAACCGATACCTAGGCAAACTCTTTAAAAAATTTATAATAATTAGATAATTTTTCATCGGAATTAACAACATAAAAAAATTTTAAAAAAGAAAATGACTGTCAACTAGGCAAACGTCCCCGTTCGACATCCCGTGCTGGCCTGGCACACGTAAAAGGAGGGCGTTCCAGTAAAACCATCCTAACAATAAAGATAATTATGTCTCTATAAGTTGCATCCTCGTTTATATTGACCACTTTTACAAGGAATCCTAATGCTTACTTTCATTGCCTTGATAGCATTGGGTACAGCAGCTCGCTTGACCAAAGTCACCGTACAACCACCAAATCCGCCACCGGTCATTCGCGAACCGAAAACACCGGGAACGGATTGTGCAGCATCAACCAACTGGTCTAACTCGACACATGATACTTCGTAATCATTCCTATTTAGAGAAACATCGATATTCTTCGCATAATAATTAATTTGTAAGCTATTAGTAACGATAACCTACACTTTAAAGACAAACTTAATTTTGATGATCAAGTGATCCATACTACCAAAATTTATTTATTTTGGTTACCTGAGAGACGCATGGCTTTCGTTCATAAGCCGACCAAACAGTTGATAATCTCGTGATTTTAACGCATCGGCTGCTTCGCGTGTTCGTTCAGTTTCCGTAACAACGTGCCGGGCTCGGTGATATGTTGTCGAGTCCAGCTTGCTTTTGTTGGCCTCCAAAGTCGCCAAGGTGACCTCCCTCAAACTGGGAACACCCAGGATGCGAGCGGCTTTCTCGCAACACTGGCGCCGTTCGGGATATTCGCTGCCGCTCAGTGTATGGCGCACATTCGAGTTTGTAATCAGGATAACACTCTCGGGGTCATCAAGAGGAATGTAATCCGTCTCCAGTGACCTGCAGTGCGGGAAAATATTTTTCCACGATAGGCAGTTTCCGATATGTGCTGCTTATGAAATGGAAATGTTAACCACACCACGAAAACCAGCTGTTTCCTCACCGGCAATCCAACAGCAGCGCGTGCCCTTCTTTTGCCAGACAGGCTATCATTTGGTCCATAATACCTAATATAACGTTAGTTGGAATGACTTATCATGTTATGGCACTTCAATCACTTCAATGCAACAGATTTTCTTACCGCATGGCATATTGGCGAAATCATGTTCAGCTTTTTGACAAGCTGCAGCAGCTTTTTTGTGGCTGTAAAAGGAACATTTGTTAAGTAGTTATGTGAAGAAATCTCTTAATGAAACCCAACAGACTGCGCAACGAATGGAACCATTTACAGATTAATTTTATAACGTTTCGTTCAAATGTCATTTAAAGCATCAAATGACTGTTATGTTTAAATGTAAGGAAAATGTAATTGTAATTTTAAGCATTTGCTTACTCGATGTTACCGGTTTCCGTTAGAGCTGAGAGGAACATGTACGTGGCCACTTCTAGCGAAGCCGAACTCGAAAGCCCTCCGCCGAGCGGCACGGAAGATACGATTACAGCATCGAACGAAGGAAGTTTCGCAGATTCTGTAAACAAAAGGATATGAAATGCAAAGGCACCGTCAATGGCAAAAACATATTGTATTTCAGTTGAGCAGGCTTGCAACTATTATTTTACCAACCAAATAACAAGCCGCTCCACAACGGCACTTACCGCTAAAATTAGCCAATACTCCCTTCACATAATTCGCCCATGCCGGTTGACCGGACTGTAAAGATTCACCGGAATCGATAGTGATTTCTTTGGGACTGTCTGCATCGCGAGCTACAGTAACGATTGTGCTTTTTCCACTGGGATTGGTGTTAACCGCCCCGGCAACAATCGTCGTCATTGGTACAGCCTGTAAATAATACATCCACTTGATTCCTTGCAAAATGCTTCTGTTTGGCTTTCCAAAACCGAACTCCATTTTGAAAACTTTTGGTACTTCGTATGTATATGTTACGTACCATTGGCAAGACAAATCCATCATTGTAATCTAAAGCGGAAAAGCCGTTAAATTCAGGAATGCTTACAATTAGTTTGCATGTGCATCATGCATGCAAACATCATCAAATTAAAAATATATGGAGAAATTTGACTATTGTACACTTAACGGTGGACAATAGTCACAAATTCACTCACAATTGACACTACTAACTGCGTTATATAATACCACAATATCAACTGCATTAATTTAATGAAATAATTGTGTATTTCATTTGCATTATTCTGATGAAATAATCGTTTAATGTTTTTAGAAAGTTGTGAACTATAACTTCATTAATGGCCGACCATTAATACAAAGACAAAATAACCGAGCAGAAGATCATCAAATCCATTCATAAACAATTAACTGAAGTAAAGTAATGCACACTAATATACATAAACTGGGATGCTGTCCTTACCTGTGTGTTCGCCAATCAGGTTCACCCGTCCCGGAGCCAGTCCATAGACAACAGGAGAGGTGCTAAATCGTTTTGTGAACGCTTCCGATGCGGATGCCAGAAGCTCGGCCACAGATGCAGTAGCGGTAACAGCACCCTCCATTTTCTTTTATGTGTACAGTGCAGTGCAGTCCGAAATCTGGACCACAAAAGTTTACTGCTTCCTCGCGCCTACTGTCCGGAATCTGGCATGTAACGTAAGGAAGTACGAGTGCTTTAGGTAGCGTGCACTATTTTGCTTGAGTACAGCACAACGAGAAGTAGAACTAATGAAACTAGTACATTACTTACTGTATGTACATACTGGTTAAAATAAAAATAATTGCTTGTCGCCTTGCTACTTTAAATCTCTATATTTACCACGGTATTACCTGGAACTTTCCAGCTGCCACGGATTTCCAAATTAACAGATAGAAGGCGAAATGTGTATTCCAGTTATAAAGCGACAAAACAACAACTACAGGATCAGGGTTTCTGATTACAGAAAACTGCGAAGTTAACTTCGACGCAAGCATCTGCAGCAGTGCAGCTCCAACTTGTTGCTACCACTTTTGCAAACTTGCTTATCATTTCTTTGAACAAAACTTCCACACATCATCATCGCTTGCCAGATCATTCATCGTACGGTACTTATAACACTGTTGCGATACAAATGTCATGCCATCGTGGCTACGAATACAGTAGTATAACTGTACATGATTGCCGGTTTTTACGATGTACGCACCGGTTAATCTGAAAAGGATGGCGGCATTACCTGTCCGGGTAAGCAATGTGCATAATTCTATATTCCACGAGTTTCCATCCCATACAAGGCAGAATAGAATGCCTGCTATAAGATTTTGTTCGTATTCTCGAGAAGTTAGCGGAAACATAACCATCTTCTTGCGTTTGCGAAGAACTGCTGTCGAAGTAGGTAATTCTGGTTTCAATTTTGGATTACTACCGAAGCTGGCACGAAATATTATCTGAACTACGTATATCTATATAAGAAAAACTGATGCAACATCTGACTCGATGTATAAACTTTTTTTCCAAACTGAAAATCAAGAAATGAAAAATGAATCACTCGATAAGAAATCGCTTGTGTTTGCAGCCAAAATTCGTGGGAGTGATAAGCGCCACCACAATACCATGACGATCGAATGATCACGGTTTTTGTTACAAATGGTTTATTTTCTCAGCCGTCAAAACCGCTATGATCGTCACGAATTATCATAGGTGTTAAAAACGGTATCCCTGGCAAACTCGTACAGCTCTTCGTTGATGCTTTTTAGTTTTTCTATTTCCTGTTCTTTTTCATGAAGCTGTTCCAGCAGCAAACTATTGGCTTTTTGCTGATTGTGAGTATCCGGATCGCCTTTACTGGCTGACTCATCAAAAGGCATATTGGTTGGGGGAGATGTCACCGGATTAATGTTTTTGAGCAAACTCTGAAAAATAACTTTCGATAAAAATATCGTATTCAAAAATGTTAATCCGAAGGTCGATCATCAGTAGTACAGTCCATGAAGGCAAAACAAGATAATCTTGCTATGGGAATAGTGAAAACCAAATGAGCTTAACTGGTAGAGAAACACGAAATCACAAACTGCTGTCTTACGCGTGGTGGAATATGAAAGTCAAAAGACTGGTCGTCATCCGGAGAAATCAGTTCAGAATGCAGCTGTTTTTTTAACGGCACCAAAGGTCTGGCTGAGCTGAGACTGCGCTTAGCGAACATCACCTCTGGATGCCGACACCGCACCAAATTTTTCACGGGACCTACAAAACATTACCAATTGCTGGAGAAGATGCGTAACTAAAACAGCAAAGCCGACCTTTAAATTGCAGAACTCGAACACAGATCCTGCTTTCCACTTGCCATATCCTTACGGTACTGTCATCTGAACCAGATATAAGCAAACTACCGTCTGTGCTGAACTGCAAGCATCGAACAGGCATTCTGGCAACCGTAAAGCCACATTAGTTGGTATTATTATCGGAATTATGGGAGCAAAAGGAATTACCTATGCCCGGAAAAACGATATCTTTGGTTCCAGTCAGTCTCAGAAATTAATCCTGCATGGTTTGATCTACTATCCTAGAAGCACAACCAAAATATGTGCAAAGCGTTTTAAAATTAAACTGAAATGGGAAACCAAGCCTGTATAGCTCACCTCTGTTATTAAAGGCAATCGATAGATATCACCAGAATCGTCAGATAAAGCAGCCGATGTCACAGAACTGTCAGCAGTCACGGTGAGAAGGGACCGTCGAAAGACAAAAGTTCCCAAAATCGCAAAAGTAAATATTGGATCAATAACCTGTTGAATGCGCACATGTAATTTGCAGTAGTAACTAGTAAGCAAAAGCAGCGCAGTTTCTCCTACTCGACAAACACTATCTCTCCCAACAGATATTAAGTACACGCAAACGGCGTCCGATCCAGCAAATATAAGGTCTTCGATCCAGTTTTGGCAGGACACCATCTGTGGATTTGGAAGACGGTCGCGGGTGGCGTTAACAACTCTGTTCAAAACAACACTCACTTACAGTTAGTTCTCATAATAATAAAACCCATTTGAAACAGATACGACTGAAAAGACAGCAATGATATTCCAGAAAATGTAATCAAGAAAGTTCAATGGTAGCGAAAGCAGCATCACAAATGATTCACAAACGCACTAGATCTGCCAAATAAGAAGATGTAAAAAACCTTACTCAAATGTTTTCCAAATGAAGATGATGCCATCCTGACCGGCACTGGCAAAGTGTCGCCCTGAAGATGTAAATGCCAAGGCTGTGATAGGCTGGTAATGACGAGCCAACACACCCAAGAAATCTCCAGTAGAGAGCTGCACGGTCAGAAAAGCATAAAATAAAATACCCAGTAGTCGGTACCAAAATAACGCACAAATCCGAGCCTTACGCGATAAACGTGCAATTTGTTACCCATTGCAACAACCAAATATTCTCCGTCTGGACTGACAGCGATCTTTGTCACCGGAAGAGGCGTCAGGAGAGGCGGCTGCAGCGGGGTCTGCAAATGAAGCGGTAAAAGTAAGTAGAAAAAACATATCGCTTTACTCAGTGCTGTTATTACCGGATAATAATACAATATAAAACAGGACACAGATCATAGAAAGAATAACAGACACTGTGCGAAGACTGTTCTACAATTTTATCACCGGTTGGTTCAGCGGCCACACGCTTATCCATGGCTTTCGAACCGCACCTCCGGCGATATACGAATCTGCGATAACCGTCAGAGTTCCCGGTGCAACTATGCTATTGCGAAATACACGCGCCAGCTGAGCAAAATCAGATCCAATGCACCAGCATTCCACGGAGGAAAGTTTGTCTGGAGCCGCTTCCGGCTGCGCCGTAATGAAAAAATAGTCTTTTCCAATAACCGGGCCATCCTAAACCAAGGAGAACAGTCAACACGAGTCAAGGGGTGTCGAACCGTCGTAGAGGATCAAAAACCAAATATTCATTTGCAGAACTTTCAGAACACTGCGTACGCTTAGTCCGGATTGTGATCCTAGAACGCCATCCTCTCCGCCGCCACCAGAATCCATTCTATTCACACCGAAATTCAGTTTTTGTACTAATCCACGCTCTCCACCAGTTTACAAAGCTTCGGTGCAAACTTATCAGAACATGTAATCAACCGCAGCACGGTTCAGTTCTCAACGAACAAAAGTTGCAAAGTTACAGATGCTCCAATATTGCCTGTGTGCAGTCAGTCGTCACTGTGGAGTGTGTGAATCAAGATGAAGAGTCAGTCCACTTTTCGCTTAACTGCAGCAAAATGCAGTTCGCAGCGGCATGTTACCGCATGTAAGTATCCAAGATACAGTAGCAAATACTTCAGGAGGTTGCCACTTGCCAGAACTTGACGAACATTGAGATGATTTACACTTTACAGTAATTTTTTAAGTTAATAAGTTTGCAAGCATGTATTGCGACATCGCGCCGCGACAGCTGCCGACCCGTTAAACAGGTCCGTCGTTCGCCGACGGTCGCAATACAATCCACCACAGATGCGGCGATGCTATGAAATGTCAAGCCACGAAGGACTGCTTATCAGTTATCAGCTTATGGGTTTTCAAATTTCGATGAATCTGTGTTGTATCCAGATTTCAGTTTGCCAGAGTTCTACAATCCGAAGATTGTCATTTTCCTTGTTTCATATTTTTAGAATTTTTAAATGGTTGGAGAACTTCCAAGTTTTGCCACACCCGTAAAGGCCATAATAGTTGTAGAACTGTTTAGTCTAGATACTCTGGAGTTCCTGTGTATCTTGCTTGGTGCAAAGCTTTCTACTTCTTAGAAGCCTGGAGTATTGATCAACAGTTTCCGAGCTATAGTAGTATAGTTTTACAACTGTAAAACTAAGAATTTAAAATGGAATGCACGGAGACGAAGGTTTGAGGATTGTCGAGTCAACAACTTCAGTGGAATAATATTTTTGTGGTTGATGCTTTGTTGTTACGATTAATACTGTACTGGTCACTGGTGATTTAGCATTTGCGTTTGCTGGGAACCTTTCAATTGTCTGCGGAAAAACCTTGTCCATTTTTCGTAGATACTGGAAGCCGCGACGACATTGTTAAGAGGACAAGATGCATCTGGCGACAATTCAAAGCCGAAAATAGCTGGACAGAAAGTACCGCTCCTTCCAGAGAAAGACAATATTTTTCTGACGATTGTGCAGAAGAGATTTGCTGAACAGAAATACCGCCGCATAAAATGGTACCAAATGTTTTTCTCAAATTCGTTTTGCTTTGCTGGAAACAGGAAATGACTAAATATTTTAAGTTTACATCTTCGAAGCTCATGATTTTTCATGTGCAGCGATCTGCCGAAGCCTTTTCGGATTCTTGGTTCGTGTGATGTTTGTCTGATCATCAAAGATATCAGCCATGAAAAGAATTTCGACCAGGAGCGCGGGGTGGAGAAATATAAAGAGTTATTACGACGGGCAGGAGTTGATGGAATAACCGAAGTACTTACGTCACGCACTTTCCTGATATTTGCCTTTTCTTGTTTCACGGGATAATTGCTTGACAGTCAAGTTTGCCTTGCACTTGTGTGATGAATTACTGGCGGTTTAGGTCCTTACCTTCACTCAGCTTCGCGGTGAATACAAAGCTTATGAGGCGAAAAGGAAACTTTTGCACCGATATGATTTGTTTCTTGCTGATGAGCGGATCTATGGAAACCTGGCGAAAGTTCTGGGGAAAAAGTTTTTCCAAAAAAACGCGTAAGCTTATACCGTTTTTATGAATTTACTGTGTATGTTATTATGTTCTTTTACGGCGTATGAACTTTTACGAGTATAATTACACTGTTTTACGTCTTTAACCACTACTTCGAACCGTATAGCTTGTAGAAACAAGGTTGTAAAGATATTTATGTATTTAAAAAATTTAATATGAAATAAGTCCGTGTCTTTTGTATGGTATACGTTCGCGTTTTGATAGTAATATTTAGCTTTGTTGATCAGAAATAATGTTACGTGGTGCCGCATGGAACCATGGATGAATAAAGCTTCTAGTTGAATAAATGAAACTGTGAGGCAGATTTGTTATGTAAACAAATATTTCTTATAGCTTTCCGCTGCCGGTGGACGTAGTGAACTCCGAGAGTTTATCCGGCGCTCTCAAATCCGCAATCCAGGCTACCTATGTGACTATTCTAGGCAAAGGACCACAAAGGTACTCATGAGATTGTTATAAAGTTATGCATGTAGTGTTTACTATTTTCCGCTGTATTTGTTTCCTTGATACTTCTGGCAGTGTAATCGTAAGATGTGCCCTTATTGTTTTAGCTCAGTCGAAGTAGGTTCGGCAGAACAGTCAGGAGAGGATATTCGCGATAATATTGTCAGTGTATTAGCGCAAGTCCGTAGCAGATTTCCTGGAGGATGGGAAAATATCCGGAGTATTTACGTTAAGCTCGGAAAAGTCTCTTTGCCAGTTTACATTGATTCAGGTGGGTATTTTTTATGCAGGAGAATTTTGTGGGATCTGTAAATAACTGTATGCTTCGGGATTTAGCTTCCCCGAATTCAGTTTCCGTACCGAAACCTGAGGCCACTGATGGATTTACTGCCGGGCCCGAAGAAATAACCACAGTTAAAGAGGGAAAAGTAAAATTAACGAAGTACGGAAAAGTGAAAATCATCAAAAAGAAGAAAAGGGTAAAGAAAGGGAAAACTTTGAAGAAGAAAGTTTAGTTGTTTCAGTTTCTGATATATTGTTTTCGCAAGTAACGCAGTAAAGTCTGTTTCTCTACCGTTTAGCTGTCGGATTTGAATTCTGCTGGTAAAACATCTGTTCTGTTACGTACCGTAATAAGAGCGAAATTATTATTATCGTATCTGCATATGTTACAGTACGTACTACTATTATTGACAGAACTGGCAAGTCCCACGTAACACTTTATTTAATTTTTAATGCTTACAAAAAAGCGATTCAACAATCACCACTATCTATATTTGAACTTCGACACTTGTTACCTTGTAAATTATTTTCCTTGTGACTTACGGTATATTGTAAAGTATTGCACTGCAGCTCCACTTAAGTGTTTTTACTTTTGAGTCACGCCAGCTATTAAACTGATCCCAATCCTATTGCAAAAAGAAAACAAAAGGAATTATTTCGCATTTCACGACACAGCAGTGTACGAGGTTAAATTCAGATAAACAGAAGTACAAAAGATGTGGCAAGCCACACAAGACGGGCAGGAATAAAAATAAGCTGATCAGATTGTTCAAAGATTCGCCCCTTCACAGTTTGCAGAATGATTCAGTGAATTTTAGATCGGATAAACCATGACAGCCTTTACATGTAAATGTGTTAGCCGTCTTAAAACAACTTCTCGGGTGACTTTTCGCTTTTCTCCTTGACGAAGTTAAAGAAATACTGCACGTTGTCGAATGTATTCCTGATGCGTTGGTTCGTCTGTGCATTGTGCGATCTCATTTCCAGTTTGAACTCAATCTTTTCTGTCACCACATCCCCTATGTCGAGCCCATTGGCATTCAATGGATCGCAAAACGAGACTGCGAATGAAGGAGGTCCTGGGTTTCGTTTGTCAACGAATGCTTTGGTAGATTGCTTGACGTGCTGGTCCAAAAGCATTCGTTGCTCGTCCAGATTCCTTCTCTGCTTGGCCATGGCAAACTCCAGACTGTCTTTCACTCGGCCCACAATCTTTTCTGGATAACTCGCGGTGGTATTATGCAGTTTTGATATTCGGGATTTTTGGTCCGTTAGCAACGCATTGTGGTACTGGCTGTTCAGAGTGAAATTCGATGTGATAGAAAGATTGGTGTCAGCCAGCGAACTGGATGCGACGTTACTAACCGAAGCGGATGCTGCCATAACCGAACAAGTTGCAGAGGTATCCACAATATCCGAAAACTTAACGCAGCAGGCTTTCAACTGTATCGCGGTATTAAAATCGGACAACAGTTTTAATTGGAAAAGCACTTATTATTAACGTTCTAACTTTTAATCGAATAACGTATAACCGTCAGTCAAAAGTTTTGAGTCTTTTGACTCAAAACTCTCAAATTTAAGTCAAAACTAAAAGTTCTCCTGTCACAGACTCAGTCGAGAAAGGCGCCACTTAGGCGGCATCCATAAATTACGTAATACGGGGTGGGGAAGGAGGGGGTGCCCAAAAGCGTTATTTGCCTATTATCGATATTAGCAAAAGCGCGATTTTTGGCGTTACTTAATTCATGAATGTCGCCTTACGCGGGGCAGCGGACTGACGGTGAGTGAAGTACATACTTTATACTTGCTCCGTCAATACGTACTGTACAATGGACGACAAAATCAACTTAACCTCGGGGCTCGGAACCGGTTTTGTGGCTTTAGTCATGTGTGCAAGTGAACGAGAGAACAGAGAGAACACGGCTGCCGCGCTTTAATACTGCTCAGTGAACGGATTCAGCGATAGATATGCGGCGCACATTCATCGTATGCGCTGTAACTCGACAGCGGCTAACGGTCCGGAGTTAAACAAATTTTGTCGTCCGTTGTATGTACTGTAAGCCCTATCAGCCTCTCTCGCTACTAAAAACGGAAGAAAAGCTTCGTGTTCTAGCGCTGTCTTAAAATTTCGATTTTTGCACTCTTTTTTTTTGTTGCAGCTTCCAGTATCCAAATGTTGTCTGGAATGGAACATAACTACCAGAAACGTCTGTCTGCCCTGCCGGTCACCCGAGAAGGTCTCAAGCAGCAGTGTGACATGATCCGTGAGAGAATCAGCCAAATCCAGCAAAAGGACTCAGTGACCACGAAACCTCCGGGTCCTACTGACCGTCGTTCTTTAAAGGAAATGTTCGCGGAACTTCGGAATTCTGACAGATTTAAGAAGGGCGTCGGTCTATACCTTTGCGATGATACGATTGAGTCACTACAAGCCTCATTGGATGGAGTCACGGTCGGAGCAACGGTCAATGTCAAGCAGGAAGAAGGCGATCGGCTTCCGTTAACGTTTGGGTATGTTGGGCTCCTGGCGACCTACGATGCCCAGTGTGCCGTCGATTTGGTTGACTTCTACAAGAAAACCCGTAATGTGAATTATGACCCGACGTTTATCGACAGCGCGGTGATCGCATATCCACGCTCGGACTGTCATGTTTCAGTATTCAGCAATGGAAAAATGGTCATCAACGGAGTCACGAATACCAGCGAAGCACTGGTGGCCAGTAGAAATTCCGTGGAATTGCTGAAGCAGTGCGGCTATAATCCTGTTCTCCGCAAAGAGAATCTGCGTGTCCATAATGTCTCTGGGATGTTAAACTTGAACTCGCAGGTGGATATTCTCGGATTTCATGAGGCCTATCCGCGATGCACGTACTACTCCGAGGTGTTCTGCGCGGTTTCTTATAGGCCGGCCACGAAGACGGACCAGATAAATTTGGATAAGTCATTGGGTGTATGCTGTCAGATATTTGCCACCGGAAAGATTTTGATTGTCGGCCATAAAGATGAGAGAGATATAAACGACTTCCTGGTGGAACTCTACGACATCCTGGAGCCCTTTATTGGTGCAGGCAACAACCCAGACGGGCCAGACGCAGACGATCGCGATAAAGGATCTATGAAACAGTGATCTTGCATTAATCCCAGCTGTAAGGAATTTTTGAGTCTGTTAAGGAATTTCTTACGCACTTGACATGAAGAATCTACTGTAACGCTTCTCTTTAAATTGCAGTTCTCCTTGTTTTAGTGCTGCTTTAGTTTAGAAGGTTTTTTTTCTGTTTGTGCACTTTCTTGATGAATCACTCATTTTATTGTAGCATTTTTTTAACAGAATTATTACCGCTACAGTATCTCTAATATGGCGCGCATTTTCTGGTGAGCTTTTGTGGAAATCCTTTGTCGGAGAGCTGTTTTTGATATGTGCTGTAACACTGCTGTTCAGTTTGTTTGCCGTATGGTGACCTCTTTCCTTGCATTACAATAGAATTGGACAATTAGCTAATGGTTGGTAAAAATTAATAAAATCGGAATATTAAAAAACATTTGCTAGCTTTAATTAGGTAGTTTTGTGCATCTCTTTTAATTATTATTATTATCGCACAGGAGCAGACATCCCATTCAAATGGGACTTGTCACTTGTGCAACGTTATAGAACACTGCTGTCTGGTCCACAAAGCTACCCACGAACATTAATTAACCAGGTTACCAGCTCAAAAACCTTAACCAGCCTGTTTACCCAGGTCAACCATTTTTAACGCAAACTGAAAAAGTCAACAGGTTCCGCATTTAAAACATTCACATTAACCTTTTGGGTACACCAGAACAGTTCTTTCATTCTCACGGCAAACATGGATTCTCCGATCTTTTGGCTGCCTTCAGGGCCGTAGCGAGGGGGGGTGCGCACGGGCGCACGCACCCCCCTCCTCGGCTAACTTGTGAATTTATTTTGCGCCCGAAACTGGCGTATGGGCGCAAGGGCGCAAAATTCAAGAGATTTTTTAAGGGCGCAACGGGCGCCGGTACCAGTGCGCCCGTGGCGCATGCGCAATGCCGTGTTAAATTTGAATAAAATTTTTGTAAATTTGGGAATTAGGCACACAGTAGACTTTGAACTGCTCTCCAAAGGGAGCAGGGTTGAAACGAAGCCCGAGGAATAGGGGTGCGCAACGGGCGCAGGCTTTCAAATCCAAGGGCGCAGTGGGCGCTGGCCGAACTTTAAAACGGGCGCAGCTGGCGCAGCTAATTTGCGCACTCCCCATACGTCGGACCTCGCTACGGCCCTGGCTGCCTTTACTTCAACTCGTGTAGCGGTCCGTTTCGCGGCAAATAGACAAAAATACAGATACAGCTTCACTGGGCAAAAGCCACCAAATGGTACATTCACTAACAAGTAAAATGATTTAAATTTTAAACGCTAAAAAACAATCAAACTGAGCAAGAAAAAAGCAAAAAAGTGTGCACAGAGTGGGATTTGAACCCACGCACCCATTCGAGTACCAGAAGTCCCCAGGAAGACAATCAAGTCTTGAGTCTGGCGCCTTGGACCGCTCGGCCATCTGTGCTTTGGTAAAAATGTAGTAAGGATTGCGGAAATAACTGTTCAGTTAATATTATTGTATTCTACGTTGCTGAAAGAAATTATTTTACCATAAAGAAATTATTTTATCATAAAGAAATTATTTTGGTTACATGAATACTAATAACTATCTGAGCCAGGATTTCGGCCCCTCTCCTTTGGCGCCGGTGATCTCAGTTTCTACTCATTCAATTTTCCTGCTTTAAAAACCTCACGATCACGCGGGTGTTCTAAGACCAGTCGTCGTTGCCAGTTGCAGAACCTAAAGTCCTGTGGTCACTCAAAAGCTTGTTACCATGGATGCCATTGGGCTAACATGGGCGGGTTCACGCTCGTGTGCTTACTAATTTGCAAATTTCCAGGGAGACAGCTTGTGTTCTAACCATGTTGCAACATATTGCATTATTCTGATAAAAAAAATCTGAGATAGTCGCAAGCCGATATTCATCCGTGCTCAGCTTGTTCAGGTATACCTATGGTGTCCCAGCCACTGTCCCTGCTGAAAGCTTCTATTTTCTGGTAACCTGTCATGCTAAAAGAAGCATAAACGTTCTATTATTTCTACAACAGATCGTTGACTTTACAATTAGTGTTCGTTAAGTTTGTTTTTTTAACAATTTTTTAGTGAATTAAATTGAAGGTTCAGAACCTCGGGCTGTCTTGAAATATGACTGTGGGCATAACGTATTTGTAACACTTTGGATACTCATCACTCACATAACGCCACTGCTCACAGTCACGGTCCACGGATGTCGATTATTGCCATCGGTGAACGTTCTTATTGTTAAAAATTTATAAATAATAACTTATTGTTGATTGTTAAACTGTGTGTTCCAACAGAAAGTAGAAGCATCCCGCAACCCCGCTCGTAGAGAACCTTTGATGTAGCTTCCCTAGATGCGCTTCCATATTCTACCGTCCAGCAAAAGATGGCTAACATCGATAATTCCGAAGTGCGTCAGGTTCTGCATCAGCAGGTTTTTGCGCCTGATCAGGAGCGGCTGATATTTGCCATTCCGGTTACGCCGTTTGTCGATCGTAAAAGGATCCGTTATCTTTGTTTGGCTGTGGGGAAAGAAACAGCCTTCGTGTACGTCGTTAAGCAAGATCGAAAAGCATTCCGGAAGAAACCAGAAGCATGGCCAGTGTTTTTACTGAAGGAAATCAACGGGCGCAGCCAAAGAGGCGAACCTTCGTTGGATTTTGAGCTGATTTTTGGGGATCAGCGAAGTAAGCCTGCAACTTATGTCTGGAGTGCATCCACTGTTAGTGAGAAGAATGCTTTTCTCGTTCAACTTGCAAAATTGCAGCGGAAATTTGCGGATCCAGTTCAACTTGGTCAACTGAGGTAAAACACCTTTAATCAAAATCCTCAGCTTCGGTTAAATTGTGATGAATACGGAATATGTAATTCTTAAGTGTGTTTCGGTTGCTTATTTGTAATTTAGTTACTGGACATTTCGTTCCTTCGATAATATGAGCATACTGTTTCAGTGCTTTGATTAAAAACTCACCGGAAAATCCACGCAATATTTTCATTTTATTTACTTATACCAGTTGTATTTTACATAGCATAAAACCGCTGCAGTACACTGAATACAGTAATTTCAATTTAAGTAGCTTTGTTTCTCGAAAAATTTGCCAGCGAAATGCGAAATTTATAAGTACCAGTGACCACTGTCGTTTGTGATGGCTGCATTTTACTTGGTAAAATTCTCACTTCTTAAGCTAAAAATTAATTGCCTTTTTTGGACATTTTATCTTGCTGGTGTTAAACACATCTATTGCTGCGCAGTTTGTCATTCCACCCATTTTATTGACTTTATCTGACGAGCTGTTGTAAAATTTTGTGCTGTTGCCAAATAGATTTTGTCTGTTGTGGTAGGTTTGTGGGCCTTGGAGAAGATCTGGAAGACCAGCTAGCTCGAATTGTTTTGGAGAGTAATGCTAGCAAACAGGAACTGAAACCAGCGGGCATGCCATTGGTCAGCAGCCAGCATACCTTCGTCCAAGATAAAGAAGAAATGCTGAACATAACGGAAAAGGAACAGCAGGATTTGGAAAAGGTCTTCGAGCTTAGTCGCCAATTTGATTACGATGTGGATGTATTAATGAAAAAGCTCACTGAAGAAATCGGCCAGATGGAATCGGCTAATGTCCATGATCTGATGAATACCCACAATGACATCGAAAATATTTGTCGTTTAATTGATCAGTCGGTGGACGACCTAAACAAAGTGGACCAAAAAATTAGTAAGTAGTGACGAGAAAAATTTAAGATGCCGTTGGCCCGTTGTTACCAATCAGAATATGGAAAGTTGGAAACGTAAGCTTTGTCAGAATACTTTACTTAACAATAGGTAATTATATCATTTATTCTTTAAGTACGCTTTGTCGTCAAGATTGTCTGGTTGAGGGCGCTGATTTGGCGTATTAGATGCTCAAGTTATTATTTACGAGTATCTTTTCTTTTTTAGCAAAATATCATGACTTGGTCGGGACCGTTAGTGATCAGGTGACGATGATGGACGAAACTGGGCACAAGCTGAAAGTTCAAAATAAAAACGTTAAAAAGCTTATTACGGATATCTCCGCCGTTCTGAGCGCTCTGGACTTTAACATGACATACCGAGTGGCCTTGATGGATGGTGACTTGATGAATAAAGAAAAACTGCCGGAAATTATTGAAGCTGCCAATGTTTTGTCCCAAGTGTCCAAAGCTCCACTGCCTTACGGATTTGAATATCATCCCGCGGTTGACCATGAGAAAAAGCGCTTGGAAAGACTGAAAGCGACCTTTGGAAACAGGGTTATTCAGAATTTAACCAATAGCTTCGTTTCCTATAGCAATAATCATCCTCCCAGACGGGATGATTTGATTCTGGTTAGTCATCTGCCGATGTTCCGAACCATGTTGCCGTATGCAAAAATTGTGAGATGGATGAAGGATAACTTGCCACAGATGTACGACAGTCTTACGAAAACCTACACGGAGAAATTGGGAGAATTATATCGTTATGAATATACAGACTTTTTCGAGAAAGTGCGTTCTCGCATCACCACTTCAGCCGAAGCCAGCAATGCAACGCGGCTAAATCCCGAATATTGGCTTGGTTGGGATGAAGAGATACGTCTCCAGCCATCTGACTACGCTGATTATAAAGCAAATCTGGATCATTTTCGGACAGTGTTCCGCCAAGTTGCCAAATCTGTCACCGAGGAACAGAACTTTTTAATTGAATTCTTTGGTTTACCTCCGGAGAACGAGCCACCATCGGCCGATGCCGACAAAGCAGATGGAACTGCAATTGCAGCAGGACGGCCAAATTTAGCATCCCAGATATCTGTTTATAAATCCGATACGCCACTCAAACTACGCCTGAAAGAACTGTTTAAGAATATCGACGAGATGCTGATAGGGGTCGTGGCTACCAGCGATAAGGCCAATAAGTTAAATAATATGGAATTGTTGGTCGTTATTCATGAAATTTTGATTGATATGGAACCGCAGTGCCCATTTCTCGGAAAGTGTTATGGTGGAATGATGATTGCCTTAAAGAGGAACTTTGATAATTACATGCGCGACCAGGTGTCTCACGTTCTGAATGCCAAGGTTCCTAAACGATCTCGATTTGGACCGCTACCTTTTGTTTGTAACTTCGAGCATTTTGCCAGTTTTGCCGAAAATATATTCCAAGGATCACAGCGAAGGTAGGGTCATCAATAATTAAGATAACGAGTATCTTTCTTGTTAATTAAATAATTCTTTTTGCAAAGATTATGTGCAGCTCAAAAATTGAGAGTTGGGCGAGTTTCATGTTGGGTGAGTCATTCAGTGAAAAATGAAAAGCCTGGATTTTTGCAGGATTGATTTGGATCGTGCTTATTACAATCTCCTCAAACAAGGCATTTTCGAAGGAATTAACCGAATTGCGAATCACAAGGACTGCAAAACCCCAGGGGAAGTTGTCTTTTTGGAAAACTATCATCGCCTGTCAGACATTTTGAGCCGGTTAAAGATCGCCTCACTAGAAGACATCCGCCGGGATACGAGACAGGGCTATAACGATTACCGCAAAAGCTACGTTCAAGCCATGTTAGGAAAGCCATTAGAAAAAGTACAAGTATTTTTTGATGGTGTCGACGCTAAAATCCAGACAACCGGTATTCAGCCACATGAAGTGTCGTTCACGACACAGTTCGGAAAAGCAGAATTGACCAAAGTACTGGCCATGTATCCGCGCAGTGTTGTCAAGAAGGGTCTCGAGCAGCTGTACCGGAAGGTGGAAAAACAGTTGAGTGATGAGGAAAATTTGCTGCAAGTTGTTTGGCGTGATATGCAGCAAGAATTTATCGAGCAGTACCAGAATTATCAGCGGTTAATTGAAGTATGCTATCCCAACTCCCAGATTGTCTTCGGCTTTGGGATCGACGATATTCTAAAGATTTTCGAAGAAATTGCGGCCTCCCACTAGGTATTCGATATTGTCTTTCTTGGCTACGTTCCTGTTTAGTAATATATTTCTGATAAAAGCGGTAAATTTTTATAAACAATTATCTTTAGACAACTTTCCCGGTTTGTTGTGGTCTTTGGCCTTAAGATTTGTAGAACTGTGTGATTTTGAGCTGTTGTTGGTTGACAGTTTTTGCATTAACGAAATGTGAGTAAATATATTAGATCGATACGTTGATTGTACGAGCGTTTTTGGTGGAAGCAAATTACTGCTGGAATACAACCATGTGAGTTATTGTTTGCATACTCCTGGTATTATTTGCACCCGCAGTAACTACTATACCAGCACCTGGAAAATAGTAGAGAAAACTAATTGGATAATTTTGCCTGTTGGTCGGTCCATTTGATATCGATTTTACTCTAGACGGAGACATGTTTGATGTTTACTTTTGTTGCAGAACTATGTCGATGCTACTCTCGACACTGCTCCCAAGTTATACATGTTTACTTGCCACTCATTGCCAGTTCCTTCTGCGAAACAGTTCTGAATTCCTTAGGGTTCCATTTTTTCGCATTTTTTTCGGCAAAATCGTGGCACGCTTTGCCGCTGTATGCTTTAATTAAAATGTAATCAAATTTTAACGAATCAAACGTGCTCGGATGGATGACATAATTGTTTTACAAATCCGCAAATCTAAAATAATCTGCGCGCTAGAAGATGGGTAATGCGGTTGTGACTTTTTCACAGGAGCAGCTGGAAGAATATCAAGATGTGACCTACTTCAATCGTAACGAAATTTTAAGCATATACAGAAGATTTAAAAGTTTGGCGCCGGATGATGTTCCTATGGTTATGACGCGCGAAATTGCTCAGGTAACTAATTGGCTAAACTTTTAACGCAGAAAAATGTCATTCAGATAATCAATGTCAACGAAACCATTTTTGATTTTGAACATTTACTTGCTGTAATAGTATGGAGATTTGGACATTAATTAAATTTAATTAAATCAGAATTTCCGGCTATCGCGGGATGACCTGGAACAACTACCGGAACTGAAAGAAAACCCTTTCAAACGACGCATCCTTGCGGTGTTCAGTGAGGATGGTTCAGGAAATCTATCGTTCAACGACTTTTTGGAAATGTTTTCCGTGTTTTCTGAACGAGCTACAAAAGAGCACAGAGCATTCTACGCTTTTAAAATTTATGATTATGACGACGACGGTTTTCTGGGAATTTCGGATGTGAAAAAGACAGTGCGAGCGATGACGCGGGATAACCTTGACGACGAAGAACGCTCCAAGATTGCGGAGAGCGTTATGAAAGAGTGCAATATGGATGATAATTCGGCAATATCTTTTTCGGAGTTTGAAAATGTTGTTTTAAAAGCCGCTGTATTTGAGTTAACATTTCATATCCGCCTTTAATAATTTGACGAGCGAAACAATCCAAAATCTCTGATGCTTACCGTATTTATTCCCGTGTCAAATATCTTAACTATAACATACCGGTAAGTTGGTATCTGTGCGTTACAGACTACCAAACATGTGTTCCAGTGCACAAATTTACTCTGTATGTTCTAAGTTACCGCAATGGATGCGAAACTCATTCGACAATCAACATTGATATTATTGTTAAGAATTTGGTGTCGTGTTTTGCTTCGCTCAGTAGGTAACAGCCGAAAGTAACTGGACACGTGGTGGCATATATGCGTACGCAAATGCTCGTATTCTTTTTCCAAATTTACAAAATTCTTGTATGTTGCAAGTATCAAGTGCGACGAACAAAATTTATTAAATTACAAAATTAAACCACAGTAGTATAAAACTTGTACGCTTAGGAACTTAATCCAAGTTAACACAGCGTTCGACCGCATAACGGTTCAACATTACTTCCGGCCACTGTAACCAGAATTTCCGCCGTATCCACTACCAGAGTTTCCGTAGCTTCCACCGCCACCGCCACCGTATCCGCCATTTGAACCGTAATTACCGCCGCCATATCCTCCTCCACCATATCCACCGCCACCGAATCCACCGAGACCACCGAATCCGCCACCTAGAAATGGACCTCCGAACCCGGAAACATAGGCGTTCTCGTAGCCATAACCTGCAGGTGTATAAAGCCGCTTTATAATAAAGCATCAGTTGCACTGGCATAAAATAACGAAACGACTACAACTGTCATCAAATAAAGAACAAGAGAATATTATAACGCTTTTAGAATACACGTACTATAAGGAACACCCCAATATCCCATCAGAGGATAACCAAATCCAAATCCACCAAAGCCTATATTAACCCAGCAACGTAGTATATAATTATAACTGGAAACTGGAATTAGCTTTGAGATTGATCAGCAGTTACTGTACCCAGTCCACCTAGACCAAGCCCTCCAAATCCGAGACCACCCAGACCACCATAGAATCCGCCGCCTCCTCCGTATCCTCCTCCACCATAGCCTCCACCGCCGTAACCGGCGTTACTGATCCCAAATACTGCAATCCTCTTGTAGATCACTCAACAGTATTGTCGTACAATTTTATACAATTTCTATGTATGAAAAAACATTACTTATTGAGAAATTCATGAGAATTAAAATTCATGTGGCGGTCTTGCCGGCACAATCCAAAAATACAATCTAATACAATTTGTCGTTTAACATTTGTTTTGCACGATACTGAAATTTATTAAACACGTACACTATACTCTTATGCAAGTGCTGAGGTACTTACCGGACGATACAGCCAGCACAACAGCAAGAAGTTTGCGACAAGGATGCATATCGAAAGAAGAGCAGCAAATAATAGCCTTGCTTAACCTCTATATCAATTTTCGGAGGTCGATTTCTTGTTTATTCACAAGTAATCCAGAATCTTTAAAAGCTGTATCGCGGAAGCCGAATAGCACAAATATCCGGAAAGTTGGAGCAGATATACAGTAATCTTTTCGGTTACTACACAGATAGAGCATACGGATGTATAAGATGTTACGGAAACTATGATTGATTTATCCGCAAAGAAGTTTTGCTGCAGATCAACTTCTCCTTGGACTAGAATGCTGTTCATGTTATATATTTTTGATTTTATAACCTACAATAATGCCAGTTACATATTTCGCAATCATACACGTTCAAAAGTGCTTATAATTTCGGCGTTACGTACATCTTGCACTAAATACTGTATATTGTTATAGAGATATGTCTAACACCTTTTGCTTCCGGAACGAAGCGCCTTGTCCTTTGTTTACAGCCGAGTACTCGGAAATTCAAGGTACGAGCTCTGCTAAGACAGAAATTATTATATGACCGTGCATGCTATTACATCGCCTGTCATCGAGCTTGGTTGTGTCGAGTAATACTGCCGCTGTCAGGCGCCGTACTCTAAAAATATTCGATATGTAACAACGGAATTATAAAATAATTAATGATAGATGTTGGGCAGGTTTAGTCAATCCCTCTGTGTGAGTGGACGTACCGGATGTAGAGGTAATGGGTACAGGATCGCAGACTGATGACATCATGATTACCGAACGCGAGCAAGATTTTATGGACAACACGAACCATGACAAGGGTCATCGAAACTACACCGCCATTCAATTTTTCGGAAGATTAAAGATTTTTTAGAGTTCGGTCTAGCGTTTACTCCTTCAAGAAGGACATGACGCTCATGTGACTATAATTGTGCCAACAGAAATTAATCTAACATTAGTTGTTCCTGCATGTATGATGATTATACTTTAAGACTTGTAGAGCTCTTGACACACATCAACCAATTTTTGTTGTCAGTTGTCACTAATGAGATAATGTGTATTATGATATGCTTAGCTTTTCATTAATAAAACACCATCATATTTATGTCGAAATTCAAAAATTATTTGTCATTTCTGGATTCTAACACTGCAACATAGATGTATTGTATTGCAGTATATCTTCGAAATCGATATTGTTAAGTGTAGTAATTAACCAGTTACTACATGGAATGGAAAGGTCAACGAACAAAAAGAACGTTTATACTCTTCATGCATCATGGTATGCGGAATAATGCAGCTTCTACCCGATCCGGTGTTATTACATACTACTTTTATAACAGTTTTACTTTTCTTTTATGGACATTTTAATAGATTAAGCATTGAGTATGCGCTAAAGAACAAAAACGAAGACAGCAAAAGAATTCAAAATCTCAGTGTTTTATTTAAAAAATTTTTTGAATTTATTTTCTAGACAATAATTAGACTAAGTCTTATGAGGTATTTGTAAATGTGCTACTGCTAACACTTGGATACCTCCTATTTGGAAAAGTTTGAAAAAGTTTAATTCACGCCAATAAAGCGACCGCTGAAGACCGCGCACCGGAACATAGATAAATTAGTATAAAAATTATAAAATCAGTATTACCTATGTTCGGCACATGTTCTTACTGTGCGCAGTTACTAAGTTGTTAAGAGACCACTGCCCACTGGCGCCATCTGAGCAGCATGCAGCATGGCCCTTACTACTCGCGGTGGCATCGTATGGTTTACCGTTTGTGAGCTTGCGATGCCATTAACTTTTGAGCGTGTGAATGTTGTTGTCCTTTTTTAAGTATTTTTAATTTTTATGCTTTAAAATCGTTAATACTATCCCCACAATGTAATCCCTGGGGGATGTCATAATTCGCATGTTTCCGCATCTACGAAATTTAGTGGAATTAACAAGCACATGAGCATTCTGTGTGAATGTGAGACTGCATTGCAGGAGTCTACATTGAAATAATGTCGGCCACGGCTGCATCTGTATTTAAATGGGATCCGAAGAGCCTAGAGATTAGAACGAGGACTGTTGAGAAAACTTTGGAACCTCTGGTTATTCAAGTAAGCATGCACGAGCGGTTAAAGATCTTTTTCCTTTGTATTCGGAAAGGCAGTTGCTCAGTTGCATTTATAGCTGATAAGAATAGTAGGTTTTTAACTTTGTCGCATCTGCGGTCCGTATACAGTACCAAACAGTGGTGAAGTCGCATGTACTCGTAAATAAGTACTAAATAGCTGCATCGCGCGATCGTTCTGAACTTCTGATGGATCAAAAGGAATTGCTCCCTATTGTGCAATCGCCTTCACTTTTACTGCTCAATTTTTTATGCTATACAAACTACACCAATAGCAACTTCCATAATTTCATTCATTAATCAATCTCAAAAAAGTCAAATTAATTTTGTCAGCAACTTGCAGAAAATGCGCTCGTGGTTTTACTACTTATTTGAATGATCAGATATGAAAACATTAACATTTCTATCTGGCAGTCAAAAAATAGCCTTAGCTGACTTTTCAATACATTTTGGGAACTTAGTGTTTTTAATGAAGCCTAAAAATTTCCAGGTAACCACATTGGTGAACGCGAAAGGCTCTCCCAGCCATCACCCCGGCCGATCAAAACGCGGACCAGTTTTGGTTGCCACTGTTGAGCGCGCCACTTCCGATTTCATCGCGAAAGGCGAGCAAATTGCACGGGACAATGTGGAGATGAAACAGGAGTTAACCGCGGCTGTGGATGATGTCCGCAAAAGCGGTGAAGTGATGAGCGTGGCATCGCGTGAATTCGTCACTGATCCGTGCTCGTCAATTAAACGCGCTAATATGGTGCGTGCCGCACGCTCGCTTCTGTCTGCAGTTACCCGACTGTTGATCCTGGCCGACGAAGTCGATGTTCGCAAACTTCTCAAATCTTTGCGCATCGTAAGTAGTAACTGAAAAATTCCGCTCTATTTCCCCACGATTTTGCCCGTCGCAATCGATAAATGTGTTATAAGGTTTTTTATTGGCAGCGTTGTGGGAATGTTATTCGTTTATTTTCTTGTTATCGTGTTAGGCAAATAAAGTTTACTGATAACTTTTGTGAAAATTATGCAGAATGACGGAAGAATCGATAATATTGTTTATGTTTACAATTACCAAGTGGAAGCAAAGTGTGGCTTTGTATGCCCAGTCTCGTGCGTTTATCACTAATTTTTTAATTTCAAGGCCATTCAAATTAAAACATTCGACTGAGTTATTTTAACCTGTAATGCATGCTGTAATCAAGCACGGCATGTGTGTGATGTTTAGGTGGAAGCCAACCTTGAGCGCTTTCGGAATGCAACAAGTCAACAAGAGATTGTCGAACACTACAAAGCCTTTGATTTGAATGTGGCTGACTTGACACAGAAAGCGGCTCTACGACAGAAAGAGCTGATGGATGCCGGCATGCGCGATGATCTTGCCTCAGCGCGGGCTGTACTCAAGAAAAACAGTGTCATGCTACTGACAGCCTCTAAGGTAGCGCCTTGGCGGTGTTTGTGCTGGTTGACAATGGGTTGCTTAACGGTCTGTTGACAAATTGCGTAGGCCTATGTCCGGCACCCAGAGCTGCCGGAAGCCAGATCGAATCGCGACTTTGTGCTGGACCAAGTGGTCGACGCAGTGGGAACCATTGGCGAAGTGGCGCAGGGAAGGCGCAAAGAACGTACAGTGCAATTTGAAGGACCAGGGGAGTTGGCAGCTGCGCTTGATGAATTTGATGTAAGGCCATGAACTCTTTACTATTTAACATTATAACGAAATTAACTTTGAGAAATAAACGAATAATCATTTACGTTTTAAATTTATAAAAGTTAATATTGACAGTTTCTTGGTTTGTTTTATCGTACGGTGAAAAGCGGAGCTGCCTACTTTTTCTGTTATGGCGCAACTAAAAAGTTTGCTCCACTCCCTGTTTATCTCATTTTTGGAATTTATTTTTTGACACCTGGCATTAAATGGTCAAATCGTATGGAATGCTTTGGTGGTCATGCATGTTGTGCAGGGTAAAAACTTAAAGCGATACGTAGCGGTCCTTGGAAGTGCAGTTATGTTTATAATTAAGCTCTTTTTTACGATCTTCAAGGAACGCGTTATTATGGATCCGATCATGTATAACGAAGTGCGCAGCCGACCAATGCTGGAAGCCCAACTGGAAAGTATTATTAGGCGAGCGGCGGAAATGGCCGATTCGTCATGCACCCGCGACGACCGACGCGAACGCATTGTGGCGGAATGTAATGCCGTCCGACAAGCTCTGCAAGACTTGCTGACTCAATATATGGACAATGTGGGTTTAATTACTTGTCATTGTCTGTGTCGCATGAACTGCTGTGATCATCTCATAATAAGTTATTTTTCATGGCTTGCAGATGGGTAGAAGTACGCAGACAGAAGGCTTGGAATATGCCATGGAGCATTTAACTCGGAAAACGCGCGATCTGCGACGACAGTTGCGCAAAGCTGTTGTTGATCATGTCTCTGATTCGTTTTTGGAGACCAATGTACCGTTGTTGGTGTTGATTGAGGCCGCCAAAGCCGGCGATGAGGTCGAAGTTAAGGAGTATTCACAGGTCTTCCATGAACATGCCTACAAATTGGTGGAAGTGGCGCATCTGGCCTGCAGGATGTCCAACCAGGAGGAAGGCGTCCGGATGGTGCGTTACGCGGCATCACAGATTGAAGCCTTGTGTCCACAGGTGCGTTTGAACTCGATGCGGTTCCATGTGCATGTCACTTTCTGTGTATTTGCCAGTTACCACTCGATACTTTAGTAAGTCATGTTGCATCATTCTTAATTGACTGCTGTTATGTTTGGGCGACTTATTTGTCGAGCGGAAATGGGAGATATCGATCAAATGAATCGCTTGTCCTCGATTGTATACCGGCGTACCGCAATAGTGCAATACGGACGAATGTGTATGATTTTTTATTGTTCAGACAGCTCGTGACCATTACAGTGCGAATTCATCACATCTGATATCTCGGTTGCAGGTGGTCAATGCCGCTCGAATCCTTTCGCAACGGCCCAAATCGAAAATTGCCCAGGAAAATATGGACGCCTTTAAGCAGTCTTGGGAAAGCCAGGTGCGCGTCTTGACCGAGGCCGTAGACGATATTACTACGATCGACGATTTCTTGGCTGTCTCAGAAAGTCACATTCTGGAAGACGTCAATAAATGTGTACTGGCTCTGCAAGAGCGCGATGCCGATACTCTGGACCGCACTGCCGGTGCCATTCGTGGCCGTACGGCGCGCGTGTGTAACGTTGTTGAGGCAGAAATGGAAAACTACGAACCCGGTATTTATACGAAGCGCGTTATTGAATCCACCGGCATCCTGCGAGATCATGTTATATTGAATTTTGCCCAGCGCGTGCATGTGGCCGTGGATGCGTTTAACAGCGGTAATCATGTGGCCGTTAACGACAACGACTTCATTGAAGCTGCTCGTATGGTGTATGAAGGAATTCGGCAAGTGCGCAAGACAGTTCTCATGGGCAGAAGCGCGGAGGAAATCGAATCCGAGTCCGATTGGGAGGAAGAGGAAATTTACGATACCCGACACAAAGGCCCCGGGGAAGACGTGGCTGATCTCAGCAGTGCCCGTGCTCAAATGACACAACTGCCAGAAGCTGATAAGCAGAAGATTGCGGCACAAGTGGAGATCTTCAAGATCGAGAAGAGCAAGTTTGACAAAGAAGTCGCCAAATGGGACGATACGGGAAATGATATTATCGTGCTGGCTAAACACATGTGTATGATTATGATGGAAATGACGGATTTTACCCGCGGGAAGGGACCATTGAAAACCACCATGGATGTCATCAATGCTGCGAAGAAGATTTCAGAAGCGGGAACCAAGTTAGATAAATTAGCCCGTCAGATCGCTGACCAGTGCCCGGAGTCTAGCACGAAAAAGGATTTGTTGGCTTATTTGCAGCGAATTGCATTGTATTGTCACCAGCTTAATATTACCACTAAAGTGAAGGCTGACGTGCAGAATATCTCAGGAGAAATGGTTATTTCCGGTTTGGACAGCGCTACATCTTTGATACAAGCCGCGAAAAATCTCATGAACGCTGTGGTGTTGACCGTGAAGTCTAGTTTCGTGGCCAGCACGAAGTACACAAGCAAGATGGGCGGAAAGATTCACTCCCCGATTATTGTATGGCGAATGCGTGCTCCTGATAAGAAACCTCTGGTCAAGCGCGAGAAACCAGAAGAAAGTAAGGCCAAAGTGCGGCGTGGATCGCAGAAAAAGACGGTAGCTCCAATCAAGGCGCTGTCGGAATTCCAGAGTCCGGCGGATGCAGTTTAAATACGCCACTTCCATTTTAAAACACCCAGCTTGTAAATTAACTACCTAATTAATTCAGTGTGCGGTGTACTTACCTTATGCATGTAAGTTGTAATCCTCGATACTCGTGGCAGCTTGGAGACTGAAATCGAGTGCACTTCCGGTTTTGCTTGTATTTTCTTCCTTTTTTACATTTACGTTCCGTTCCGACTTCCACTTTTTGATCTGTTGCATTTGAATCTGTTTTTATGTTTGTTGATTAATGATTATACGTACTCAAATCGGTATCCAGTGTGACTCCAGATCAGTTGTTGTTATAAAAAACTTGAAATAGAAATTGTTTTTTATTTATCACTGCGTTGTCCTGTCAGCTCACTTATGTCAAAGTTTGGAAATTTTTAAACACTCGCAAGAAAGGGTTACGATTTATCAACATTCCTGCAAAGTCTGAAAAGTTTCAAGATTCGTTTGACTGGGCAGGTGAAATTACTAAAAGTAGAATTTCCGTTTTAAAAATTAATACGGTACTAGTACACCTTCTAGGCAGTATGTTGCCGTTAATAGGTTAATTTTTAGAAATCATAATTTTGATTGGTTGATCGCTGTAGGTAAGGATTGGACAACGTGGCCTTGTATTTGTTGAGCCTGGCCGGTAAACGTACGGCACTGCAGGTATAAAACGCGAACAGCATGACTTCAGTTTTTAACCTGAATGACGTGTGCGCGTGCACTTCGTCTTTTTCGTTCCTGATTATATTGCACCTGAAAAATATTTCCAGCTGATTTGCTGAGCTAATCCAGAAACCTCGAACGCATGTTGTGGCTGGAAAAATGGCTTGGCTGTCCATAATAAATTTCCGCTTGATCAGTATTTATCTGGTTGCCAGATTGGTGATCAGTCAGACTACGCAGTATAAGCGCTTCGAGTACAAATACAGCTTTAAAGGACCCTATATTGTATTGAAGGACAATTCTGTCCCGTTTTGGGATGTTGGAGGCCGTAAGTGACCGCTTCCGGATCTTTGATTATCACGTTATTTTTATGGTTGCACTCCGCAGATGCCATTGCCAGCGATGATCAGATTCGGTTGGCGCCTTCCTTGAAAGCGCGCAAAGGTGCGTTAATCGGTTAAATGATCAGGAAATTTTGCGAAAATCGCAGAATATGTTTCTGCATGATATTTATCTGGCAGGCTATATGTGGACCAAAAATCCCGTGAACTTCGAGTGGTGGGAAGTGGAGATGAACTTCAGGGTTTCTGGAAGCGGTCGCGTCGGTGCTGATGGGCTTGTATGCATCTGCGACCACAGTGTTCGCACTGTTGACAGGAAATCTATTTTATGGCTAATTTTAGGCTTTTTGGTATGCTACTGAGCGGATGCAGGAAGGAGATGCATTTGGGAGCAAAACCACTTGGAATGGACTGGGGATTTTCTTCGATTCATTCGACAATGACGGAAAAGCAAGTGTTTTTGAATCCCCGGTGTACACGGATTGATCATCGGTGTTTGTTGTCTTGTTGCAGATGAATAATCCTTATGTTTACGTGATATTGAACGACGGTACCAAAGTTTTCGACCATGACGCGTAAGTCCTCTGGAAGCAGAAAACATGTGTTTAATTTATCGCTATTTTTTTTCTTTCTCGTCGTTCTCTTTTTTTATTCTTTTTCGTCGTTTCTCATTTGTTTCTATGGGTTTTTTAGAACTTTAATTTTTAGATATTTTTTCTACAAAATTCAGTTTTTAAAATGTATTTATTAGTTGCACTGTTTTTCTGCTCTGTGTCTTTCATTTTACTGTTTTCATTGCGCCTCTCATTGCGTTTTTTATGTATTTCAAAGATAATTATCTCATAAAACGTAAAAAATGTGTCAGTTTCGTGTGGTTTGTTTAGCGACGGAGTAAATCAGCAGCTTGGAGGATGTCTGCGCGACTTCCGTAATAAACCGTTTCCTGTCAAGGTTAAAGTGGAGTACTACCGGAATGTGCTAACGGTAAACTTCTTCGACAATGAATTAAAAGGTTGATATTGTCATAATTAAGCAAGGTTACTAATTGCAGATCTTGATGACGAACGGTTTAACTGCTGAGGAAACCCCGGAACTCTGTCTGCGTGCAGAGAATGTTTTCCTTCCGCGAAATGCATATTTTGGAATATCCGCTGCTACAGGTGGATTGGCGGATGATCATGACGTTCTCTCGTTTGTTTCCACAAGTCTCCACGATCAAACTCTCGAAGTACGGTCCAAACATGGTTAAAATATTGTAGAAATTGTTTTCGCTTCTTTTTGAAAGTCGACGGATTTTACCTACTTGTGAATTAAGAATTTGTAATATGACTGGCTGTGTGAGATATAGAAGTACCGTAAATAAAATTCTTTTTATGTGAGTAGTGCCAGTACGATATTACCATGTCATGTGGCAAGTGGTTGGAAATTGCACAAAATGCAGTAATTTTATTTGCAGCGAAGCCAACAAATCTCCCAGATGGAGCGACAGAAGCTTGAGCAGCAATTTCGGGAGTACAATGATAAACTGGAGCAGCAGCGTCAAGAGTGAGTACTTTTTTTCAGACGACATATACATTACTTGCATTTTTGACTACGATATATGTACTTTTCATTTTTCCTTATATTACGCGTAAGATAATATTGCTGTTGTTATATCGGACAATAGTAGACTATTCCATTCAAGTGAAGATATACGAGTATTTTTCTTCTTAGATGTCTTGCCAGACTATTGGAATTTTTTTTTGGATTGCTACAAGTAGAAAAATTACATATGACCCCTCGGTCTCTGTTGAAAATTTTATTGCGATAGGTATCTGCAGCAGCATCCCGAAAAGGCAGCCCAACAGCAGCAGCAACAATCTGGTGGTCCGGGACAGTTTGAGAATCCTCAGGATCGTGCGCTGCGCCAGATTTTTGATGGCCAACAATACATTCACATGGCTATTCAGCAACTGAATCGGCGCATCGACGAAGTTATTGGTCGACAGGAACGCACTTTATCAGCAGTGTCTGGATTAAATTCCGGAACCGGTCAATTTAACCAGCAACCAGGTAAATGGTACGACAGATACTTGCATTTTGATTACAAAGGACCGGTTACTTTGTAAATTTTGTAATAGTATTATTTCGTTTTAGTGACGTGCTTGTAGCTTTACTCTTTGACTAGTAAATTATCCGGTTTATTACAGTACTTCAACTTTTTTAATGCAGTAGTTTGGAGATTGTTGGTATTTTCTCCGCCGCACGACCATTTTCTTTACTTTTACTTCATGACGCTAGTGAATAACGAAGCGTGAGATGCAGTGGCTAAAATAGTTTCTGGTGTTAGTTTTGGTGTTTCTTCGTTCTTCTCTTCAGCCGTTTTTATGCTTATAGAGCTCTAGGTAGCTGATTCGAAAACAACTGCCATGTCTGGATATGTTTGTAACCAGTAAATGTGTAATCGGGTACTGCGTTTTGGACTAAAGTGTGCGTTATTTCACCTGTCACCCTTCACAGCTAAAGCGTACTGGATATACTTTTATAGGATTGAATTCCAAAATTTCATGATACGGATGTCTGATATTTCCGCTGCTGTTCTTACCTGTCGAGCGGGCATCAATTATCTTTTATATTTTTATTTGTTAACTATTTCAGTGTCCAGTGGAACGCCAGCGATAGCTCAGACAGGGTCTGCTGACTCTATACGACGTTATGAAGTGGACTCCTTGCTAAGGACTCAACAGGAATTACAAACTACGTTGCGAGAAGTCAAGTAATTTAGCTTTTTCCTAGGATTTGGTTCAGTGATTGTCATCATGAAATCGTTGTAGAAATTATGCTGCTGACATTCAGACGAGGATAGGCCATTTGCAGCAAGCGTCCAACGCCAATCCCGCCAGTTATCAGCAAGCTGGCCAAGTGCCCCTGACGGAAATACGCGATTCAATTAATAATGTCCGAAAGGATACTATGGCAATTTTGGCGAAACCCCAGGTAAACGGAATAAAATTGTGTTAAATTTAACCAGCAGAACAGCGCAGCAATGCGTGAAAGAAAATTAAAATGGAAACTATCATACATCGTGCCGCATGCTAATTTATGGAAGTGCACTGAACAAAATACTTTGGGTAATGCCTTCAATTTATTTAACGGTATCTTTGTTTTTTAGCCCATTAGTACGTGTCCTCAACAGAGCTGCCTAAGTACATTATGGTTTGGAGCGTTCGTTGTTATACAGACGGTTATATATGTCGGGTACAATCTTTTAAAGTGAGTATCGATTCGTATTGGATAGTCTTTTTCTGTTTTATAACTGCCCCATGTTTTAGGTCATCTAACGAAAGCAAGAGCAAGAAATTTTACTGAAGAATTTTTTAATTGTGTTTTATAATTCAGTTTTAACGTTTTTGATGGGTGTTTCCGGTGTTACGTGCAAATTATTTATTTTAAATGTTTTACATGTAAGAGGCAAAGACGTTCGGCAGTGGAAAACAAAGATCTCTCTAAGTTTCATTAACCTTTTATGGAAAATGACTGTTTAATTTATCGGTTGATTTATTTGCTCAGGTCATTCGTAGATTGTCGGTTCGGCACGACTCAGCAATTGTGACTGTTGTATGCGGATGGTGTTTAACAATAAAATAAAAGATCAGGTCTTTTTAAATACTGATGGGTGTCGTTCTGAAGATTAGTGTGATGGTTGTCAAGATAAGCGTAATTACAAAATCTTTATCCGGTTTACTGTGGAGAAGCAAACAACATGACCGTCAAAATGGAAATAGATTGCCTTGATTTGATGAAGAATTAGTGACAAAATAATCGACAGTTTTGGTAGGTGATGAGTTGTTCCGACACTTTTAACTGCTTATTAACCTATGCTGATTGAATAACGGTTTGTGATTGTCTAATTAACAGTACGTACTTGTAAACTTGAGATATGATTGATACGAATATTGGCTATTGTCTTGCGTAGATGAGAAGAACATAATGCGTGACTATCGGTGTAGTTCCAATGAGTAATTTGATTCGTGTTGTTGTTTTCGTCTTTTTGGTATCGCGCAAATAAGGGAAGTAAATAAGCATCTCCATGCCGACTTCAGCTACTATAAATCTTCTGCAAGGTATAAAAGGAACAACGCTACTACGGTAAAAATCGAGCTTATCAATATCACAATTTGGACTACACAAATAATGTGTAAAACATCAATCATATCTAGCTTTCTAATCACCAGCGGAAAGGGACAATTTTTAAAAACTCAAAGTTGTGGGATTGTGATGGCTGGCGATAGCGCATCCTGAAGTAAAAAATTTTCATTTGATTTCATCGGATCTACTAACAATTATTGTGAACAAAACGCAGTTTACAGGATAAAAAAGAGCTGAAGCACGGCCCAAAATTAGCGAGGGTTACTGTAATGTAATAGGGTTTGCGGTTGGTTTAGGGATAAATATTAAATATCTGCACAGTTGAATATCGCACTATGACTGTAATAAATTGAGGACCAATTAAACGATGCATGCGAGGATAAGGGCATGGGCACCGCAGACTGTCCAGTTTTTTTTTGGAAATGGTAAAAAACGACCAAATCGAAAAATTTTAGCTGCGCAAACGCGGGAATTGTACGGTAGTCGGTATAGATTTTTTCGTTTTTTAAACTGCAGATGGATTATTTAAGACGTGGTGATTTTAAAACTGACTGATTTAAAGAATTGCTTTCTACAGCACCTACGCGGCTTGAGGGGTGTGCGGTGTGCCGGTGCAGTGTACAGTGAATAGTGACAGCATGGAACTGACTTGCCAGCGCCGTACAACATGACTACTTTTCATTGTTAAAACCAAACGTACAGTGTCTAAATGTACGAGTATATAATATTGTATGATTGTCTGAGCATTCAGTGAACTTGAACTTGATTTGATAGCTAGTGCTTGAGGATACAACATAACCAGAGAGAATATTCCAAAGAAATATGCGGCATATTTTTTATTCAACTGCACAGATAATTTGTGTGTGAATTCTACTGGGTATAACATGATGATGATGTATTATTGTCGCTTTATATGTATGATAACATCCTCGTTAGCCTATCTAACATTACTGTAGATATTGTTTGACTTTTTATGTATTGTGTTGTACTGCTTACAGGTGTATACTGTACTGTGCCGTATGCAGGTCCTTTGATTGCGCGGTATACAGATTGTGATAGCGATCGTGTTAGGGGCAATTCGATTCGTTTAACGCTGGCGCTATTTTATTCTATTCATCTCCATCGTTGCTTAAATTCGGCGTTTGTTGTGACTGCGTGAGAACGGGCACAATTTTCCGCATTAGAAATTGTCAGAAAAATTAACGGTTAAAAATCCTTAATCATCACAGCCGGTGCCGACAATGTCGATAAGCTACCTCGGCACCGATGATTATTAGTGGTTAATGTCAGGTCATGCTCATCAGATTCGACGATATCCTACTGTCCAAATGATTGTCATTGTAGCAGAGTGACGGCAAACTTTGCCCCACGAAGAGTTTACTGTCAATCTGTTCAAAAAAGAGCAGTTTTTCCAACTTCGCTCTTCCTGATACTAAGAAATGTTAAATCTTTACCATCTAAATGCTTATCTTTTCCGGTCGGTATTATTTATATGGATCAGTTTAATTGTTACTCCCGTTTTCGGTACCAATCGGTATTATGGAACATATCTTTCATACGGATCTGTAAGTATCAGCATTTAATCACTGTTTCCATAATTTCCTAATACGAGGCATACAATTAGAATCTCTTGATGGTCTAAGTAAATCTGACATACTATAAATGTATAACCACTTATGAAATTTGGGATTTTGGACGTCGTCTCTGGTTATAGCTTCTAATTAAGATTGCAGTTGTAAAACAAGTGCATATGTGATACGATTAAACTTGGGTTTTTGCTCAGCTGCATGAGCATGCCGTCAACTGACATAATTTGATTTAATTTTATTATTACACAAACTGCTACGTTATATTGACAAGCACCACAAAAAATCCTTGTAGTTCTGTAAGACATCCTAGCGATGTGTTATATACAGTAACCAGCTGCAATTTTCCAGGGGGATACGATAATACAAACTTTCCATGCGCATTCGGGAAAAGAAGCTCCAGGTGGGGATTACTAATATCGTACTGGTCCACAGTTATTAACGCCTCATTATCAAAAAAACGTTCTGATAGATCGAAAGTGGCATGTGGAATGTCTTGATGGAGAAGCTATTGTCGGAATACAGTAAGTTTAACAAAAAGCTAGCTTTGACTGGCAATTTTGTTAACTTAGCTTATCTTTAATACCGGTAAAGGATAATTTAATAACCCCGTGCAGCATAAGTTTATGAGGTAGTGATCTGCAGTGTTTTATTACTTCTCTAGCAGACGGTCGTTATTCATTAGCAAGATTTGTGATGGCTTTTGACATTCGCTGTCTGCGTTGCTTTCTTTAATATAAAGTAGCTTATTGAGGCTTAATTGTTGGTTGTGATCATGAATCTATGATGACTTTCGGATTCTGTCATCAGTAATACTTTTACAGCCTTATTTCATAACTTTCCATGATTTGAGAACTAACATGCAAGAGCAGCTGCTGCAAACGTCGTAATAAAACTTTTATACGGTGCATAAGCTCGTGTTCGTATTTCTATTTTCTGTTGCGTTTCGATTTTTTATGCCGATCGAATTTGAAAAAGGATGCTCCCAGTCTATGCTTTCGATTTTTAATTATGCCGTTGATACAGTTTGCATTTACATTTACTGCACACAACTATGCTGAAACTAGCAATGTATTTTTACTTTTTAGAGATTGGGTCAATGACTTTCAGGTACGAGTAGATTCACTTCAAAACTCACCTGTGTAATACTGGATGTAATGTTTTGAACCCGCGCACTTGCATTTGACCATTGCTTGTTCACAGAAAATTGAAGCCGTTTGGTGCAAATTTATGTTTCCATACAAACCGCCCACAAACGGAATGTACCCTTATTATCCTATGTAAGAACGCAAGATTCCCTGTTTGTCGGCGTAAGGTATAAAACTTTTTTTTATGCAGATGCTTCCTCAGAAATTACACGTCCCAATTTTTTTGCTTCAATCCTCAGCACATTCAACTCAGTGTGAATTCGTTTATTACAGGTCTGACTTTAGTAGCTAATTGTCTTGCTTTCGGTGCATCCGCTGACAGTTATTTTTTTGCAGGATTCTGGGACAACGAATTGCAGTTTCTGGTGTTCCGAAAGGGATTGGATGATAGTCAGTTGTATAAATGCTGCAGAGTGCCACCGGGATATTATATTGATTACACCAGTTGCTACTAGTATGTCAGAATATTATTATAAAATTAATCAGCAAATTAGTAATTTTAATTCGGCAAAAGCCAATCACCGTAACAATAAACCTGCGCTTGAGCGACTACATAAAGTTAATATATAGCTATAGCGCTAAAGCGTTAACGTTGAAAACAAGCATAACCGTTGATATGCGCGTGTTACCAATTATAATAATTTAATGTGCTTATTTGCAGCATGCCAACGCATGACCAGTACTGGGAATACTACGTAAGTAATAAGTGTTATTGCATACGCTGGCCTGTCACCTTTATTTCGTGATTACAAATCTGCATTTTACAGGATTCTTTACAACATATCATTGTCTACTGCGCTAGCGGCTATGTTATGACGGGTTTATCGAAGAAGATCAACCCATACGATGCTGAGGCACGTTTGACCTTTCTGACAGCCATGAACCGTTCAGTACACGATCGCTACATTTTGTATAGCACGATAGCTTTAATAATTCCAAGAGCTGTAACAACAAAACCGCAATCTACAAGACTGATATATGTAAAAATTTACTGCCACAAGCGATTCGGAATCATAATTTTAATTTTTGAGAAGATCTGTCAGAAACTCTTATCAGTTTTGGACTTTGCAGTGGCATATAGAATGGATACAGTGCTGCCGAATTGGGTTTGGTGGAGCTGGTAGAATTCCCCCGCCAACACGTATTCAGCGCTCGGTAGACGCGGAAGACGAAGATATCGATCTTTATCAGGACGCGCTAGCTTCACTTCAGATTCCAAAGAACTATTCTGCTTTTTTCCGGCAACCCACCAGTAAACTGCTAACTGAATCGAACAGATTTGACGGTTTTAGCACATCGGCACCTGTTATTTTGTAAAATGTTAACGTTTTTGTTCGACTGCTTGTTCCTACATTTTGTTAATTCTGTAGTGTACGTGCTTCTAGTACATTTTATTTCGAAATGTGTGAATTCGTAATGGACTATGATACCTACCCTACTATTTGTTCATATTTTTCGTATTTTTATGGGTATCAGAAGCTCAGAATCAACGGTAATTAATTGTTCTGTGATCAGAGAATTGATGAAAATGCTTACTTAAACCGTTTGCTTATAAGTAATTTGAACTTTGTCTTTTAATTGCTGAACTTTCGAACGCTTCCATGACTCACGTATACTGAAAATTTACCGCCTTGGGTTATCCAGAAATGAATTTTTATTGACGCTGAAACCTTCTTTCTTTAATCCATTACTTTCTATTTATACAACAAAGTTTCATGCTTTGTAGCGCTATTCAGACAATGCATACGAAATAATGTAAGCAAATTTTTGTAGTCTAAATATTTAATAACAATTAATTAACAAATAATTATAGTATGCGTACTGCATAGAGCAACTCGAGGATGGCATTTCAAGTTAATTTGCTTCTTGGCATTATCATTATCGCACCCCTTGGACAAAACTACTGCGATGATTTTAATTATACGGCATATTTTATTTGATTTTATGTGGCACATTTAGTCAGCTAGGGGAATAAGCCGTACATTTGTGCTTAATTATTTGCGGTACTATTACGTAATGAATATTTTAATGCTTTCTTAGCGGTTTATAATGCAGTGAATTCTGAACAATTAATGCGCTTAACTAGAAATATAAATCTTAAACAGTTGTATCTGTCAGTATAACATGATTAACCTAACCATAAGAAGCAGATGATTGAACATTGCACGGGAACGTAGTTTGTCATTTCAAGACGTTTGGCCTTCCGGGCATGTAAATGACCCGGTCGAGCACCTTCGGCACGTTGTGGGCGTTGGTGCTCGCACATGCACCGCGCTGAAGGCGGAAACAAGGCAGCTCCTGTACACATTATACTTAAGTGTTTTTTTAAGAAAATAGTTGATAATTAATTTTCTTCGGCATACAGTTGAATGCTATGACAGTTATATGACAATTTGCAGTAAAACTTACTGTGTTAAGATTAATGGTCAATAGTTTGCTACAACACAAGCGGTGTGCGGACGGATCATTGTGTTTCTTGCTCGTAATCGCAGCTTGTAAAACTTGACTCAAATATGATGAGATAAATGCTTCGGCTTGTATCTTTATCTGTAAGCTCTAATGGAAAAATGATTAATGACTTTTTGAACATCAAGCCGTTAGTGAAAACCACGCTTTTTCTAGTGGAAATAAGAAAAAAACATGTACCTCCTTACTCAATGAGATTTTGGCTTCGACGGTCGTTCGTAGTTTTGCATATGGCGAAATGTATAGCAGAACGATTCAATGATGAACGAACCCAACCTTTTTGATCAAACACAAAAGCGCTTGCAATAATTTTGATAAACTTTGAGGATACGAAATTCGAGCTCAAACTATTGCAGTGCTAAACGTTTTAAAAAAAATTCACATTTAATAATTGCTGTTTTCAAACAGCTGCAATTTAAGTTAGTTAAAACCTTATAACGGAAACCATTAATGTTATGGTAAAACGCATTATATTTTGGGTATTGTTAGCGAAATTCGGCGTCATCGAAGCATTCGTTTCAATTGACAAGCGCCATCAAACATTTGATCGACTGGTCTTAAGATGTACAACTCCATCGTATATATACACAAAAACTTCTGCACAGCGTGGATACCCAGTCAGTAATTGTTTTGACCCTTTGTCAACGTAATTATGGTTACTGGCCGCTGAAGTGACAAATCTCACCATATTTTACGTTACCAAGCGTATTTATGGTGCGGCAGTAAGTTATTTCAAGCATGCTCGTTGATTCTTTTGTGCAACCCGCGTAATTTCTAATGCATGGGTGTGCGCCTTTCTTTATGCTGACAATTCCAAAAAGGTTCCTGGACATATAACCGAATCCCAACGTGTCCAGTTTCCATGAACGAAATGATATCGCGCCTATGGGAAATATTCTTGACCGTGTGTCTAATATTTTTTCCTTTTGGAAATGGAAATATAAGATATCTTGGATCAATTATGGCATACGGATCCGTGAGTAAAGAGCTACTCTGTTTGTTGCTCTTTCATTTGAGAAATTTCAAGCCTTGAGTATTTTTGAACTCACAATTGCAATTACGATTTACGAGTATTATGAGTACGCAATATCTTTACAGGGTGACACTATGCTGTATGTTGCCAGAAATCATGGAGGCCCAAAGTAAGTTCTAACATCAATGGGTTCAACCTCAGTCGTTTTCCCTACTCGTAGCACAGCTTGACCAGTCCATGCAAAACATTCGGCTTTTTTGAGTGTTCCGGAAGTCGAATGCTTGCGTTTCACACTGAATTCTAATTTTTTGTAGCTGCTTCGTACAGACTATACGATTATATGATCCAGTTAGTACAATGACTACAATCCAAAATTTTGCAAGTCCTTTGAGGTAGAAAAAGTTGCAGTAACGATATTGCAGCACCGCGAAGCATAAATGGAACATGGAATGTCTTGATGGAGAAGGAATGGTTGGAGTCCAGTAAGAATATTTCTACTGAGCCAAACAGTTAGACTTTTAAAATTTTGTTGAATTTACTGCATTTAACATTTATTAATCACTGAAAATATTTTTCAGCGATTGGCAGGATGATTTTGAGGTATGTAAGGTAATATGCAGCATACTATATCCGTCCTAAAGCAGCATACTATAGCTGCTGACCTTTATACTGCTCTAACATCATATCATTTTGTGTTGTCGTACTGACGATGACGAATTTGCAGCGGATACAAATGGCTCAATGTAAATTCCTGTTTCCATACAAGCCTCCATCGCACGGCTTGTATCCCTATTTTTCGAGGTATTTCTATACTTAACAAATTTTATTGGCCCAGCAATAATAACAAGTGCGTTCTGTTTTTAGCTGTGTTGTCAGAAACTACACCGGACAGTTCTTTTGTTTTGATCCACAAAATGCATCTCTCACAATGAACACATTTGTGACCGGTACATTAATCTTACGGATTTAGTGTTATCAGCGTAACAAGTACCGTACCGTAGTAAGTACTGCGTAAATGCATTCTCTTTGCGATGCACTTTAGCATTATTGTCCAGAAGACGGAAGAAGTAACTGTCCAAAATATTAAAATATGGTTTTGACAATACTGTTTATATGACGCAACTGAAAACAAATAAGCATCAAAATGTACCGCATTTTCTAGGACTTTGGGACGATGATTACACCTGGTTCACCTATCGCTCAGCTGCACTGGGTTCCGCGGCTGACAATTATCAACCATACAAATGCTGCAAAGTGCCCAATGGATATTACATTGACTACGTATCTTGCTGTACGTACTGCCGAAGTTTCACAAAGTTCTGAGGCGTTTTAGCCCATGAAAAATTTCGATATGGAGTCTAATGCGCATAAATATTTACATGCAGACTATGTACCGACACATGATCAGTTTCGCGAATTCTACGACGCCGTGACCCATCAGATCCAGATTTTATGTGGCACCGGCTACGTGATGACGGGCCTCTCAAAGAAACTCAATCCGGTCACTCAACTGTATAATTTGGTTTGGATTCAATGCTGCCGAGTCGGGTACAAAATAATTCCAAGTCCATTTTACATTAATTTTACATTTTGTATACGAAAACTAAAACGAAATGCCTCACCAATTTTGCACTGCGCATTTTCCTACCATTGTATTCATTTAAAATTGGAGTTGTCCGATACACAGTAAGACAATCTCCTGTCAAGCTTTATTGCGCAACTTTAACTTCATCAAATACAGGTACGGTCCAGCAGCAGTTGAGTCTTCTCCTATTGTGTACGGTCCGGGAAGAACGCCGGTATTTGTTGCAAGAGATAACCGGCTACCAACTTATATCAGCGAAAATTACCAATCGCAATACCGCTCCTTGGAAAAAGAGCATTGTGATATCTCCATGGATTCTTTTTCAAACCGGCTAAGTAATAAAACATTTGGTCCAGGAAACCCATGCACATGGAGCGATCGTTACAAACCGGCGAAACCCCGGAAATTTGCATCGATGTAGGCCCTCGGCTAAAAATGCTTTCAATTTAGTGATCATGAGTTTTGAACCATTTAGTAGCTGGTCACTTGAGAGCTGTCCACCTTGACATCCTGGTGAATGTTTTAAATAACATCGTACAACGCCTGAAATGGTATTGTTTTCTCGAAAACTATGTTGCAATTGTGGGTCTGTGACAGCCCAAGCAGAATGGATACCGCCTTACTTTTTACCGAAGTTTATCTTGTTAATATTTCAGCATGGCTGATTGGCTGACAGAAAAAAATCTTTATCGCACTCGGTTTTATTTTGCAAGTCTACAAGTATAGAAATTGTATATTGAAAATCCGCTATCGACCAACCTACGATCATAAAATTATTATTATAATGGTTATTATAAAATTATAATTATTAAGGCGATCATAAAAATTCTCCACTCTGCTTAATATTACAGTAGTAACGCTAACACCAAGGCGAAAATGCACGAATAAATTGCACATTAATAATGATAACAATTCCAAATATGTCGCCGCTTTAGGTAGCTTTTAAATTATTGTCAAAAAATAAAAGCTGGCATGAACAACATACGCATCCTTAATGTTGTGCTATAGTAAACAATACTGCATTCCGGCTGCATTATTTGCGAAGATTGATTCTCGCTTTCAATAGAGAGATACGGTCGGGTTTTTGAGTGACGTATTGCACCAACTTTTTAACCAGAAGAAGATCGATAGGATATATTGTTAAATCTATTAGTTTTGCTGTGCTACCCACGAACAATATGTCGATGACCTTGTTCGTAATTGCTCAAATATTATACCCACTTGTATCTGTGTATTGTAAGACTTACCATTCGTATTAAACTACATACATACAGTACATTGTAGTACGTACAATGCGTTGTCGGTGCAAGAAAATAAAAATGATCATGGTGTACACATAAACGAAGAAGTGACAGCTTACCAGTTAGTTCGCAATATACCGCGCTTACTATATTGTGAAAATTTAGTATCCATTGTATAGTTAAGATCGACGTACACTGTACAGCTTCCACTTTTCGAGTTCTGACGGTTGCAGTTTTGCAGAGACAGGTTACGAGCTCTTTTCTCACGGTCACGACACATTAGAATTGAAATTCATCATTATTGTGGCACTGCAATTAAGCATCATTTTTAAAAATGAGTTCAATACCGGAAGATTCTTTCTTACATATTATGATATTACCTGCAGAACAATGTTAGGACATTTCGGAGGAGCTATACGTTTATATAGCTTAATCCGATGACCTAAGTACGACACGTGAGTAGAGTTATCCTATTTCATTCACGTGAGTAGAGTTATCCTATTTCATTACCATCAGCTGACCGAAATGCTTCTCATCCCTCGCGATCTCTGTGAAGTTTAAGATTACGTGTTATTAACTTAAAATCTATAAATCTGGTGCTGTAAAATTAGGTCACTTCATATACAAAATGACTGATTTGCATATAATAAACTAACATAAGTATCTACAGATAATATATATGTATGGCGCATTGTTACTGCTAAAAATATTCTCGATTTTTTTTAACAGATTCGACATCGGTTCTCCGGTAAAGTAACGACATCAAAACACTTTCGGATCAGTAGAAACGGAAAAACAACAACGTTTTACAACATGTTGTTTTTATCCGGATTGTTCTTCCTGTGTGTATTTGGATTTTCGGACGCAACTTACCGGTATTATAACGAGCACCTCCCGTATGCTACGGTATATACTACGATAACTGCGCAAGATGACCTCGATTGTCCAATTTAACTAAAATGGCATAACCTAATAACGCAACGTCATAATATAGCTAATGTTTTTGCAACAAATACGGGTATCATGGATTGATGTTACTCGAAGCCAGAAGGAAGCGTGTAGCCATTTGTGAAAGTTCACAGAACATTTTCCCATCAGCCAGTCGGCTAATTAACAAAACGTAAAACAACTCACTAGCAAATTTTTTCCACGATTTACGCATTGTTATGGCTAACGTAAGGTAGTACTTGCAATGCTTAATCGCATTGTAGGGAGATACGATTCTTTCTCTGTGGCACAACCATGGAGGTCCACGGGTGGCCCACCGAAAGTGGAACATGGAATGTCTTGACGGTAAATTAATTAAGAACATGTTGCTGTTTTGCTGTCCTAAAAATATATATCTATATTGCAAATTTAACTCTTTCCTGTGTATTTTCTAGGAGAGGCAATGACTGGTGTCCAGTACGTTCAGTCATTCCTATTTTTTTTACGCCTCTACGTATAAGATTAGGTAATGTCTACAGTTTTGTTTGACAGGGATTTCTCAGACGATTTTGAGGTGAGTCATAAGATTATTCGATGATATAATTCTAATAAATTATTGTACTCGTACGTACAAATGCAGTGACTTCATAAAGGTGTTAACGCATATCCAATCGTATCTATCCACAGCGCTATCGGTATGGATAGCGCTGTGTTTCGTATGAAGTCCACTTTTGGCGTGTAAGCGGGTTACGTTTGTGTGTGCAGAAAACAAACTAAAAGCTGTTACATCGATATTTAAACCCAGCACCACTAGTACCTGTATTTAAGAAACTATAATAATTTTTGTGCAATTTTTATTTGAAATAAGCTAGGAGTTTTAGAACCACAAGTTTATGGAATTTAAAGCGCGTTCTTGGACGCGTAAATCTAACTACACATTTGCCAAAAAATTGGTCGTATACGCATTACGCACTAAAATGTTTTAACGAACTTGCGCTTTTTTGGTAGCGGCTGACTGCTGTATGGTGCAAATTTATGTTTCCCTACAAACCACCAACCCACGGAATGTATCCATATTTTCCCAGGTATAAATTATAAAAATATGCATTAATAGAATTATTTATTAGCTTTAACAATTAGCGATGCAGGTATCATAAAAATTAGATGCACGCTTCATTATGCAAATTTCAACCAAAATGTAAGCATGCTCGACAAAATGTTATCTGATAAAATTTTAGAATAATCACAGGAATGACCTATCACATGCGTTCATGTTTTACTTATAGTTGTATAGTACGAAATTTTACCACCGAATTCTTTTGCTTCAATGCCAACGATGCATCAAGATCTATCAATACGTTTATGACAGGTATAACAGAATAAACCCATTGAAAAACCGTGATACCAAGTACAAGAATTTTTTATTTTTGGTTTTCAGCATTTTGGGATAACGAGTACAATTTCTACGTCTATCGTCCAGGTGGATTCGGTTTGACGACCGGGGACGATTTGCAGCCATACAAGTGTTGTAAAACTCCGAAAGGCTACTATATCGATTATTTGTCATGCCGTAAGTCATTTTTATGATTGGGTACAACATGGTATCTTTCGTGAAATATTATCTATTTGCAGACTATATTGATAGTCATGATCCATACCGGGAATTCTACGATAGTTTGTCCAATTTTGTCATGTTATGTCCGTAAGTGTATGCGTACCATATTTATTAATCCCTAGTTGCAGAACTTGCAGTCACTTGGAAACTATGGGTTATAAGTACCTATTTCACTCGTAGCGCTGTTAATTACGGTAGCAATAGTAAACAGAAATTATCCGATTTAAAAAAAAATCGGATCGCTTCTGTCCACAGCTTTTGAACCTTCCATTAAAACCGTGTTGTCGGTTCGCAACCGGGGTCAATTATAGATATTTACGTACTTAATTATTATTTACGTAGAACTATTATTTACGTAGAACAATTATTTACGTCAATTATTTACGTAGAACTGTAACATTTTAAAAATAAATAAATTTTAGAACTGGATACGTTATGACGGGCATATCAAAGAAACTAACGCCATTCGAGCAAGAATATCACGTGGAGTGGATACAGTGCTGCCGGGTAAAAACAAAGCCGCAAATTTAAATTTTACTAAACAAACGTTAAACATAACATACGTCTACTGCATCATGCAACTGTAACTACGATATGTTATACTTCTATGCGTAATTGTTAGTCTAAGGGCTTAAGTCATCTGAAATATGTGCTGTATAGATGCAAAATAACTGCACATATATCGGCGCTTTATTCTACAGCTTGGTTATGGTGCCGCAGTAGCCCTTCCGCCGCCAGTGTATTCGGCTAACGGGAAGAAGGCATTTTATGCCAATAGTTATGCTGAAGCCCCGCGGATTCCAGAGGGCTACATGTCGCAGTATAAAATGGGAAGAAGTTATAACGAATCGATCAGCAATTATTCGGCCAATCCGAATGAGTCAACTAATGACTGGCACAGCTTCCGCTACACTGACAAGCCAATTCCAAAGGATTCGTTTAATCAAAAATACCTGGTGCAGAGTAACGATGTTGTCCATACGGCAATTAATGATAATGTGAGAAGCTCGTACTACTGACGTGAAGTTCCTCAACCATTTTGTTTTTTTGGATAACGCTGGTTATTTGTGGTTCGGTGTTTGCTAAGGGGCAACATTTGCTAATTTAACGGTAACCGCGTGCTTTTTACAGTAATGTTTTGTTAGTAGAACATTTGGTGAAATAAATATGCATCGAAGCTAGTGCTTAAGCACAAATATTTAACGCACGTTTGTTCCCCGTGTACGGTGCATTTTACATCGCAATTTCAATATGTCTAATTAACAATAAGTAAATACGCCGGTTCAGTCGTAATACAGTAGAACGACGAGAATTGTACAGGCCGGAGATTCAGCGCAGAAATGCAGCATCTGTCCTTGGAGTTGGCACGATGGACGGAGTGGATAGTTTAAATGAAGTTTGGCTGTTGTAAATAATATTACGTGTTTCTTTTATCTGTGCGTTGATGATTAATAAAATTTATGTGCTTTAGTTTCGCTGTGGTTAAATAACGGAAATGCTAAGGTTAGTACCTTTTAACTCAAGGGGGATAGTTTTTCAATGTTAAAAGTTAAAACTGGAATGTTTAAGCTTAAGTGTGTCTGTCTTTGCACCTTGTGATATTTTGATGGTTAACAATTATTCTCTACCTGCAGCTAAAATGTGATTATATATGCTAAACTTCTATAGATTAAACTGCTTTTTTATGCTAAACTTATTATGCTAAACTAAATTATTTTGCCGCATACGTGTAGTGCAGGGAAGTCTTCTAACAAAAAGAATGAACCAAATCCAAAAGAATGAACCAAATCGAACCAAAAGAATGAACATCTGCACTCTACATACATACGAGTACTGTACTCGTATGTATGTAGAGTGCAGACGTTCATCTTCTTTCACAACACATGGAATTCCATGTGTTGTACAAACCAGTAGTCGAAATTCCAGCCACAGAATAACAATTTCTTTAAAAATCGTTCCGGGATCCAACACATAAAACAACGTTTTGCCACCACATGCAGATAAAGGTCACTGAAATCAACTTAACGAGTAAATGCACCCTCGGAACGATTGAAGACAGAGGAAATAGAAATGTTGTGTTTCGCGTGTTTAAATTGGCGAACGATGAGTGATTGTTTTTCTATGTTTTAAATTTAGATAAGATGTACAGTACATGAGAGTTTTGAAAATAAGTGTTTCTCACTTTGATTTAAAATTAAATGATGCATTTGTCTGAAGAGGCAGTGCAACATACCATCAGCAGGGTCAGTGTTTTACGTGGATCTGCGCTTCCCTGATTGCGGTTGCGCTTCCGGCTATCCCGAAGCCTGGGCAGTGTACTTTTGTGCAAGGCGCCCGCGACTGTCATCTTCACCTTCACAATCATAATACAATACCATTATTTTCTTTTCTCGTACTCCGCTGTGACGTCACAAGCCGTACTACTGATTCCCCGAGTTGTGTGCCCTCTGCTAGTTGTATCAGCTTCTGACCGCCCCAGAACTCGAGTTTTGTGGTTTAATCTTGACAACTGGAAGGATATGACAGTACCGTGATTTTTTCATTTCGACGGTTTCGTTGATTAGTACGAACTAGTACGAACTACGAAGTAAGTACTTTGTAGTACGAGTAGTTTTGGTGGAATTATCTTTTCTTTGAGCTTGTGGTTGAAACAGGTCACGGGATAGCTCCAAAATACAACTACTAACTGATTTTGAAATGCAATATTCTGTGCAGCTCTAAACATGACGGGGCTTTCAACGAGGACGCTTGTTTGTGGGTTTAACGGTTCGCTCCGATTTATAAAAGAAGAGGATTCTACTGGCAAGAATGCATTCTCTTCGAGTTGGATAACACCATTCTGGAATGATCTCGTGAACGACTGGAGCCCAGAAATGCTATCAGTATCATCCTCTTGGGAGCAGCTGTTTCTTCATTATGTGGGTAAGGAATTTGAAACCTAATCTCTGCTAAAGTTGTATCGTACTATAAACACTGAATTGCCAGTCGTCACTCGTTAGCCGGTTGACAGTGGTTGAACACTTTTATGGCAGAACTTTGTTTAAATTTTACCATTTAGTTTTACAAATTTATCTTGCAGGTTCCAGCGAAACCTTCTCGTTTGGCAGCTCGAAGATGATTTGCACAGGAACTGTAGCCGTCGCTGGCACATTGCTTTATTGTGCCAGCGACGATGGGAGTGTTGCTGTTCACCGACCTGAAGATGCAGCTGTGATAACGAAGTTCACAAGGTACGAGGAGCGTACACGGTACAATGCCAAACCTTGTATGATTTTGCCTGTATGTTTCTGTTCTTTTGCGCTGGTGCAGTGATGGACACTGGAGACGACTAAAGATGATTTGTGCACCGATCGCATGGGAAACTGGCCTCGCGTCGAAGGGATACCGCTTGTTTGGATTGGACTTCGGTAAGTACTTTGCTGTGCTGTGGTTACTCCATAATCCATATCAGACTAGTGTTTAAGTGCGGTTGTGCTTACTTGGTATACTTACTGCTTTCCTTTTTTTGAATTAATTTTTTATGTACTTGGCTTTGCATAATTCTGTTGCTCGGTGGTACAAACTGTAGAGTAATTCTCATTTGGTAAAATAATAAGTGCAGCATTAGGTATTAGTACGAAAATATATTTTCAAACGTTCGTAGCCTTTCTGACCAGATTTACTGAAAGGGTTTGCTTGGACTTGTTATTGTGGACGATATTTTTGATGATTATTTTTTAATTGTTGTTTTATCTTTATGGATGGTAGGCTGTTCGACATCGGGCTCGCAAATGGACAGATGGTGTCCAAACGTATTTTAATGGAAGAAATTGTGACAGAAATATCGGCCGGGCGAGAGCATGCGCTTTTTTTGTCGTCATCTGGTGCAGTTTACAGTTATGGAATGAGCAGGTACGTTTTATATTTGAAACTTGATTTTATTCGTCCTACCACGAGTAAAATATGCATTTTATAATTTTATGTGTAAAAATGCGGATGGAACAAAGTGTACTTCTTGTACGAAAATAATTACATCTTTCATTAAATTAAAACACTTTTGTAATTTTCATTAACCTATCGTTTGATTACAGCCGTGGTCAGTTAGGTCATGGGCACCTCAATAACGAGCGCACTGCAACTAGGATCGAAGATGATTTTGGAGGCGTCAAGGTTATCCAAATTTCTGCCGGTGGCTGGATGTCGATGGCTTTGAATGGTATGTCGTACTAACTAAACTTAATTTTATTTTCACTACTGTTTGCTGTAGCCTGTAGGTAAAGCTGCAGGTGACCAAGTGTACACTTACTGTTTTGCGAAAGGTTGTTTGCAGTACGGTAATTTCACAGGACATTTCGCAGAGCAAACTTCGTACTACACCCCGTCGAATTTCCTACCGATACAGGGCTTTTCGTGGATGCAGTTTGCATTTCTTTTTCTTCTTCGAAGACTGGCAATGTTTCACAAGTTTCGGCGGCTTTGAAGGTTAGTTTTTCTCGAGGAGCTGCTTGAACGTCCACCTATGTTGCTAACTTGCTACTGACTGATGGACGTAATGTCTTGGCGACGAATAATATAAGCGATGAGTGGAGTTTTCAGGGAAATGTCCATATCCCGCGGCAAGCTGGCCGGTGAAATGTCGCGGTGCGGGCGCGACATCCATTGTTCGAAAGCCTTTGGAGAGAAACATTTAATCACCGCGTAAAGAACTAGACTTCTGGTTTTCTTGGACGGGATTATGGAGGATTCTGTAGCGTTTCTCTGTGGCGTCATGATGGAAGAGTGCCGAGGTCATGCTAAGCAGTCTCTTTTGGCTGTTTTTGTACGCGTTAGAATCTGGGTAGTTATGAGCGGAAGAGATATGTCTTGCAGTCGGGCAGTGTTACGATTGGTATGACCTTCGTATGCGTTAGTGCGGATGTTATAAGGAATGCGCACACTGCATAATGTAGTGAAATTTTGAGTAAGCTAGGCGACTGTTGGACAGTCCGGTTGAACTGTTCTGCGGGCTGGGAACAGCATTAGCAGTACTTCAAGAATTTGTGCTTCTACTGACGGTGCACTGGTACCACACGTACAGTGAGAATCTGCAAGTGTGTTCCTTTGTAGACAATGGTGAAGTTTTTGTCTGGGGTTGGAACAGTGCAGGAGCATTGGGCCTTCCGTCAAGAGGCGTACGGGAACGGACCGGTAATCCCATAGACAACAATGAAGAATATGTTGAAGTTATTGCGGAGCCAAAACGTCTCGATCTTTATGAAAAAATCGTGTGGATCAGCTGTGGGATGAGGCACTGCGGTGTTATAACCAGTAAGCATGCCGACCGTAATTCATGTCTTAACAGGCATCTGTACATTTTGGAGATATTGTAGTGTGTTTTGGATTTAAATTAATTTGTTGGATCTTGGTTATTAACTTTTAAATCAATTATTAGGGACAGGGAGTGTTCTCGTTTGGGGGCTGAATCAGCATGGTCAGTTGGGATTGGGGGATACGGTCGATCGTGATGTTCCTTGCCGAGTTTCCTCACCTTTTCCCGATGCGAAGATATGCCGGTTATTTTGTGGCGAGTGGAATACCGTTCTTTTACTACAGGAAACTCAACGAACCAGAACCTAGCCAAAAAAAAGTTTACGGAGTTACGTTTTTTACTGACGCTGGTGTAATTGTAAGTGATAGCTTTTGAAGCATGTTACTCCGCATTTTTGTTTATTGCTGTTTCACGAGCGATCTTGGTTTATTGGTTTACGGGTTTTGCGTAACTTTAGAGACTTACTGTGTTTGACTCGGTAATCATGGCGATTAAATCACGAAAGACGAATCTGCACAGTAGGAAACTGGAACGATTTATCAAACCAAACTATGACGGCGAAGACTGCATGATAACTTATTGGTCTCTTTCTAGCCATAAAAAATGTTCTCTCTTATACGACGTACATAATGCCACAATTTTTAGAAAGAACTTGAAAACTCCTCAGGTTAGATTGATGAAGTCGCTAATCATTAGAGTATACTGCGCTGACAGTTTCATGATGACCTTTTTGAAACTCGCTTATTTGCAACACGCGCTGCAATGTACGCCGTAATTCGGTATATTAACCATAAGTGCTATTTACTAATTGAAAGTGGCCACTACCTAGCGTGAATTTATAGTGGTTAGTGTCGCTGTACCACACAAAAATGCGCGAACTTCACGCCACGATATTCCTGCAGCTGCGCGAGGCTCGGCGAGAGAACAGGAATGATCTGTTCAGCATTCTTCCCTTAAATTTCCAGCTGCATGCAGAGTGCAGACCACTTCCAACCGCATTGTCTTTCGATTCTGCTGCTCTGCGTTAGAATCAAAAATTAGCAGTTTAAGATAAAGTATTTTTAAACCACTAGAATGGGAAAAAGTAAGGAAATGTTTGTCAGTGGACAGGGGGCAGTGGGCACTAAACCACGCTATAAGCTGATGTCGTTTTCTACCAGCTGCAGTCTTGAAGGGGGAATGGTACGAGTGGTACCGCACATGATACACAACCGATCGACCTGGCTTAGGCTGGCTGTAAGCAGCAAAATTAAGGGTTCCGTAGATTAAATGATGAAATGCGAGGGTTTTCTCAAAGGAACCACCAGTAATCATGTAACACTCGCAATTGCAAAATAAATTGCATAGTAAAGATTGATTTCTCTACCATAGTACCAATTTGACCAGCCATCCCAAAGTAGCTTTCGCAAATGCACCGACACCTGCGGGGGCTGTCATAAGGTTTTGGTTGTCGTTTCACCATGCGCTTCGTTACGGTACTGACCCTAAAGTGATGGAGGCCGGGCTTCTTGTGTGGGTTTCCATACAGAAAGCCGGGCGCCGTGTGTTTGCTCGAATACCGTACTCTCAGTTGATATCGATTGGTCTCGTCATGCGTTGCTGATTCACTGTGCCTGTACTCGAAAAATATGATCAGTTGTGTTATCAGACCAGTTGCACGGTTTTCTCTTCCTCGCAGCAATATCAAATTATGCCTTTTGCGGCATGTAGATTAATAATTTGGACAGCGCGACGTATGCATGATGCTGTTGTGTGATGCTTGTATCCAATGCTTTCCTTTACAGCTGACCATTTAAAAGTGTTTTCCAATATAAACGCTGATCGGAAGGCGACCTGAGTGGTCAGTGGCACTGCCTTGTGTAATTGGTAACAATTGACGATGTCCTTCCGGATACGGCCTTCGAAGTTTCGTCATGTTTATGGCGATCCAGCGAAGAAGCCGCTGTGTTATGAGAATATTCGCATTTCCAAAAATGCCCACGACACCTATTTTGCCTGCGTGAATCCGAAGTTTCTGGCAGTGATCACAGAAAGTGCTGGAGGGGGGTCGTTTCAAGTTCTACCACTGGAAAAGGTATGATAGATTTTGTTGTGTTTTGTCTTTTTGATTGCGTTAAGCTGGTAATGCATGGCAGTCAGGGGTGGCACACTTTTTAACTCTTAGAACTATTTTGGACGCCTGCTTGCCGTGCAGTAAGAATGCGAATGGGACATCCAATGGCATATATGCAGAATAATATGTATTATGTGATACGACAGATATATATACAACTTACGTTAATTACTTAACTCGTGGCTTGCTTAATTTGAATTAAAACATACAAATTTTTATGCGACTTTGTGTACCGCGAACAAATCGGAAATTGAAGTTGTTTTGTTTCCCTCGCTTGTATCTGCTGTTAAAAAGCTGGGCACTTATTCTAAAGTGAAACCTTGATACGCTTTTTAGGGCGATTAAAAGATTGATTAAACGATCATGTCCTTGCAATCCATGCCGTCACGCCGCTGTACACTGCGTACGCACGACGACATTAAAATTGATATATCTGAAATACTGTGCTGTAGAATGGTAGCGCTATCAGTAATCTGTATAATTAATATCAATTTTTGGTTTATTATAGATTCACAGTTGGGAAGAGTTAGATTTCACAGATAAAAATCCGATATCTGTCGCGCATAGATTAGATTAGTATTCGTCTAACATAGACGGCCGTCTATGCTTCTTTTGTGCCGTTTCAGTGTTTTAAAAGGCTTACGGTGAATTTGCAGCCGAGAATTCCATAATCACACTAATTATCGCGATAAATTTGAATAGACTGTTTGTTTTAAAACTGTAAATATTGACTTCTGCTGCTGGTTTGTGCAGTTTTTATTGAACCAAGATTGATCCGTGCCAAGCTAAAATGTGCGCGTATACAGATACTGCAGAAAAAATATCTTGGTTGTACAACGTACATCCAGTTTTTGAATCTCACGTCGTTGTATCAACTAAACTTTCTGCATACGAAATGAGAATATTAGTCGAACGTTAACTTTATAATGCTGTTGAAAATAAACAACAGTTCTGCTAGACAGTCCTTAATGCAGCATTAAGCGGTGATTTATTGCATGCCTGGCAGCTGCTTTGGTTGTTTGACTTTAACGTAGATCGTTATGGATTTTACAGGTTGGCCGCATTGATCTCGACTTTGGGAAAGTCAGTGGACACACAGGACCCGTTCTTGATATAAAATTTGATCCCTTCAATGATAACGTTATCGCTTCGGCGAGCGAAGATTGTTCAGTAAGTTTCCATATCAGTAAAGTATTTATTTTAAATAAAAATTAATAGGAATTATCATAATTTCAGTCCTGAATTATAAATTTTAAGCTCGCAACCGTTGTTTTAATATGGCGGTACATGTACATTAATGTTATCTCTAAGAAATTCTGAATAGTCAAGCTATGATAATACTATGTTTATACTCCTACAGGTGAAAATATGGCACATTCCTGATGGAGGTGTCAGAGAAATGCGTGATGCACTGGTCACTCTGCAAGGTCATCAGCGGCGCGTCGTGCAGGTTGGTCAGTGACTGTGGCTAATTGAGAAAGTTGTGTATTTTTGTCAACGATACATAATATTTCCGGCTGGAGATTTTTTCAAAGTGGATGCTACTTGTACAACACGGTTGTATCCATTATGTTTCTAATCGGATGTTACAGTTAGAATGGCATCCAATCGCGGAACACATACTGTTGTCAGCCGGTGGTGATTCATGGGTGAGTGCAACTGTGCAAGTGTGTAGTCCAAGCAGCATGAATGCATGACTGCATGCACGTAGTCCAGTTCATCAAAACAAACAAATTACACGGACCACGGGAAATGAACTCTTAAACCCGTTAATCCGTAGATTGCTTGGCGAATATGCAGGCGGCTTGCCGACAAGTTCCGTATCGCCGGTATCGGCAATATATGTTTTCTGACACCTCGGCGTGTGATTGATTATAGTCGTATGGCTGTCGTAAAACTAAACATTACGAGATGCAGTATTGTCTGTTTATCTTTCTAAATGATATGCATAATTATAAGAGTGATCACTTAGTATGGGGCATTCTAAAAAAATTAAACATTGCGCTGTCCAGAATGAATAAACCATACAATTGAGTAGTACTACTTTTTTAACATTACTATGCTGCTAGCATTTTACCTAGTATATCTACTCTTATTCATTCGCGAAACAACAGGTGCGCATTATTCTGAACGAATATCTGTCATGTTGATTACCGGCTTGCTGCTTTTTTTGAAGTACATTTTACTTTATTAGTTTAACAATTGTGGAATAAGGTTGTATTGTTTGACATTTTAGGTAATCGTATGGGATGTTGGGCGCGGAGATGCTGTGAGAGTGATCGACTGTCATCGGGATGTGGTCTGCTCAATGGGTTTTAATTTCACGGGTAGCCTGTTTGCTACCACATGTCGCGATTTGCAGGTTGGTTTCCTCCTTCGGTCAAATTTTGTTGAAATCTGATCGGCGGCACGCTTTAACACGTATCACATCCAAGGTCATTATTGTGGTTTTTTTCTGTCTTTGAACCTAGATTCGATTGATTGAACCACGAATGGCCAGTGTGGCACAGGTTAGTTTGATTAGGAACGATGTCACTTTGTAGACTGTCCCCAATTTTCATCGATTATTGCACATTATTTGTGCATGTAATTGCAGACGACTCCCGGACACGCTGGATCAAAACCGTCGAAACTGGCATTTGTTACCAATAAGAAAAAACTCTTCACCACAGGCTTCTCCAAATACAGCGACAGACAGTTTGCCCTCTGGGATGTCAACAGTAAGTTGGCGGTGGCGTACTGTTTTCCGCTGGAGGCTGTTTGTTGAATTCATTATGACGGGAAATTACGGTAGCTGTTGTGTGGACGTGTGCCACATAGATATGCAGATTTTGTCAACTATTTGAACATAATGACACTTTCCCTAGCGTATCGAAATTTCACGCCTTGGCGATTAGCATGATGCGCTAGACGGACGATTGTCATCCGTCCATCCGACGTTTCTGTAATGTGAGATTACCCAAACGGAATTCCGATAGAAAATTAAATCAGCGGTAACTTTACTACAGGACCGATATAAGAGCTTGCCACAAAAAGCTACAGAAATTGCCCAATATGTAATTATTACTAAAGTAACAGCAAATTTTACGAAACTTTGCATAAAATAAAGGTATTTTGGTATTCATATCGGATAACTGCAAGTAATTGCAAAAAACGGTATTTCTTAAGGGAAATTGTGCCGTCTGGTGAAAACATTTTGCTTTCCAGATTTGTCGCAGCCAATAAAGATGGACATTATGGATTCTTCTAGTGGTGTGGTATTTCCCTATTACGATCCGGATACGAGCGTAGTCTATCTAGCAGGGCGGGGGGACGGAAACATACGCTATTACGAAGTGACAGACACGCTGCCTTATTTGCATTATTTAAGTCAGTATCAGTCCACTGCACCGCAACGAAGCGTATGCGCTATGCCCAAACGTGGTCTGAATTTCAACGCATGTGAAATTTGGAGATTTTATAAACTTTACGCAACGAAAAACTACGTGGAGCCAATTTCCATGATTGCTCCTCGTAAGGTGAGATGGGTTATATTTTTTTAAACTGCATATTTGACGAATAGGTTTATTGAAACCATTGTAATAAATTTAGGTTTCTTTTTGTTTTTTGGTAAACCTTATTGCTAGTGAAACTTACCTCTAACTTGTTTAAACTTATTGAAAATTAGTTTCTTTGCGTATGTTCAACTGCAGTGTGTCTTATATCTGTTTTTCTAAAGTACTGTGAAAATGTTGAAAAATTGTAACTCGCCTAAAACGCAACTGGTCCACGGTAGTGTGGTGATAATCATGTACAATGATTAAGTATGAAAAATATCACCGGTATTGTAATAATTAGTTAGCGCAAGCTGCTGCCAGACTAAAGAAATACTGTTAATGCAGTTTCAATTTCCGCTTTCAGTCCGGATTATTTCATGAAGATCTTTTCCCTGATACTGCTGGACCAACACCAGCATTGACAACGGAGGAATGGCTAAATGGCAACGATGCCAAACCGGTCCTGATCTCACTTAAAGTAAATAAGCATTTTCTAGAGTTATTGTAATTATAATCCCCATTATTGGCAACTAGCATTAAATTTATTGCTGTCTTTAAACAGAGCAATACTAGTCTGAAAACATCAAAACCGGTTATGTATAAAGCCGATGAGAATCAGTTGATCACATCGGGTATGTATAACACATAATTCCGTTTGATCATTTTTTCTGCATTGTTCAGTTGTGTTACGGCAACGCCTGGATTGAGGATTGGCTGAAAGTATGTTTCTTGCAGATCGCAACAACGAACTAAAATTCCGCTTTATTGCGGAGACTGCACAAGTGGATTACCGACCACTGAGTGAGCGAAAAACAAATAAACACGCCAATGGATCTAATGGTGCTGACGATACGGAAAATAAGTAAGCTTCTATTTAGCCGTAGCTGGACGGATCCCAATGTAGAGAGGTTAAGTAACCGAGTATAGGTGTTTATCTTACCAAAAATGAATTTTTGTTACTATAATGTTGAAAAATAGAGACTGAGTTATGTTATACTAAAAGCAAATATTCAATGACTTTATTGTAATTTAACGCTGTTGACCGAAGATGTTATCCAGAATACCGTAAAATTTAATCTGATAATAATATATTCATTATTGTTGGGTGGTTACTGATCATGTACTGCATATTCTGTGTGTGTGAAATTGGTGAAATGAATAGTTCGGCTGATGCGTCATTGCGTCATACATTTTATAAAAGAAATGATGAGCATCTCCAGTTAGAGCAATTTTTTTGAACAGATCGAACAAAGACTTCAGGCCTCGGAGCTTATACGTCGCGGCCAAGGAAGACCAGATGCTTAAGCAGGATAATCGGTGAGCTGCTGTGGCTTGGCGTATGCTGCAGTGCATTAAACGTAATCGGGAAAGTCAGCTTCCGCTTATTCCAGAATCCATTATGCCACTTCCGACTCTCGTATTTGACTTAGCGCTGTAACGCGTTCTGGTTGTTTACATTTGCTGTAGTTGAACAGCAATTCTGTCGCTGCCGCTAGTTTATTTTTTGTTGTCGTACTTGTTAATTTCGCTGAATGTTGAACTTTCTTTCCAGGGGGGATCGATTTCAGCGACATCGATTTAGCTGGCAGGGCGATCCTCCGGCAGAGTTTTCCGGGTAAAAGATGCATTTTAAAAGAAATTACATTTATATTTTATTTTATTACACTTTTCAATTCCGGCAGATGTAAGTTAATGATCTCTTAAGCATTTTATTGTCTGTGTACAAATTTTGAGATTTACTAATATCGTTATCTGGGTTTATAGCAGTGATGGGTCACATCCAAATGTTACGATCCCATCACGGTCATTCCAGTCTTTACAAAGAATGTGGAATGATCGCCAGAATCATTCGCTTGACCACGTTTCTTCGTCAGAATCTCCAACTCCTTTTAATGGACATCCTTTTGTACCGCTGCTTGAGTGCGCCGAAGAAGGTGAAAGCGAATTACGATCCACACCGGTCCAGTCAGTATCCGGGGTGCATCCTGCTTTTTTGGATGCAAAGACGCTCAACGGCCATGATCACGGTGAGGATGTCGTAGCAAAGAGAATGTCGGACGAGCGAAACGATAAAGAAAATCGAAACCCACATTCTTCGGAAAGTCCGGTAAGAGTTTCTCTGTTAATGCTATTCCAATGTGCGGGTAATTGTAGCAGATATAAGTATTGCAATTGTAGGATGCCGGCATCGCTAGGTGTATGCATGTAATCTATTTAATGGAACTTTTACTTTTCATGTGTTCGATCAAAAACCAAAAATTGTGGTTGACTTTATGGTAATCTTTTTTAGGGTCCCCAAATCTACAAAATGTATCTGGAACAAAAAGAGACAATTTGTTGTTTACAACGAGAACTGAAGCTGAAAGAGGAAGAAAATTTTCGATTGCGATACGAAATTGAAATGTTGAAGGCTCGATACAGTGGCGACAACAACCCTCTTCAAGTAGAAAAGGAAGTGGTGATAATGACGATGGTGGACACAACTGATTTGGAACACGCGTCGGTGGAAAACGCAGAACGTGAGCGTGAAGAAACTGGAGAGTCTCAAATTTAGCTTGTCTGCACTGCAAATACAAATATTCTGGATAAAGGTATATTGCAAGTCTTTTGCTCTTTTCGCGTTCTGATAGCATACAATGCAGGAGCTTCCGCTGTGGTGGTTGCAAAGAGAGGTCACAACATTAAGACTGTGAACTGCAAATACGCCTCGGTCTGTGTTACACTGTATAAGAGGCTTCGCATATGATACGTACCTACAAATCAAAATACCACACATATAGATTATTCTAATGTAAATTATGAACATCAGAACATACATGTGCAGCTATAAGTTAGATACAACCAGATGCACATTTAATCTGATGCACCGGAAGGTCACTGAACCGTAACTTTGGGTGACAGGATAAACTGCAGTACTTACTTCTACTAGAGTAGATAACTCTTTTAATTCAGCCGGCGCCATAGAGCAGCGGCATGATCATGATTTTACCGTCCTTAATCCTACCACATTTGCAGATAGGTCGAGTATTAACGAACTCCAGAAAATGGATTTCCGAATGTCGTGTAACTAATTTTAGGCTTGCACATTTTTAAAGCGTTGTTTAGCTGGATAAACTAAATCAATACTATTCAAAAACAAAACAGTAAATAGAAATGGTTTACTTTGTTAGACATTTTGTAATTCCATTACTCACAATTGCAAGCATATCTGCGTCCTGTGGTAGTAGGCCTCTACGTGACATTAATACAGTGTGTAAAGTCAATTAATGTACTGTACAGTGTAGTCCTCACGATTTTTTAGATGTAGAAAGTTGAAATTCCGAGAAAAAATGCTCATTAGTACTTAATAATTGTTCCAGTATGGGTAACCATGTGGCGACTTTGTGTCAGTTCATGTAAGTGTGAAATCATATTCTGTTTATATAATTAAATACTGTGATTTTATGACGCACTTTTTGACTTCGAAAGTCGCATTTTGTTAACGATTCTTACTGGTCGTACTAATTTTATGGAATATGACTTCATGATCAAGTCGTTTCGCCCGGAGCGCAGTTCAACTTGCAAGTTGCATTCAACAGGATTTTTTTTCTGGTTTTCTATTAAAATAAGTACATCAATGCAACAGAATATTCATGTTTATTTGAATTGGAGGTAATATTCATGTTTTATAATTTTACAGTTTTCTGTGGTAACACTTTAACCAACTTGCTTCCGTTTTTCCTTAACACTTTTTCTTTCTGCTGGAACAAGACTGTATGTACGGGGTTAGGGCGTAAAGTAGATACAATCAGACAGCTCATATAGATACAAATTTGAAATATACTTACGCTTGCAAAATCGTGCCGCCGCTGGTGCCACTACACTATGAAGTTCAGAAACAATATTAAGTATAATTAATATATTAATGTGTCGTACGGCACCTGTACAGCATATTTATATTAATATCTAACAATTATAAAGCGCACTCTATTACTATTTTGCTATTTAGCTATTAGTACGAGTAGAAGTGCAGCTCATGAATGAGCGTAGTCATCTGAAGCCGCTAGCGTAAGTACGTGTACTCGATCTTACCATTAGGCGAGTGCGGTGCAGTGGCTCACTGTGGCTGTCGCCAGTTTACGCTAGTCTTATTATTTTTTCTACGCTTAATTTCGATCACCCGATCCTTGTTCAGTCCTTTGACTTTCGGTGATTTATTTACTTTAACTTCGCACGTGTTTCCTGACTTCCTGCTCTTATAAAAATCGTTTTGTTAGCATTTGTAAGATTTACTGCGGCTAAGCAGGTTACAGTTAACTGTTATTTTCAAAACTTGCGCAGCTTCTTTACTGTTCTGGCCTAAATTATTGCATTCTGTGTCACACGGGATGGGGAATACAAGAACTTCCTGTTTACTTTGGACCGCCAGGACCAGAATTTAAGGATTTCGATGATTTGCTCGATTTTTTCCTTAATTCGACGATAATATTTTTCTTCTTTAGCATGGTTTTTTACCAAGGATTGCCACTGATAATCACCAGACTTTAGTCACTTTTTCTCGTTCGAACGTGAAATTCATGGATAGATTTCCTCTCGTTCATTTTTCGTCCTACATCTAAAACGCTAATCATCCATGAACCATCGCTTGCAAGTTGCAGTTCAAATGAGGATTCTCTTATTATCCGCATGTGTATTTGATTATACATGATATGTCGGAGGAAGAGTCGCGTTTTGCTTTTGGCCATTCGAGCATTCAATATGAGTACGCTTTTCTGGCTTTTTGTAACATTTGGCTGTGTCTACGGGATTACGGGAAAAAGAGGTAATTTAGTGACTTTTTAGTCACATTTGCTTGATCAAGGCCGAAACATTTGTTCAGGTTCTTGAATAAACAGCCAGTTTACGTTACTTGTAAATTTCGTAGTAAATTGTATTTGCAATGACTAATTCGTCATGCACGGTTGGTAACCATTGCGATAGCGAGCATATTGTATTTGCCTATCTTTAGCAAGCATGGCGGGTTATCAGCACTGCCAATCAGCACACGTGCCCCTTTTGCAAATCATTAATTTGGCCTTAATTTAGATGATATCTTGGATGAATTCTATGGATATGAACGAGTCAACGCGGTGATATCGCCGTTAGTGGAAAATGATCGCACTGCCAGGAGCAGACGCGACGTTTTCGAAAATTTCACCCTGGAAGCCGATAGCGCAGTACCCAGTGGAAAGCGCTTGCGATTTTCTGCTTTTGGAAAAGATTTCGATATTGCGCTGAAGTTGAATGTGGCACTGGTCGCGGATAAATTTGCCGTGACAGTGGTTAAAGGCGCTAATTATGAAGTTCACCATCCCGTCGTTGAGAAATGCCACTATCGTGGTCAGTTGGTGGGAATCGCGAATTCCTCCGTGGCAATCAGCATTTGCCGTTCCGGAATAACGTACGTTTCTTTGACACATATAGTTTTAAAAGTATTAATACAGAACAACCAGAAATGGATGAATTAGGCATCAATTGATCTATTTGACGTCATTAGCGCACTGGCAACATGTCTTGTGACGCTTTCGGCTGGGGTTGATAAAAATCATTTAAAATTGATTCAGTTATTAGCTGAAATATTAGCTGAAATTTTAAATGACAGTTAATCTGAAATTTGGTTTTGTTTTACTTTTACGACTGATTTAATAAGCATGAATAATGATTTAATGCATGTGGTCATTCTCGTGGTAGATATCGAAAAAGGTTGAATTTGCATATTAAATTTTGAAGCAGGTCGATATTTGAGTACGAGCACAGTACTCACTGGTCAGTAGTACATACAGTACATGTTGCTGCGTTAAGAATTACTGGTATTTACTTCAACGATTGCAACATTGTAGAACTCCTTGTTAGTGTGAAGATTCTCATGAATAAACAATTTTGAGGTTGCATGTTTTTGCTCTAGGGGGTACATTCAGGATGGTAGTGGGGAAACATACCATCTTCAACCAGCCGGTCATGACCGACGAAGTGTGATAGTTACAAGAGAATCCGATAGCATTCCCGTGGAAAAGTTATGCGGTACGGCATGTTTTTCAATGTGTTAAGTTAGGCTTAACGCCTGAAACTAGGTGAATGTGCAAATTTATGCTGTCATCGAGAATTTTTAAAGAATTCCTCGTGGCAGATGCCGCTGCTGACAGGAGAAGGTTAACCTGAATTCTGGACAGACAATTCTGTTATGTGTGTCACTTAATTCAGCCACTTTTCTGTATTTCGTGGAACGTATATTTTTCGTGTTCCTAACTTTGCTGATGATTTTAAGGGTAAAATTATCATTTCTGATTTTGAGATATTACTGAGTAATAAGAACTAACCAGTACGCAAATTGAACGAATTACTTACTGTGTGAGTATCTTCAGATTCAGTTTTTTGTATTAATGAGACTTGGCCACCGAAGATATATTCAGCTGATGTCCAAGATGGTTGAATATTTTTTCTGCTTGCAGGTGTTGATTTGCAGAAGGATTTGAATGCTACTGGTCTCCATTTTCATTCCGTAAGTATTGTATAAAGCAGTTGAAAAAGTCAAACGGTTTTTAACGTTTCAGCATAGGTCGATAAACTTTCCGATAGATACTACTGAGTTTTAAACACGTTAAAGCGGACTATGCCGCTCCCTGCTCCACCAGGCGACGTTAGATTGTTTGTTAGCTATAAATAATGAATTTGGCAGACGCTAACCCATTTTATCGAGCTTATGCATCCAGGGTTCTTGTTCCTGTCTGTCTGCGTGGGTTTTATAAACTCCTGGTCACCGTGCGTGACTGGCTGCTTACTGTGAATCACTTCATGAGTTGATAAGTCTAAATTATCTGTTGATGTTTATAGAGCAGGACGCGCCGGAGCATCAAACCGCCGTCGATGAGCAATGCGTCGTCGTTGTATGTTGAGCTGGTCCTAGTCGGCGACAAGCGACTTTACGATAAATACGATCATTCCGAAAGTCTGATCACGTCTAGATTTATCGATATCGTCAACGTTGTGAATGCCGTAAGTAGCGTTTTGTCCATTGTTATGGCTACTGTTACAGTTTGTAAACTGGCGCCCATGTTCTTGTAGTTGTATTGGCCGTTAAATATTTTTGTGGCACTTATCGGAGTGGAGATATGGTCCACGGAGGACAAGATATCGATTGTGAATGATTCAGAGAGGACACTAAATAATTTCTTGAAATACAGGAAGGAAGATCTGCTGACGAGGATGCCAAATGACAATGCTTATTTAGTCACGTAAGTTGTGGGTGATTCATTAGACGGTCTGGGTAAGTGCGATAGATACGATTGTTTTTAACCAAATTTTGTGGAATAGGGCGGCAACATTCTCGGCCAGCGTTGTGGGGAAAGCGCTGAAAGGTCAAATGTGCACATACGAGTTTTCTGGTGGTATTGCCAAGGTAAAATTTCTGAAGTTCGGACTACCCGGAAGAGATCCTGCATCATAACGTTTTTGTTTTTAACGCCATATTCTTTTTTTAATTTAAACTAGGACCACAGTCGTTTGCCTGGACCAGTAGGATCCACAATTGCTCACGAAATGGGTCATAATTTCGGAATGGAACACGACTACACCGATTGCAAGTGTTCTGAGGACCGGTGTATTATGACTCCAGCCTCAGTGTAAAGATCGATGCTTTTTGTTTGCGTTATGTAATGACAGTGTAAATTGATAATGTGGCCAGCTGTTTTTGTTGTTTCTTAATTACCTTAACAGCTTCGACAATCCATCAGGTGTACCCTGCAATAGGTCGTAGACTACTCATAACAGAAGAGCTTCCGCAACAGCGAAAGCTACGTATACGTAAATAAAACCCAAGCTTCGGCAGTGTTCGTAGAAACAATAATTTTCAGTTTTAATAAAACAGTGGCCGTTTTTTTATTGGGATCTTTTTTTCGGAGTGGTAATTTTTGCATAGCGCGTATCGAAGTGTGATTTTCACAGTACTACATTTAGCTTACATTCGATGGCTTTGTTCTAGCGGTTTGACGCCTTCCAATTGGTCTTCATGTTCATATAAGTATCTGGATGATAATCTTCAACGCGGCATTGGAAAATGCTTGGAACGACCGCCAAAACACGTTGTGGGCCCGTCGTGTGGTAATGGGTTTTTGGAGGACGGCGAGGAATGTGATTGCGGCACAGAGGAATATTGCCGGAATAAATGCTGCATAGCCAGCACCTGCAAATTGTCGGTTAATTCAACGTGTGGTCATGGATTGTGTTGTGATATGGATACCTGTTCGCCTAAGATGGTTGCATCGGTATGTCGAGCACCGTCAGGCGAATGTGATCTCCCAGAATACTGTGATGGAAAGAGTGGAGTGTGCCCTGATGATGTGTGGAAGAGTGATGGGACGGAATGTAAAAAGGGAGAGGTATTGCTAAAGCTGCTTTTATCAATTTTGGGTTAGTGGTTTTAACGATCGTACAGTATCTCGGTGCAAGCATAACAGATTTTTCACTACTGCGTTTTTTGTATCGTAATTGGTTTTGCGTCAGTTATGTGTTGAAAGCCCGCTTTCATTTGCTTGTGAAATTGCAGTGCCCTTTACTGTGGCAGTTTAATTTTTCATTGCACTACGTCCTGAATTCTGATATACTTTTCCCGAATTTTGGTAGGCATATTGCTACGATGGGTCCTGCAATACCCATAACGATCAATGCTTGACATTATGGGGCATGACAGGAGCCGTGGCCGAAAATAAGTGTTTCGAGTTGAACGTTAAAGGGACTGCGGAGGGGAACTGTGGTCGTAACCGATCTAGCAAAACATATTCCCAGTGCGCGGTTCGAGATTTACGGTGTGGCTTGCTTCACTGCACGAGTCAAGTTGATAGACTTGCACTTGGATTAGATACATCCACATCGATCGTGCAGTCGTTTATCCCTGCAAAGACGACCTACACAAACTGCAAGTAAGAGCGCTCGCTGGTTTATATATAAACAAATATTACGCCATGCATTTTTTATCTTCCGTAATGATGCAGATATCAGTTTGATTTTCGCGTTTTAGCTTTGAGTCGTAGCAGGTGTATTTATGTGCAGTGAATATTTATTGAATTCGTTTTTTACCATTTATACTCGTAGGGGGGCTTATGTCGATCTGGGATTGTCCGTGCAGGATCCCGGAATGGTTCCCAACGGAGCCAAATGTGGTGATTCATCAATGTGCTTCCACCAAGTCTGCACGCATGTGTCACTTGTTCCGGGAGCGGATTGCTCCCAGCAGTGCAACGGTGCGGGGATTTGTAATAATTTGGGCCATTGCCACTGCAACACCGGTTACGGTCCGCCTTACTGCAGCGGCGGCGGATACGGTGGTAGCGCGGACAGCGGGCCGGCTACCGATCCCAGCTCGTACCATCGCCTGCGTGATGCCATGCTGATAATATTCCTTCTCGTTGTGCCGGTACTGGCTGCCATTCTGTTTTTGTATATTGCTCGACACCGCATTCAAGATTGGATGTTGATGAGGTCAAAACATCAGCGGACACGAGGTCGACCGGCACCGCCGCCTCCTACAAGCTCTGCCCCACCGCCGCCTAAAGTCAGTGAAAACGGAAAGGTGAGTGGGACAGAGAAAAACGGAAAACCAATTGGGCGAGACAGGACAAAAGCGCAGATTTCGGTCCCGGTTATGCAGCAACAGCCCGTATCGGATAGCGAAGTTGTCATTTATCAAAACGGCGGGATGTCCAAATTATTCTGGAAAAATCCTGGCCCTTCTAATGCGGGATTTCCAGCAAAGGAGACACCACCCCCTTTGCCATCGAAGCCGCCTAAAGCTGTGCGAGAGGAAAATGACGTAGGAAAGTTCTCCTTTGCACCCAATAGATCTCCGCCACGGGATCTCAAGTAAGCCATCCTGTACTTGTACGACAACCATTTGTTTTCCAATTTAGTCTTTGCTGGGGTTAAATTTGCTTGGGATGCATTGCACCGTGTGTTTTTGACTTATTTTAAATTGTAATATCCCCATTACAGAGGTCCCAGGTCTGCTTCGGAAGAGGATCTTCTACGTGCTGATCCTGCAATAAAACCCGTGCGGACCGCTCCGCCTCCACCTCCGCCGCCGCGACCAGCTGGCAGCAGTACGAAGCCTGCCACTGGATCGTTGAAAAAATCCCGACCGGTGTTTAGACCGCCGGCGCCACCTGTATCTCGCCTGGCGGCAAGCGATGGGGGTACCAGTCATACCAAACAGCCAGATGCTCCTGGCGATGTCGCACCAAAGATGTCTGTTGCAGAGATGGCCAGAAAGTTTGAAAGTCGAAACTGAATGATAGCAGTTGTTTGCTTGCGCTTTCTGTGCTTTTATCCGTGGGCTTGCCGAATCTTGTCATGTAGTGTTTGTTTGTGTAGATAAACTCGGTGGTTTCAAATTTTTAGTCGCTTTATGTTCATTGTTGAATCGCTATGGCAGATTTGGTAAAAAAGAGATTGCTTTTGCCTATGGCCCTGTTGTGGTTGAGAAACGTACTGTGGAAAACGGGTTCTTCATTGACTGTCTCTGTCCCCGCTAACAGTAAGACAAGTCCAACGTACAGTACTGAGGCATATACAGTACGAAGGCACACCGATATGAAAGGGCACAATCATCAGAATAGTAGTATTATGAGAAAAACACAACAATATAAATACTCACTTGTTTTAAATATCTCGTTCGGCAAACAGTTGACGATATTCAAGTATTATTATCAAACGTTCCTGGTACAAACCGTGCAATGATTCGCTGCCTACCATCACGTCATCTACCTGATGCTTGAATTTTGTTTCTGACACTTTGCGCTTGAGAAAAACCCTGAAATATTAAATTTGGCAAGTTAACCACAAACAAATTAAAAAACACAAAAATTATCCCCGTGATTGGATTATTTGGATGTTATCTTTGCTTCTACCGGGGGCTCAACCCGGCAATGTCAATGGGACTATGGGAACAAGCGAATGGATCTAACTCTGTTTCTAAAGGTGTTAACAATAAAATATCTTGAAATTTCAATAAGAAAATGGCTGCTAACAGTACAGCTACAGTAAGTACTATGTACTGTACCATCGTATATCGATAAAATACGTACAAACTATACAATTCACCCAAATAAAAGAGCGTTTTTACTAAAAGTACGATAACCGGAAGTAGTCTTACCGGAAGGCAGTTACGTGGAAGATATTTACAATACTTACTGTTAATAAAGACTTCAAGAGACCCGCCTGACGGCTCGTTGTTTAGCAGTTTCAGTCACTTTCAGTGGGAAATTATGTGAGCGCTTTTTGATCTTTAAAATTTGAAGACTTTCTGCTTTTCTGTGTTTTCTGTGCTCCCTGTTCCCGTTGAATGAGTTTTAAAGTTTTAACTTCTTGATAGCTTTTAATCGATCTGCCGCAGCCAGTTATGGCTCGCACAGTGCAAGAGAAGAAGCGCCGAGAAAGCCAGCGTTTAAAGGCAGCACAGGAACCCAAAGGTACGTACTGAGTGAGCCCTGACACTTGGCAGCAGTTTTGCTTTTCGAAGCTCGAAACCATAATATCAAGACCATCATATTACTTCGTATTTGCGGCACGCTTATATCCCTTGGGTTTCTAGCGCAAGACAAGGCAGGAAATGTGTCTTCGAGTAAGGGGATTACGCAGAGTGCGAAGTCTGCTGACAGGGAAAGACTGCGACCCAGAAATACTGAAGGTGCTGCGCGACCCGAACGGGGCGCTGGTTTGTCAGGGGCTGCTTCTTCTTCCGCAGTGGCAAAGCAGAACAAAACGGTATTGCTCCAGAAACATGCAGTGCAAGTCCGAAGTGAAACCAAGCCAAAGGACAATAATAAAGATGCCAAGGGAAAGCCTGTGAAAAACGGTTGGTAAAATGGTATTCGCAGAAAGAGCAAGTGTTATAATTGTGCGTGGAGCAAGTTGTTATACTAGTAATTGTATTACAATAACGACGATGTGATAGTGTTAGTGCTAGTATAACAAGGAATTTTAACGTTTGACGGATTTTTTGTCCGTTCTGTTCGATTTTGCTGGAGGAGTAAGTGGAAACACATCGTTTTGCAGTACTTCGACGCTTTTCGCATTTCGCTTCGACGCTTTCACCATATGAATTTACATTTCTGGAGTAGGATTCAGTTTGCAGTAATCACTTACATTTTAGGGCCCACAACAAGCCCGGAGACAGAGGCGCCTGTGGCGAGCAGGTTACGTCGCCGAGCAGAAACGGTGGTGGAAACTAAAAAAAATGAGACCCATGTCCCAGGGAAATCCAATCAAATTTCCGCTCATTCCAGGAAGGCGCATGCCGCCCGCGGCAAGACGATTGCTGTCCCTGCAGTGCAGAAAAACACTGTGAATATTTCTGGTAAATATTCAGCATGTTTGCTCTGCATTTTATAGAAGTTTTCAGTTGGGGGCCTGGGGCTATTTTTACCAGCTTATATTGCTTTATTATATTCTGTTTTCTTTGCTTATTTAAAGTTATGTGAACTGTAATTGCGCAGGATCGTTCAAAACCTTGGTACATTCTGCACTGAAAATCGTCTATAAAATTTATTCAAAAACGGTTTAGTATTGTACGCGACTGCGGTTACGGCGGGGGGTTTGACATCAAATCAGCCGCCGAAGTTTGAGTAGTATTAGTATGAAGGGCAACATTCTGTATTACAACAATAGATTTCTTCATAGTCACTGCGGATAATTCAAGAAAACGCAAGAGAAATGCCTCCGCTAGTCCGCAGCCTGCCAGCAAAGTCCCACGTAACGAAAAGCCGAACACCCGGCCAGTTTCGGCAGTTTTGCCAGTGGAAAAGAAACTCCCAACCGTCGATGTCGAGAAATGCCGCCCAGAACAGTACAGCTATCCGTGCCGTGATAATGAATTTACGGAGATTTATGAATTCATTCGGGATCATCTTGTCGGTTTAACGGGCGGGTATGTCTTGTACGAGAATAAAATCTCTCGCAACATTATACAGTTGAGGGTCACCTGTGCGACTTTTAACACGACTTCTTTTCATTTTCTGAAGATGTATGTACATATCCGGAATGCCAGGAACTGGAAAGACTGCCACTGTTAACAAGGTTTTGGATTACCTCAGAGCTGAGAATCAGCTGAAGCGGCTTCCGAACTTTATATATTCTGAGATCAACGGGATGAAACTGGCCGATGCAAAACAAGCGTACGCAATCTTGGCAAAAGTATGATTTTGAGGATATGGTTATTTGAGTGTTGACAGCGAGCAGAATATGAATTTGCGGTTCTGTGAGTTTAATAAAGACTTGGAAATTTATTTTTCAGGATGTTTTCAACCAGAATAAAATGGCTGGGCCAGCTAACGCTCTGAGGATGCTTGACCGGCACTATCGATCACGTGATGCGAAAGGGAAATCCCCTGTGATTGTTGTTGTTGATGAAGTAAGTAATCAAATGCATGCAGTGACGAAGGAGTAAACACACTGAAGGAACTGTATATCAGGCTGGTGTATTAATAGTGTTCGTGCGTTAACAGATGGATTTGTTGTATGTTCGAACGCAGAAGATCTTGTACAATTTGTTTGAATGGCCACAACAGCCCAGTTCACGATTGATAATTGTCTCCATCGCCAACACCATGGATTTACCTGAAAAAATGCTGATGGCCCGCATTGAAAGCCGCTTGGTATTAATTAAAAACTTTAAATAGCATTGTGTTTGTATCGTAAAAATTATTGTCGGTTGTTAATTTTTCCCATAGGCCTTTCACCGCTTGGCATTTCATCCTTATACATCCGCCCAGCTTGAACAGGTTGTTTTGTATCACTTGAAAAAAGATACGAAACTCAATGATGATGCGATGATGTTAGCATCGAAACGGGTTAGTTTGTGTAATTGTATTTTGGATGAAGTCAGATTTCGATTACGTTTTGAGATTTTACAAGCTGGAACGATTTTATTTATCTTAACGTTGGCTGTGCTGTACGGATACTTTCTAGGTGGCATCAATCTCAGGAGATGCTCGAAGAGTTTTAGAAATTTGTCGAAGCGCAAGGGCGATTGCGGAGGATAAGCTGGCCACTGATAAGTCTGGTAAATTTGCCAAAGCGTCCGACATGGTTTCTGTTTCCGTTGAAGACATCCAAGCGGCTTGCGATGAACTTATGAACTCTCCAAAATTTGTTTATATGAAGTAAGAACACAAAATGTTTTAAGGTGTTATGTTCGATTTTTCGTAAAAATCAGGGTTTTAGTGGCTATCTAAAATTTGAGTAATCATGAATTTGGTTGTCCGTAAATTGTGTGTTTGTGTGGAATAAACACAGTGAACGGTTAAACATACGAGATTACGAGTACAAGTACGGACTACTGAATAGCTGATGTAAGTAAAATTATTTCTTGTTTTTTATGCACTTGATTGATCGCAGTAAAAATGAAAGGTGACTCAGCTTGATGACTTTAAAATTCCAGCTGGTTGAACAAAAAGCTTTTTAGGTCTGCCACTGTTCTGGAAAAAGCTTTTTTGAAAGCAGTAGTTATGGAATACGAGCGCACGGGAACCGAACAGGTTGTTATGGAGGATGTTTTAGACCAGATTCGCGACGATTATGCAGGTGATCTTTGATTTTCTCAACCCTGCAGCCAGCATTGCCTACTCGTATTATATGTCGAAGCTTAATTTTTTTAATATTATTTTGCGTGGAAAAGCATATCACTTAAATATTTAAGTTGGGACACAGGTTTAATTGGTTAATTTACGATACAGCATCGAAAAAGGTGTGTCCAGCAATTTCGTCGTCGCTGAGAGTCGCTGGAAAGTTGGCGGCATTGGACATTTTGTTCATCGAAAGCAAATCTCCTACCGCTATTCAGAGTCGGATATCGTTGAACTGCAGCGTGGATGATGTGAAATTCGCTGTAAAATGAATATGGCATTGTTTTATCCTTCAAAGTTTGATCTTCATCTGGAGACTTAGTACGCTTCTTACATTTTAGCTTGTGTGGTTATGCATTTATTCTTTTAGTCTTCGAAATCTGGAAGATAAATAGCTCTTTTTGTTCTGGCCGGAATGAAACGCGAACTCCAGAAGCACCGTGGACCGTTTGGGGAATCGGCATTCGTACTATTACAGTCGCTATGTTGCGGTGCTCGATATTGTGCTTGATAAAGTGATGATTGCGGAAGTTCTTTCATTAAATGTTGAGCGACATATGACGGCATTCCGCTGGCAGAGTACGCAACTGGTGGTGAAATGGCTGCAGGGATGCCGTACCTGAACACCAGATTTTTAACAATATCATGAAATACAAGGTACAATATTAAAATGGCATGGGGTATCTGCGTTTCTAGGAATAACATTGACCGGACGGTATTTTTCGAGCATTGTGAATAGTGTGTGGGGCGACTGGGATCATAAAAAAGTTCAAAAATTATCATTAAATGTTTTTCAAACGCTGTATCGTATAGTAAGTATATGTATGGAATAATGCTAACGAAGTAGAAGTACCCCAGGCGGCAGCAATGGATCCAGTCCATGTTGTAATTTTTCGTCAGCGGGTTGACCTTTTTCTTCATCCCGGTCATTACGTAGCCAGTAGCACAATTGACCAAATTATATGTTGTTGAATCGTAAAATTCTCCATATTGGTCATGAGTGGATTGGAAATAACAGGACACATAGTCAATGTAGTAACCTTTCGGTGTTTTGCAGCACTTATATGGTTGATTGTCATCAGCGACGGCACGCCACGTAAAGAAATTTAGTTCGTCGTCAAATATCCCTAGTTATGAAAACAACAAAGAATTGTTAAGAAGTCTTGCTTCTGCAAACCGAAGTTGATGTTGACCAATATTAAAGGTACCAGTAATGAAGGTATTTGCGGTGAGAGTAGAGTTTCTCGGATCATAGCAGAAGAAGTTCAGGCGAAAGTCTTTAACGAAACATCTGCAAAAGCGGTTATATGATCCAGACAAATTTGAAATTATTACTGAAACGTGACTGCGAATTTCGGATCTCCTACGGGTAAGTGTCGTGTACACAGTAAACACCATGCACTTACTGTGGGTAGTAAGGATAAATTCCTTTGGAAGGCGGTTTGAACGGAAACATAAATTTGCATTGTAATGCTTCCACTCGCTGCAATTAATCAAGTAGTTAATCGTTTTTGTGTTTTTGAACGAAATTCATCCTGATGTACGTTGTACAAGTACAATCTAAAAATATTTTATATTTACAAAGCATTTCTCGTTTCTGTACGCGGTTAATACCACAAACTGTTTGTGATGCAACTGTAAAGCCAGTCCCCCAACAGCTATCGAGTAGCCGAAATACGAAGTACTCGTATTTTTACTATAAAATTATTTTATTTATCAGGTCGAGCTACAATTACCGATACCCGATATCGGGAACGACTCTAAAAAAATTATGGTTTTGTACATGCCTTAAAACCTTCCGGAGCAAGTTAGCAGCAGAATACTACCTAAATCATACCACATACCTCGAAATCCATGGCGTAATCTCTACAAAAATGAACGGTGTAAATCAAACTTTTTAAAAAAAGAGTCACAAATAATCTTGAGTCTGTCACACAGATCTCCGCATGTTTCTCTGTGTTAGCGAATTTACTGTATGAATGTTTTTGCAGTAGAGATACGGCTTTCGGCAAACAAAAGTCTTTCAATGGAATATACACTATCAGCGATGTTGGAATATTGTATAAATTTTGGTAAAATATTTTTAATATTAATTTATGTAATTACAGTATTTACTAACTGGATTCCAACTGCTGCCTCTCCGTCCAGGCATTCCACGACCCATTTATGTGTGCCGGTTTTCGGACCACCGTGGTTTTGGTACGTCGTGATGTATGTATCTCCCTTCATAAAATTTTTGCGACTATCATTAATTTTATTATAAACTATTTGTCATTACTGTAGTAACGAGTGCCAGAGTACCTGTACTACGAGTACAGCAGAATAATAATATGTTTCGGACTTTCGGTTATCTTAAAACTGGTTCAATACGAATTATAACCTTACTTAAGGGGCTTTATAACCCTACTCGAATTATAAACTGCTCGAGCAGATTTTTTCTTTGCCACATATCCGTTATTTTAAGGCACTCTTTACCGATCCATAAACATAGTACGATCCGAGATATCGGTAATTTCCAATAACAACTGGGAGAGGCTTGCAAAGCAGACCAACTTTCAGGGCTTCAAACAAGAGAGCACGTAACATCGTCGAAGTTGAACCAAAGAAATAAAAATACCATACACAACAAATTTTCCAATCACTAATAATCCGATATCTTTTCCTAATATAATGTCGCAATTTTAATACTGGCATTAATGGTTTTTGGTGTAGCCAGTATAACAATTCTTGAAGAAGTCCACAATGGATAATGGGAGTCAATATTACCGCCGATGTATCGGCTTCTGATAGTTCATGGCTTTCTGAAGCATTAAGATTTAAGACGGCACAAACACAGGTAAAAGTACTGAAACGTGAGTGGTGGCAGATGACCCGCGCCTGAAAATAATGATCTTGTTGATGAGGTATTCTTCAAAAATCCATTGGAATCACCTATCTCCAGGGGTGTATTTTATGTAGGTGGGTACGTACTTCGCCGTTCATTGCTGTGCCGTGGTTTTGATCGCACCTACCGTTTACCGGTATGTGTTCATGCTGATATTAGTCAGAATGATAGGTCACGGACTGCAGATTGCAGCCGGAAGAGGAAAACAAACGTTAATAATATTATTAACTATTAAGCAGTTATGCGCATACATTTATTGTACTATACGTCGTATACGAGTATCGTATTGCCTTAAAAAATTTCGTTAATTTCGTTCACAAGAACCATTACCAATCGTCTGTAAAACTATACCCGTATGATTCAAGTTATATAGCCAACTTATGATGACTTATGTCCGTTAATCTGGGTCCTTGTGCTTGTAAGTTGTAAGGATTTTTTAAACGTAAAGTATGTAGTGCAGTTTCGTTATTTAATGCAATGGAAGGCGAGCGACCAGTCTGTCTGGGTCGCTGCTACTATAAATATTGTTATTTTCAGATAAATAATTATTATTGTTAAATATTATACGTTTGGGTACAGCCTTCTTCTTCGAAAAAAATATAAAACTGATCCAAGATGAATACTTTAACCACGGTGCTATCACGCTGATAAAAATAAAAACACAGAAGGAAGAAGTAAAGAGTATTATTTATTTCTTAGTATTATTATTAAGGAGTATTATATTTTATTTATTTGTGATTATTATTTATTAATTGTTATTGTTATTATTAGGGCATTTGTTACAGCAATGATAGGCACCGGCCGCACCGCTAAACTTTTTAACAATAACAATGAAACGAAATTTGAAAGTTCCAGCTTCCTAACCCATAAGTTCCGGGCGTTCCAACTTTCCACGGTAAACACAACTGCGACCGCCCATGAAAGCGTACATGACTGACCGTAACTAGTAACTACAGTAGCACTCGTTGAGTTTTGTATGTACTGGAAAATCTCTTTAGTTTGGAGGTTGATGCATTAAAACCTGGCGACCTCAATATCAAGCTTAATGACAGTATTCGGATTGGCGATTGTTTTAAGTCGAAGATACACCGTGGGATAGGGATTCGAGCTCCATGGGCATGGAGAAAACAGTCGCCATCCAAAGCGCCAAAGCATTTGTTGCAGTCCACTGTGGCGCAGGTTTTTATGCCAGCCACAATAATAGTTTATTTATCTCGCTTTGTCGCAGTGTCTGCAGTGAGGTACGCTAACAGCACCTAATAATATTTCGAAGCGGTTGTTCTGTTGGACAGCATCATCCTGAAACCCTGTAACATTCATGATATTGTGAACCAGTTACTCCGGAAGATTACTCCCCGAATCACCGGACGCAAGAAAGATTAGCTTAAATTTTCATATGTTTTAGGTTTTGCGGACCTTGGAAAATGGCTCATCAGCGGTGGAAGCGGTTTGCGCTGCCGTCGTGGCGCTCGAGGTAAGTGGAAAATAGTTTAGGAACGACTGGTATTTATTTTGCTGCTTTTGGAGTGCGTGGTTTAGTATCTTAACAGTTAACATCCTATCAATTACCTTAGCTCTTTCCATTACTTACATCGCTCTCAAATCTTGAATCTTTTCTTCGTGAGTGTAATAGTCCCACTGAAAATGAGTTGCAAAAATCTATTTGCGAGATTTCTTTTTGCGACAACTGTCAGAAGACAACATAGTACACATATGCGTCAAATGTTTCCAATTCTGTTCGAAGTAGTGAAAATATCAAAATAAAACTGTGACTACAGTAGTTTTTGTAGCATGATGGTGATACCAAAAATGTTCCGGAATTTTTATTTTGTTTTCTTAGAATAATCCGTTGACGAATGCCGGAGTGGGGTCCAATTTAACCCGAGATGGAACTGTCGAATGTGATGCTTCGGTCATGGAATCTTCGAACAATCTGTTTGGTGCATGTGGTGCGGTTAAAGGTACAGTTAAAAAGGCTAGCTGTCTCTGTGCATGTTCTGTTTGTTGAAATTTGGATCATCCAGAAATTTTGTGCGTCTTGACATTCGTAGGGGTGAAAAATCCCGTTCTTCTGGCTCGTGAAATTCTTCATCAACAGATGTCGCCGCGTGACGGTCTTGTGGCTCCTATGTAGGTATGTACCGCACGAAATTCCCCGATTTCGGTAATTTCAAGGCGAGCATAAAATTAATCATGGTTTCGGGTAGGATATTCGTCGGCGATGGAGCGGTACAGTTTGCAAAATCCCAGAATGTGGAGACTGTGGACCTCAGTTTCCACCAGACGGAACCGCGGCTGAAGAAGTATAACGAGAAGAAACGCAGTCTGCATTGCGTTGATACTTCCACCGCTTCTGGTGCGCCGAATGATGCGGAATCCGAATTGGATACCGTGGGAGCAATCGTTGTGGATATGCACGGTGTGATAGCGGTGGCGTCGTCCAGTGGGGGTGTTGCGTTCAAATATTCCGGAAGAATCGGGCAGGTAACGTCTCAAACATTTATTCCGCCCGGTTTTTGACAACCGTGAATTTTATACTGATTTGACATGCTGATGGTGTGACGCGTAGGCGGCAACATACGGAGCCGGTATTTGGTGTGAAACTGTTGGTGCGGATGGGTTCGCCTGTTGCGTGTCGGGAACAGGGGAGCAGATTATACAGACCTCCTTGGCCAAAGCATTTTGTGATGCCTTACAACAGGATGATGTGTCCTTAGAGTCGGAGGTCAGCAGTGCATTCCTTAATTCCAGTAAGAAATTCACTACTCACCTCTATAGTCGTTTGTGCCTAAATTTTTGTAGAAACTATATTGCTAAAGGGTTCAGTGTGTGTTGTAATTTTTAGAAAGAATTACCGGCTGCCATCCGCGTTACATGGGTGCACTGGTGCTGCAGGTTTCAGACTGGCTGCAGTCAGCCAAAGGATTTTTGCATGTGGTTCATACTACTCCGGGATTCTGTTGGGCGATGGCTAGCAGTAACCGTAAAAATCCTCAGGTACGCGTGTGGCAAGTGATAGTGTTCGTCGCATTTTTGCGTGATTTAAACATGCAGTGTGCGCTCAGAGTGCGCTTCTCTATAGGCGCAACTCAGTCGTCTTCTTCTTCCCCGGGATGCTTCCAGTTCCACTAATGTGCAAAGCGTGGCTGTGCTGGGATATTCTGTATAACTCAAAGTTCTTAAAAACCACAATTTAGAATTTTAGAGTTTGGTAAATTGTTTGCGGTTATTGGTTGATACTGAGAAATTCCGTCCGTTTTGGATGCGCGTTTGATTTGTATGCAGTTAGGCTTCTTTGTGGCGCAAGCTGGTTTCGTATTTTTATTCCAGTGTTTTTAATTTTTTCGGGAATGCATGCACTGAGCGGCCTAGATTTATGAAAAGCTACCGTTTAATGGTACGGTGACGACGTTGTTGCAGACACTACTCTGTAAGAGCGGTGATCATTTCATTTTTTTGTGGTGGGAATTGCCTCTCGTTGGGCAGAAGCCGCCACATGCTAGCTTATCTTTTTACCCGGTAAGGTATCGACATCAGAATCTTGGAAGGTGGAGGGATCTTGCCCTTGGACGGGAACGGTTGGAGCCCGCGCTTGCAGTGGCAGTTCAGTTAGAATTATCCCATGGGAAAAGGGAGGCGTCGTGGTTTTGTTCTTTCGACGGTTCCGCAGCTCGCTAGCTAACTCGGCTAGCTTGGCCATAGGAGATTTTCCTGTGATGTGTATAGTGTCGTCAATTGTCTCCATCAATGGTTCGCCTTTCGTCTCTCGCAATGAAAAGGACGCTGCCGATGCGACTAAGGATATCAATCCCGCCAACAAGAATCCGGAGCCTTTATAACCAGCTTGGCTTGACTGAAATTGAAAACTTTAACTGTGATACTTTATTTCTTCTTAGTCTCGCTCGACCAGAGAAAAAACAATCAAAATTCTTGTATGCCGAAATTATTTGCGTACGTTTCCAGCTCCCAAGTGGTTACATCACAAGTCTGATTCATAACTCACCATAATAGGGAGCAAAGGAGCTATCATGCTGCCAACTCGAAGGGTGATGCTGCACATGTTGAACCCATTGTTCCGAATTACCGTGGGAAACAGTTCGGACGTATATACAAAAATTATGCAAATTGTGCCGACCAGTGACATACGTCCGACAAAAGATACAACGTTTTGTGCAATAACTTCGGCAGAGGTATTTCCTGGTATAACACCGGCTGCGGTGCAGCATATGCCACCGATCAGAAAGTAAAGAGTTAACGGAACGCGATTGCCGAATCTAAAATTTAATGTTGCCATTATTACCGGCGAAATTCCCTGCACCTGCACATACACTACAGTCTACACGATAGTATAATAAGCTAGTATGTACTATAATCAGATTTCAAATTTAAACGAGTTTTAATAAAGTAATCGTAGTTATTTTAGTTATCGTAGTTTAAATAGCGTAGTACAGAGTACAGGATTAACTTCCTTGTAAATTAAATACCTATATGTCATTAACGATAATACGAGTATATAGCGCTCGGTATTTTCTCACCTGGAAGCGATTCCAGCTGCGGCGAAGACGGGAATGAATTCCAGAGCGGCATTGGTAATCAAGTTAACGTAAATATTGGCTGCGATTTCTGAACTCATGTACGGTATACCTAAATATCCCACGTAAGCAGCCAACCTGGATAATTCACATATATAAGTTTTACTCCAGTACTAACAAAATGCTAGTAAATAACGTTGCGTAGAAGTGTAATAATTCAACTGGCGCACCAGATATAACAGCTTAACAAAGTTGTACGTCGTAAGTACGGTGTCCGGAAGCAGTCTGCGAAGGAATACACAGCGACACTTTTCGGGGTCTGTGGTTCGGTTTGGACAAATAGTTGGATTTCTTTTTCCTCGTCGAACGATAACTTCATTCTATTAAATTTGAGGACACTGTTGCAGTAGTTTTCGGCTTCCTTTCCTCTGTTGTTTAGGCACAGCCATCCAAGAGATTCTGGAGCAAACCTGCATACATGCATGCAGCCGTTGTTATACCATGTTGCTTATTATATACAAACCGCGGCACATAATTGATAATAACTATGTAATCCGCTCATGAAGCCATGCTGTGGATTTCGTCTTATTTTTTCTCGACAGTATTCTCAAAGAAAATTTTTTTTTAATCTTCCACCGTTTAAAATAACAAATATGCCGATTCTACTGTGCCCATTATTTTGTTTATCGTTATTTCTAACTTTCGGAGGTTCAAGTTTTAATAAAGAATGCTTACCATATCAGAAGCACAGCCAGAGTGCTGTAAGCGGCGAGAAATATCTGAATGTGATGCCAGTTTTGTAGATGCCAGGCCACGACTATAATGATTAGTGCCCCAATGGTATACTGCACTTCTGCCAGCGCTCCCCATGTTCTACGCCGCTCTGGAGGAAGCCACTCCACAATCAAAACGTAAAAACTGCTGTTAATTCCCTGGCAGACCGATCATTTTGTTAAAGTACGACTTCAAAAAAGTAAATAGTTTGCAGATGTCATGCCATGCAGTAATTACTTGTGTTGCTAGTCCAACGCAGAAACGGAGAATGGCAAACGACAGGAAGTCACGGGAAAATATCAAGCCGGCAGTCAAACTAGCGTACACAAGGTTGCTCAATAACAGCGTGATTCGTCGTCCAAATTTATCCGCTGCCCATCCAAAAAACGGTGTCCCAGCAATTTGCCCTAGAGTGTTATCAGAAGTTATTGTAACGTTGCAGTTTAAGCAGATTGAAATTATATTTTTATTTGGGACAATAGCTTAAGACTATATGCCATTTTAAGAATTACCAAGAAAGTAGATCACCGACGCCAAGTTGACAAGTGAGGCTTTATCGCAGATCAGGTCCATCTGAAAGGTCACGCACAAGTTACTGTACTATATGACAACATTTACACAAAGGACAGTGGTACTGCGGTATGCGGCATTTCCGGTTGTCACAACATTTCAAACTGCAGCTGATGTGACAGTCGGAAACAAGTGAATGTTCGCAAGATATAGAGTAAGATCATTTTATAAGCACTATAGTCGATAGAAAATTCCGGATAATTCTAGCTGGCGTATTGTTTTAGCACATTGTAGCAGTTGTTCCTTTCTAAAGCACGTCATTACAACATATTCAAAAATGGAGTACTGTTTTTGTTGAGAGAAGTATTTTTTCTAAACCTGCAAAAAATTTTATGTAATTTACTGGATGCATAAAATATGCAAACTCATTGCACAGTACCCCGTATGCATGTGTCTCATCAATTAAACCGTATAATCTGCAAGTAAGCGCTAAACCACAAAAAGGTAGGAAATATTTTTATAAGCGTACTTCAGTAGAAAGAAACAGTATTTACTGCAACAAATTTTTTATTTCTGTAGGTGCCATAATTTTTTATGGTAGCTTACAATATGCATCAATGCATAAGCCTGTCATAATATTGTGTTTTAACGGTAAATATTGTATAATTTTAATGATATAACTATATGATCAGCTTTCCGTACGTCACCGATGATCGACCATTGATTCTCTGGGTAGACATACTCCATTCCATGCGGACATCCCGTAAGGCATACATCCGAAAAGTTGGTGTTTGAGTGCATAGGCCCGTACAGCCGATATCCTGTTGTACTACTGTCCATTTCCTTCTGAGTTAATTTTGACGAAACCTCTGCGACACCCGTATCATTGCGGCAACGTATTTTATGCGGTGGCAGCCCATAGAAAATTGGCATAAAATCATTAAAAGCTAACGGATGATACTGGATCGCCAACAAAGTAAACTGAATGATCTGAAACGCGCCAGGATTTCCCAAGATACGGAGCACGTTATCCAGACTCCGAGAACTGGATCCAGCTCCATGCCCGGCTTCATTCATCTTTGCGTATTTTAATTATGTCGGGAACGTGTAATCAGGATTTTAATGTGGAACAGCCTTTTCGATGGTCGGGACAAGGCAGTTCGACAAAAACGTAACGAAACCTGGTTTTATGATGTCATAAACAGCAACATATCGACATCGACTTGTATAGCAGTTCTTCACATAATTTTCACACCGGTTTCTCATTTTTCTGCTGCGAAACAATGATTTCAGTTATTACCAGATGATAAATTAGCGTCAACTGACAAGATTAAGCCCAGCCTTCCCAGCCGAAGATTTATGGATTTATGAAGTGACACCTAGTGGTGTGTCTGGGTATTATATAGCGCGCAATATGCCTTCCGGTCAACGTAGCTGCTTGCTTATTACTTTTTATAGTTTCCAACATGTGCATACACCGAACCGATAAGTCTTTTTGATTTTAATTGAAATTGACAATGGCATCATTATGCTAAAAGGTTAGCACAACCGCTCTAAAGACACCGACAGAAAGTTTTTGGCTAATTGCTCATTTTTCACCTATGTAACTATGTGCAAGTAGGATGGAATTTTTAATTGCCAATAAATAGGTTTTTGTTATGCCCACTACAATGCAGATTTGACCGTTTTATGAGGGTGTCTCTTTAATTTGACTCACCACTGAAACAGGCACCGACAGATCTGCTAGTCAGTTGTAATAAGGCTGTAAAAATTCTATGATCTGTGCATTACTTGAAATGACTATCAATTTTTGTCAGAAAATGAAGATTAATTTAAAGAAAACCGCAACTGCTAATCCAATGCGGCAGTGCCAGATAGAAAAATTATTATTTACTCGAAGTTAGTTGTGACCCTTGCTATACATTGTGGTATCCATCCATATTACCTACATGAAATCTTATGCAAAGTCCCAGACGACAAGAAGTTGAAAACCGTAATTCCGCATCCTCATGTAGTAGCTGAAGTCACTTTAAACCTGCCATTGATACTCGTATCTCACGATCAATTCTTAGACCGGGTGTAAAATTAATCGTCAAACAATTACGAGTTTAACCATTTATAATACCTAAAAAGAGAACTGAAAAATGTTGACTGCCTTAAATAACTGCACTGATAGAGATAAAGGCATTGCCTTTATCTCTATCAGTGCAGTTTTAACGTGCCGACCGCCGAAGGCGGGAGCTATCAAGGACTAAAATTATTCAGTAGGTAGAATATGGCGAGCGGCTGGGGTAAAAAGGCAGTTACTTTAATTTTGATCGTTCTATTCGAAACTTCACTTTCCTTTCTTCGTTTTCTTCACTTTTTTTAATTTTCTTCACTTTTTTCATTTTATTACTTTTGTCACTTTCTTCACTTCCTTCACTTCCTTCACTTCTTCACTTCTTTCCCTTTCTTCGCTTCACCTATTTCAATTAATACGTACATTTTCTTCTTTTTTTAGTTTTTCGCTGTTTCTCTTTCTTACGTATTGGCTGTTGCTCCTGTGCGATATGTAGTGTACTGTAACTAAAGCAAAGTGAGTTGCTCAGAATGAGTTAAGTACAGAAACCTTGGTACAACATGCAGCAGTACATAAACATCTTGCAAAAGTGCAACACGTAACAGTACGTGCACTAACATAAACAATAACATTTTAAAATTCTGAAATTTTTGCAAAAAGTTAATTTTCACACTATATGATTCTTGACATGGAAGAAGTCGACGACGGAATAGAGCTCACTTTCAGTTTCCGTTCCTTGGATGAAATACTTACCTGTCGGAATTAAATTCCTGATGCCATTCAAAAGTTTGCGACGAGTTTCACTCACGATGGCTCGGTATTTAATTTACAGGCAGCCATTCTCATCCCTGGCTGCCTGTATGAGAATTATTAAAATTAATCTCATCCCATTAAAAATTCTGGACAGTTGAGAACAAGTAATATCGTAATTAACTAATAATCTCTTCCGAATTTCTTTTAAATACTAGCTTTTTCCCCAAAGAGATCAATGCACTTGGCAATCACATTCTTTGCAAGGTGCCATTTAACAAACAGGTGGTAGGTCTCTGGGAGGTTGCTCTTATTTTGAGGTATACGAAAACTGATAGCGCAGAATTCTTTTGTTAGCCAGTAACGAATACCTTGTTGTCTGTTATTAGCTTTGAAAAAGTTTGCACCAAAACATCTGTTGCTGGATTTTTTATGGATGTCGTTATAAAATCGTTATTAAATGACCGCTACCCCCTTCCACTGACCATGGCGAGCACCGCCCGCTTAACTCGATGCTATTACTGGCACATAAAAAGGCAACTGTTTTAGCATTTTTATATCCGCAAGAAAAAGTTACTACACTGGAAAAGTAAGAAAAAGAAAACGACATATTTTATAATTTATTTCCAAAATCGCCCGAACTTGCCGAAACAGGGCTTTATATCCTTGAAGTGCCGGTATCTGGTGTAAGTACTTTACCTGTTGAAATAATATTCTGTCCATTCGCAAAACTAGTTATAAATTATAATCATAAAAGTATGCAAAAAATACGGCTGATATGTACGGATCGTTATTTATAATGAAGTAAGTGAACAAAGTGAAGGAAGTGAAGGAAGTGAAGTAAATGAAGAAAGTGAAGTAAGTGAAGAAAGTACAAAAAGTGAACAAATCAAAGAAAGGAAAGTGAAGTCTCGAATAGAACGATCAAAATGCAAGTAACTGCCTTTTTACCCCAGCCGCTCGCCATAGTAGAATGGTAGATTTCCAGTTCAGTTATCTCCAGAAGTACTTTCCAGAATTTTCGTGGCTTGTCATTGTGAGGTACTCTTTTTGCTATATTTTGTGTTTTGCTTGTAATATTTGCGCGATTCGTATGTTAGAGAATCCATTAGCCATGAGCAAGCTTACGAAAGAGCAGAAAGACAAACTAAAACAGTAAGTGCATGTCTGGTGCATTGCCCTTATCATCTTGTGTATTTCGGACGGTGTGTTATGACTCGGAAGCAATAAACGATTAAACCTGCTAGGTTCCTCCAGTTGACGGAAACGGGAGAAGCTACTGCCCAGAACTGTTTAATACAGTACAACTGGCGTTTGGAGAATGCGGTGGATGCCTACTTCACGAATCCCTCACGGTTCTTCATGGCGGAAAAGAAGCCCGTGGCGGACCGGAAGAAAATTGATGCTTTGTTTCACAAGTACAAAGAAGTGGATCGTGATCGGGGCGAAGAACGGATCCTGGTGAATGGGATGATTAAGCTGCTAGGTGATCTGGGCTTACGACCGGATGACATCAAGACGCTGATTCTGGCGTGGAAGTGCGAGGCCAAGACTCAGTGCGAATTCAGGTGAGTTCTTGCATGGAATACTGAATTTCCCCATGGATTACTAACGTTTATTCATATTTTTTTAAATATTTTGCTGCCTAGTTCACGGGAAAATATTCATCGTGATTTAGGTGTACTGTGTGAATTTCGTTGCTCGGTGCTGATGTGCTTTTAATTTGGTCTTTAATTTGCTTTTGAGTTTTGGCTTTTGTAGTCATGACGAATTCACGCGTGGTTTATTGGACCTGGGCGCAGATGCTCCGGATAGAATCGTGCAGAAACTCCAGGCAGTCGAAAGTGAATTGTCCAATCTGCAGAAAATGCGTGAACTGTATAACTTCGCGTACGATTGTAAGTGCTGAAACTTTCACATTTTATCGGTTATTTTATTGGTTCACGCCTTACGGTGTACGAAGAAAAAATTTTGGTTTAGTTTTTTGAAAAGGATTTTGTGGTGGTTTTTTTATATTTATACTGTGCCCTTGTGAAAAGTACACTAGGGAGGATTTCGGATTATTCATTTACCGTGCACCATATTTAGTGATATTATGCATTTACTAACGTATTTGAATTTTGGATTTTGTTTCTTTATGCATGAGTACTTATTTTTTGGATCACAAACTGCTTCAGAGGTAATCTCGCCGAAATTATTGTATTGCGTGCGAGTCTTTGAATATTGATATACTTTTTCAAATTTGAATCGACCATGTCGGCATTATTTCCGATATGCTTTTGTTCAAGGCCGTACGTAATATCGCGCTTTAAACACTTTCTTGTAATTTTAGATGCCCAGCAGTCTTCGACACAGAAAAACTTGGACCACGACGTCGCCGTTGCTTATTGGCGCATATTACTGACTGGACGGTTCGCTCTTCTGGAACAATGGCTGCAGTTTCTTAAGGTAAGGCAGCTTTTATGGTGAGATTGATAGAACTGAAGTGTGTTGATCGGCACTTGAAAGAGAATCAACGTCACTAAATAGACATGTTTTCTGTCAAAGGATGTGTTGTGCGGATAACAATTTGCAGTAACAACTTTAATCCATGTTGTCGTGTGTCGGAAATCGAAGCCGTAGCGCTTAGGGCAGACTTAATATCTCACTATTGTATCGTTCGGTAAATGACAGAGGATAAGACCGTAATTGTAGTGGGCACGGAATAGGTTCTTTAGTTCTGCCTTTTCAAATTTCTGACAAAAGCCCTGGATTTAGAGAATATTGAATAAATGATTCGACTTGTGTAAGGTATAAATTTCAGCTAATTTTGGTCGAAGGCTTTTTAATACTTGCTACTTAATCCTCAGTTCAATAGCACCATGAGAAACGGCGTTTACAGTTCTAAATGCCACATAATAATTTTATATCGGACCAACATTTCAGTGCTTACTGCTTATGTAAATTTCAAGGTTACAAATAGTTTTTCAGATAGTTTTTCGAATTTAATCGTGAAAAATATTGGTTTTTTGTTGTTGGTTTGTTGCATTAACTGATCAAGCGCAAAGTAATTTTGAATTTTAAGGAGTTTTGATTAAGGACAGGTTATGAGGTTTACGTTATGCTCAGACAAATTGGTAGATCTGGACATTTTGGAATATAAGTCAGGTATATGCTACGACGTTAACGCTACACTTTTACTGACAGAGAAATATATCGGTGATCAGGTGTGAAGAAGTTTATAGCAAATTTTTTATGGTCGGATTTTGACAGGAAGAAAGTCCTGAGACTGCATAATGTACTAGTCTAACATTTCTTTGTCGAATTTCCATGGCACACTGCTGTAAGATTACAGCACAAAATCTGCACAGTGTTGCCATACAGTTTCCACAATGTCCAGAAGCTGGATGTTCTCAGTTCGAGTCTGTCATACTTACACGATTTACAGTCACTGTGGCAGTCATAATATGTCCGTCAAGCATTACAGTTCTGTTGTTCCACATCTGCGTTTGATTTTGCGTCACAAAATTTCATTTGCACACTGGAAGAGGTCAATTTTGTGCGCTAGTTTTTTGACAGATCCCATTGTCTGTCTATGCACATGGTTTAAGGCTTGGCTGAGCCTATTGATTAGAAAAGAGCCGCAGTTGAGTCTACCAAGCAGAAATATGTTCCAATTCATCCATAACTTGATTGTCAGCCAAACCGGGAATTTTCCCGCATTTGTACGATTCATAGGCGCTGTGTGTGAGAATTGCATAATCGCGCCAGTTGATCGATGAGCTATGGGCTTTGCGGCGCATTTGTGTATGATTTTTTCCTGTCGCGGTCATTAATTAGACTAGTGACGCTATCCCTCGAGACACTTGATTTAGTCCAGTACTTAACTTCCGGTTGATGTTTTTCTTCCACTAGGAGTGCAACCATACCCGATCTGTGCCGCGTGATACCTGGAACTTGTTGTTTGACTTTGTGGCCAGTGTCAACGCGGATTTGAATAAATACGATAAGGATGGCGCCTGGCCGGTGTTAATTGATGAATTTGTTGATTGGGTCCGGCCCAAAACGCCCTACGCAGTCCAGCCCGGGGCACGCGGAGAGGACGCGATGGAATATTGAATTTTTAAAAGAGACACATCGTTTTCTTTATAAGTCTTTCTGTTCGGATTTGGTTGATGGTGTACGTATTGATGAACTGGTTCATGATATGTAGGACATCTTTCTGGCTATGAGAATGTCAGCCGTTAACAAGGGATTGCTGGGTATTTGTATGCATTTAATTGGTGCAAGCGTTTAGAAGGTTTTATTTTGTTAGATTGGGGATTACGGTATATACCCGGATAACCCAAAATAATTTTTTTCACTCTAGAAGGAACACGAACCATTCAGCGAAGCTTTACGTGCTTTATAAGTCACAAACTGTTTACACTTTTTCTTGGTTCATGGTTTTTTGAGAGGTGATGTCTTCCCACTAGTAAGGAACTGTTTAACACCTCTTCACAAGACACAAATAATTACTTAAACATCCCAAAAAATGCCGTAGAAGGATCATTATCTTTGAATTTGCTTTTAGGTCTATACAATTTGGTATGTCATAGAAAACGTGTTTTAAACACTCGTTGTCCTTCCCGGTAACTGATAACTTCGCGGGTTCCAGCGCAGCTGTCCCAGTTGAAGGAACGATAATCCTGATGCGGAGAAAGCCGGTGCAGATCATCAGCAACCGATGGGTTTCCTTTAAAGCGCACGATCAGTCCACGAATCTGTACGATTTCGTGTTTGTCTTTTCGCGGCAGACAGCACAAAAGGAAGTGGTACATAAGCTTGGCTTGATTTCGATACGTGCTGTTCCAGCAGCAGTAGATGTACGGATTATAACAAACCTAAAATTCCCGTTATTTTTGAGTCTTCGAATAACATTCATAAGTAAAGCGTTTATTATTCACCAAACCATAAGGTCATCAAGCATTTCTATATATGACTCTTGTTTTTGTTTACGTATTTCGCTATTGCTGCTTCTCTGTACTATCAAAACTAGCTAACCATTATTTTTTATTACAGGTTTATTAATTTTTTATATGAGATTCAGATGAATAACAGACTTTACAGTTGAACTATATCTTAAAGACGCACTTGGAAGGTGCACATATACTCTGTACATTCATAATTCATATGTTGTATAAATACTGTAATCTTGATCTAGAAAAAGGAGGGAGATAGTTTGCTTGTGGAGTTTGAGGTCACAGTTTTGAGTTTCTGCGTAGTGCTCAGAACGATAGTTTTAATTAACTGGTCAGTGGTCACTCAAACTCAGATACAGTGTAATGTTATTAACCATAATTAAATACGAATATTTTGTACTACACGATACGCTGCATACATCTGTTTTCCGTGCAGTACGAGTACTATTTTCTTACACTGCTCATGGCCAACCAATGAAACAGCAGAAAAACGTAGAGATTATGGACGGAAGATCCGTTGTCGTCGGTGCCGAAATCCCGGGTAAGATGGTAAAGGGAAATGGGAAGCCAGGTTAAGGCGAACACCGACACCACCAGCATCTGCAAGCAGATGAAATATCCTGCACCAGAATGCTTGCCGATCCCCTTTCGGCGAACTAGATTCAGAGGGTTTTCCTCACGAAATAAGATTAAAGATTTGCGGCTTACCAGCATCTTAATGGAGCGCTGCCGGTTTCTCACTATAACGCCTTTGTTCTGGATCGTTGGTTGGTAATCGCCAGCGTGATCAGCCCTAGACAGCATTTAAAGATATGACGTGGCGCTAGATTTATTTAATCACGTGTATAATGGGACAGGACCAGAATTACTCATGATTTCCGCTACAGAAATGGGAAATTCTGACAGTCTTAATGTTAGGTATAATCAAGAGTAAAATTAGCCAATGAGCGTGTTCACAGGAAATGGACAGTAATCATCGGATACTATGGCATTTAATTGGCGGTCTGGTCGGTTGACACACCGTAAAAATGGTTGACACACCGTAAAAAGGCGTACACCATACTCGTATATCGTGTCACTGGGACAATTTTTTAAGAAATGTGTTCTTTTCCAGCAGCACTGTACACAATTTATCGTCGAACAAAATTAAATTTCAATGAAGCTAATCGAATAATTTAGATTTCCTTTCGATAGCTTTTAGCTTACTTGTTGGTCAGAAGTTGATGAGTAAACCATAATTTTCTAGAAATCTTTGCATAGCATATTCCGGTGATGGTAAGCGGAATGCAGAATTGTAAGATAAATGTGATTAGCGATAGATACTGGCGCAGTATGTGTCCAGGAGCCGGAAACAACGCCACACACCTGTGCATAATTCAATCACACTGTTAGCTCATTATTTCGCTTTATCGATTAAAAAATTTTATTCTGTGACTGGAAAAAAAGGTGACTACTGCGTTTGCACGTTTGACTGCACAAAAAGTGATTACCTTGTAGACGTCTGGAAGGATATAGTGGTGATGGTTTCATGTACCAAAACATAGGGTACAGCGGCACCCATAGAAAACGCCCAAACGCACCCGACCAGTATAATTCCAGTTTTCATCTGCATCCGTGGTCGCAGTGGGTAAACGGTCACAATGAGACTGAAACAGGAAGAATAATGTAAGCCTTCCCGCAGACCTTGTAAAATATTATCTTGACTTTTTTGCACAGTCAGAATTTTTGGTTAAGAAAGTAACAAACGATTCATTGTTTTTTGTGTTGACAAGTGGCCGCTGACTACGAGTAGACAGATGTATAACAGAAGAATTGATTATCCAATTATTGTTTACGATTTTAACCTTTATTGCGACGTTTTGAGCGACCTACGTAATTTTACTTATAAATATAACTAAGCAGCCTAAATATCTTGTTTGTGATTTGTATGCTCCGCATTCTGCAATTTATAATAATTAACTAAGAAGTATTATCAGTTTTATAAAGCAGTATTTGTTATCATTCTTATACTACTGATTTTCGGTTAGTAGAAGTATGAACAGTATCAAGGTGTGCTCGACAATGAACACTGGTTGCACTACTTAATTACCGATCGACCGCAATGCAGACCATCGTCCAGCTGGAGCAGTATACCGCCGTAACTTGCACAAACGGAATCAGTCGGCACATGACGGAACCAAACGGCCATTCATCCAACAAAACACGTGCCAGATTAAACGGAATATTCAAGATGGTGATCATAATGTCGGAGATTGCCACATTTAGAATGAAGATATTCGTCACAGTGTGCATCCGGCGCATCCGCAAGATAACCACCACAACCAATACATTGCCCAAAAGAGAAGCCAAGATAACGATCAAATAGGCACTTAACAGCACGGCAATGCCGCTGTTTTGCAGCTGCACCGGAAATGGCCAGTCGGACAATTCCAGCATATCTTCACGTGTCCATTCCGCTGAATGGTTAATACGTTCCAGCAACTGATCCAAATCGAGAATTCCGTCATCGTCTGGGTTATCAATCCCGCGAATATCGTATGCACCATGATTTTTTGTCATGAAATCTTTTAGTTGTTGCAACAGATCCGCAGCCGAAGAGTTTGCCATCATATAAACAGTTAAAAATATACTGTTTCACAGCTAAAATTACTATTGGTCAATCAATTTTCATTAGCGGGAACTCAAATAAACAGTAAATTCCAGTGTTTGAGATTCAAGCGGAACACGCAAACATAATTTGTTTAGCTAATAATGGAATAATTTCTACCGATGAAGTGACCAAGGCTGACCGGCAGTATTAATGGAAAATGCCGTGATCAGGCGTAGAAAACCAGAAACCCAGTTTATGACAGACTGGAGCCGCACCGGTATTTATATACATAAAGCAAAGCCACACAGCCGACCGATCCCGTTCCGCCGGGGTTGAAATCCCGTCAATCTTAGAGCTGGACTTCCGGCGTTCGACTCTAATGTAGAAGGCGGGGCTTCGCAGATCCGCGTATTAAGCATATTCGTAGCGCTTCCATTCACAAGGATTACAGTGGATATACTTATTCTTGATATAGTACGGTTACACATACAACGGGCCACTGAGAAGGGATAGTTGATACTTAAGGCTATGCTAATCTAATTTTGAGCTGCTTCCGCGTTAAGTATGTTTGCATTATAACATAGCGCGGTTTGCTGTATCATGTAATTCCTGGTCGACGTACTTCACCGCCGAGCGACCATTGTCAGGCACACGCTCTTCTCCCATACAGTACTCCCGGGGATGTCACATGTTATTATAAGTGGAAAAATGATCTAAACAAACTAATCACATCTGATGATAATAGTCGGGCACAGCTGGAATTCCATAAGTGCTCTGCCTCTCCAGGCTGTTTTCCGGGTCGCAGGAACACCGCTGCTAGACAGTAACGGTTTCCGACAAACCTAATGTCCAAGGTTTATATGGTACACGCTTCTAGGAGTTACATGAGAATTAATGGATTTTTGATGCTAGCACATTTCTAGACTAATTGTCCATCTGACGCAGATATCAACCTTTGTGGAGATTTCTTCTACCTTAATTTGCGGTGCAATATTATATCGCATAAATTATGTCCGGAGCCACAGGCTGCCAGTACAACAACCCTGGTTTTGATTTTTGTTAATCAGAAAACATTTGAAGGATGGTGTCAATCTGCGGCTATCATAAGTCGGTCTACTCGTTACCGGTATAAATCTTTTACCCGTTTGTAAAGAGTTCAAACTTCAAAGGTGTGCAAGCAAAAAACAGTTTTATATCATTGATTATAAGAATAAGTAAGCTCAACCTTTACTCGTAGCGTTATTATTACTGCGCGTAAAGGTGATAAAGCTATGCATTTTCATCCTACTGTTTGCTTCTTTTATTATCTGTGTGTTAGCGAAATGACTCTTAGATTTGTCAGAACAACTACGAATAAAAAATGCCATGAAAAACTGAAACCACGTGTGTCGATGTAACCGGTCCCTCCAACTCGATTTGTCGATTTATAAATTTGGTAACATAACGCAACTTATTCCCTTGTACAATACACCGGCACGCAAATCATCGGCATCCAAGTAGTTTAACGAAAACGAAGACATGAATTACCACTGTAAATGCTCTACCGTAAAACAATCAGATTTCATCAGCATAACTCTTAAAACACAACTCCCACTTGTTGTCCATGTATTGTTGTTGCCGTCTCTGTTCGGCTTGCGCCAGCGCCTCCGCGTAGTTAAGTGGTGCTCCTGTGGCGGAGTGTCCGCTCCTAGATTTGCCGGTTGGTTCTGGCTGCATCATGGCGCCCGTGAAAGCCAGACAGCTGACTTCCCACTCACCAATATCCTTGTTGTAGACACAATTGGCTTCGATGAGATTCTGCATTTCCTTGGGCAGAAAACGATCAATAATCTTCTTGTACAGCTTAATATTCTTTTCGGTTTCGCGAATACTCAGCTTTGACTCTTCTTTTCTTCGAGCGTTTTCCTAGAAACGCAACGACAAATGTCTGATTCGTTTTGCATGCTCATCTTGCGTGCTATCGTGAACTGCACCGTACCTCGCGGATGACCTTCAAATCATTTTTCAACGAACTGATTTCTCCCTTGAGCCGTGCTGCCTCGAAATTCTTAGCGGCAGCGATTTCCTGCAGGGTAACGAATTTCTCTTCCATTTGTGTCCGCTCCGTTTTTTTATGCAGTAAGGTTTTCCGCAGTTCGTCTTCCTTTTTACGTCGTTCTTGTAGTTCTCTGTATAATGCAGCTGAATAAATTGTGTGCATATAAATAACTAATAACCATAACCATGTGAATAAATTTGGAAGTTGTGGCAAGAAAGAGTTCAAGAAAAATGCAAACCGTGATCGCTTGATAAACAAAATCAGATACTCATTACTATGGTTTATGGTGGGATTACGGGATTACCGTGCACTTTCTTCCAGCAAGCGTTCCTGTTCTTCGGCCTTATCAAGCAGATTTTCTCCACCCACAATAATCGTCTTTTCCAAGAGCTTAAGCTTTTCCTGCAGGGCGTGGCGCTCCTTATCAGCCGATTCTAATTCGTCTTCTTTCCGTGCTATTTCCTTTCGCAGTTTCTCGCGCTCTTTTTCATCCAGCGATCTGTTTCTTTCCAGTTCTTCTCGTTTAGCATTTATTTCTTCCTGAAATTTTACATTCCTGATAATGGTCGATCTGATAGCCATTTACGTACATGCCGTCAATTATCCGACCTTTCAATCGACCTTCATTCTGGCCATATTATATGTTTACATTGAAATACGCATTATGTTCCACAGAGTACGAGTACTCGTATGTATGCACCTGCATCTGTAGTAAATGTTGCCGTCGCGTTTCGCGTCGGATTCGCCGTTCATCGCGCAGCTTCTCATCCTCTTCGTTTTCTGCGTCTTCGTCCGGCGCCCCGCTAAGCTGTTGACGAAGGGCTTGGATTTCTTCTTCTAAGCGTTTCAGTACCGCATCTTTAGGATCCTGCAAAAGAACAGAAACAGAATTCATCTCATATCTAGATACAAGTTGTATTTTTTATTTACTAGTTTTATAGTGCCATTATAGTTATAAAAAATGTGTTCAAAAGTGGTTTTTGTTAAGTAGTTTTTGTTGTTTCTGGCCGTTGCATAACAAGTTAAATCAAAAGCTTTGTCGGTAAGCAGGTCTGATCTGTTCCTTTGTACTGGCTTTTGCATTATAATATGATAATAAAATTGATCAACAAATTTAACAGAATAACTTCGTCGGGCTTGGTGTTGCACACAGATAAATAACTGCCGACTAAAGCGCGTGACCTCGTTAATTTTAGCAGCGTTCTTAATCCATTTGGCTCTGGTTGCATATCGCAGGGTGTTGGCGGTTTCGTCGAAATTGTAGCTGGCCGGTCCTATATTGGCACACATAACTGTTTTGGAATTCCCACCCAAAGAGTCTTGCAGAATCCGCGTGAGCTTAGAATTTCGGTACGGAATGTGCTGACTTTTCCCATCCGTTAAAGCCGCAATAACATTGCCTAGGGTGCTCAGACCGTGATTGATTTTAGAGGCTTCCTTCAGACGCTCATCGGTAGCTTCCGTTTTTCTACGAATATGGAGAAATATATCACCGTATGTTTTGTAATAAACCGGCTAATCAAAAAGGAGTGGTAATTTACTGCTGTCCACCTACGATTGTCTCTCGGAGCCGGCTAAATCGACGAGATTTAATTTTCCCACGCATATATGCAGACGTCCATCTGGACGGCGTTCGCTTCGCTCGATCGTAATACTGAAAATCGCGTGTGATCGCGAGCTCTGTTCATTCATTTTTGTTGCGGCCGTGACCCGACTCTTTTTTCCCAACAAGAGCACTTTTTCTAAATCATCCGCAGAGTGAACAACTTGCTCGTTCAGCCCTTTAATGTACACACCTGAAAAATTAATAAGCTCACTACAGTATAACAGCGGCAATGATCAGAAGGAAGTTGCTGTACAATACTTAGCAAAAAAATAATTAACAACATTTTCCGCAAAAATACCTTTTTCACGATCTTCTTTCACTTCCAAATTATTTCCTACACCGCGGTCTTTATCAGATTTTTTTACTAGTAGATCTCGGATCTGCTCCTTGTAGATCTCGAAGTACGATGCGCGAACCAGAAACTTTTGATATCCTTCGGCTTTGGCAATGTGTCCGAAAATATGGGCAAATGCATTCGGTATTATTCCTCGCAGTTCCGGTCTTTCTGGAACGCCTTCCATTGTAAATGTTTTCCCTGCAAAACAATTTTCGTACGCACACAGTGTAACAAATGCAACGTTTTTGCAACGTTTCTTTTATTAACAATTTGAAACTTAAAATAATCCAGGAAAGCCTTACCGCTGCCCGTCTGTCCGTATGCGAAGATAGTGCCATTGAATCCTTCCAGAACATTATCAACAATCGGCCGGGCGACTTGATTGAAGATGTCCGGCTGTTTCGAGTCGGCTGGGAAAACATTGTCAAAAGTGAAAGCCTTGATACTATCACTGGAGGGGTCCTTGAGGGCAACGGTTTGCTGGACGGAATTCAACTGCACAATTATGGATTGTTTCGCATCCAGTTCATCTTTGGACGGTGGCCGACATCGCACAACCACGCGAATGTTTTCACTGGACTCTGGAGGGTTATTTTCAGACATCCTTGGTTTCTGTTCAGTTCATGCAGAAAAATAAATAATATTATTATATTAATACCTAATTTCAGTACTGGCACTGCTAACGTTGATACTCGGCGTCTCGCGATAAATTCTCCCACATATAACTGGATGATGGTAAATCAATAAATCCAGCTGCAATTAGGCTGTGTGATGTGCTGCTGGTGCGTATGTCAAGCTCACGCACGCTATTTGACAATAAGAAGGTTACGTATAGAAGTACTGTATATCTATATTTACATTCGATGTATACAGTTATAAGCATCTCCATAATTTCAGTAAAGGTAAATTTGTAAGTACTAGTATTTACTCCAGCTGATCTGACCTTTTCCGTAAATAGCTCTTAAAACTATTAATGATTTTGCCATTATCTTTCATTACTCATTTTATCAGGCCCTTTTCGTTGTTTCTTTTCCATATTTCAGCTAGAGAAATGCTAAAAAATTTCAACAAGAAGTTTTACTTATGCGTTTATCAGTATTAATTGTAACACAACTTGTGCTTGCTTTAATTGGTCTACGTCGCGGTAATTTACTTGCTATCGAACACGATATTATGCTGTTTTGTAAGAATTGATCCAATTAGCCGTAAACTGAATAATGCTTTTAGATTTATTTTTATTTTCCAGGATACATCCAAACATTCTGTTTGGATCATTGTCATAGTTCCATTACCAAACTCTAGATAAATAATTATTATGACAGTATGTGCCTCTACAAACCGCATTAGTGTTTACATCCACAGTACGAGTATAATATCATATTCGTTATTTGCACTCGTATTATGGCTACGAGTAGTACACTTGCAATTTTGCATGTTCGCGGCAAATTTCTTGTCGCTACGAATATACATACCATATTCTGCATAAATTTCGTGGAGTGTTCTTTGTGGAAGATGAACTTATAAATAGCCGGAGGCAATGCTTGACCGCTACTCTAGAATATGAACATCTTCGGCCGTATAATCGCACGAAAGGATTTCCACAAGATTTTGACAAAGAGATTCACAATATTTAACGTTCATATGCATCGTCCGTTTTATAAGTTACGGCGTAGTGGTCAGTGGTACTATCATATTATACTAGTGTCAGCACGGCTGGATCTGTGCTGGCATTTCTGGCTTTGACGCGCGTAAAATAAATAGTCTAGAAATCTAACTTTTCTAGTAATCTTAAAAAGTTTTATATCTTAACGTTATATCTACGTTAGCACGTATCTGTCAAAGTATTAGGTCAATACAACAACCAGAATGTCGCCAATCGTCAGATGTCGATTATTGTTAATATTTTCCTTGGTTGTGGGTTTGTTTTTGACGGTAAGATATCTTGCATGATTCCAGTAAGAGTACTCGTACTTAATTAATTTGATGAATAATCTTCTCATACTTCCTATTCAGAGCGTAGAATCTACCGCGGAACTGGTCAACAGTTCAAACGAAGGAAGTGATCTCAAAAGTAAGCAAGCGCTTATACAAGTTACACGATCGACACATGAGGTCAATTATTTTCCATATAAATTATTTATCGGCCACCTATTTTGTGGTCCAGGTAATACTGTGGTGGAATGCAAAGCCGATGACGATTGTTCCAGCTTGTACCCCTTGTCCAAAATTAAACTGCAGTGCTCCAACAATACATGCACCTGCAGTGGATCCACAATAAAAGTCAATAAGAGATGTGTTGGTAAGTGAGAAATCAAAAACAAATGCATGTTACAATGTCCAAATTAAATAAGTAATGAGCTAAATACTGACGTATCTGTATATGGTGCGGAAGATATATAATGCTTTGATTTGATTTATATTATTTCCCTACTGTAGATGTTCTTGGACTACCTTGTTCGGCAATCGGGCACTGCGAATATTATGTCGACAACGCTATATGCGATCTGACCGGCTCTGGACGTTGTGTTTGCAAAAATGGATTTTTCGAGGAAGAAGAATGGTTTTTCCGTTACCGAAAATGCAGTCGTACGCGACTTTAAAACTACGAACAACAGAAATTGTTTTAAAGAAAGAAAGTTAGATTTCTAAATTAGAAGGGTTAAATTAAAGACAGTTGAACTTTTGGATTACGTATTGGTAAATTGTATGGGTATGCTTTTATCACTGCAGCAATTCTCGGCCGACCTTGTGACAGCAACGCTAAGTGTCATGGAATCATCAACACCGAATGCGTTGCGGAACCAGATAAACCCGGACAACAACAGGCCTGCCGATGCATTGCTGGACTGCGCCCAAACAATCCCCGTGACAGAAAACTCGCGCTGAGGGAATCGCCTCAAAAATGGTTTTACATGCGGGACGAAGATGACATTTCCACGTCTTGCGAAGGTAAATATTTTTTTCTCGGCTTTCCGAAAATACACTGATTATAAATGCCAGCCATCAAGCATGCACACACATTTTTTGCCTTATTATATTCCAGTGGCAATCGGCAACGACTGTGAATCCGATTCTTGCTGTTCCAAATACGTCGAACACTCCCACTGCAATATCAGCGAAAAACTGTGTGCCTGTAACAAAGGATACGTTTTCAGTCCTCTTAGTAAACTTTGTCAAAAAATAGGTAAATCTAACTTGAATACTGTGATTAGTAAACGGTCATAATCATAATAATGATGCACGAAATACTGTTTTTTGGTATGTACGGGACCGAACATGCCCATATTCCAATTTTCGCAGAACTGGTCTATCATAAGCAAAAATCACAGCCTCTTATTACCCCGGTTGCGGGTAATTTTCATCAACTGAAGACCTTTTGCAACGACACTTTCTGCGTGGATACCACGCCACATTTCCATCCGACCACACTCGGCCAAGGCGGCAAAGCCCGTTCCGTTCTCAGCAACCAGTGCTTCCTGATGTATTTCCCCTGTCTTGTGCAGAATTCCGTATGCACACCGCATCCCTCGAATCCTTACCAGGGATATTGCGCATGTCAAGCGGGATATACGGCTGATGGCGAGGATGCTTGTGTGCCTGATAAAGGCGATACAGTCGGATTAATTCCTCCCGATACCGAAGAATCGGCTGTCCAAAGCACGACGGCGGAGACTGAAATTACTACCGTAAGCCCAACGGAATCAGGGACAACTGCAGAGGAGACAACCAGTACTACGTCGTCGGATAGCTTCGGTATGCAGCTAAACAAAAACGATGGTCTTCCAAACAACGGTGATTGTAGCGTGCTAGCCGAATCGAATTACTAAACAAGTCGAATTACTATTACATACAGTTGCAAAAATTATTTTGATTGTGCTGAACACATTGTACACTTGATTATCATTTGACGTAAGCATTAAGTACGTTACCAGATGGCAAATACCAAAAGGTCATGGGATCAGTTCAGGTGCCTGGTGCAAAATTTGTTTTAATTTATAGCATCTCTAAAATATAATTTTAGAACTTAGACGTATTTGCCAAAATATTAGCCTTTTTGTATGTTAGATTGTGGTAAACAATCATTTGTGAAATATTAATGGTCATTAGAAACTTCCACTGAACCGGCGCATGTGAATCCATTTCCGGACAAGGTCAGTTGCGGCCGCCCGGGCACCACGAAATCATCTGAATTTGGATTAAGCAGCTATTTCAGTGTTCGTACAAAAAAGTCCGTGGACAGCGATTCACTGCACAGGATTGTTGGTGGTCAGGATGCATTGCAGAACGAGATATGTTGGCAGGTATAAAAATTAATACACTGGATCGATTTATGCACTTTTCCACCTGGTCTTAATCTGCGACATTTGCTTTTCCCAATTAGGCAGGCGTGATATCTTTTGCATCCGATATGCAAAGTTACGAATACTGTGGAGGAACGATCCTAAGTGAACGTTGGGTGCTAACGGCTATGCACTGCGTTGTTGAGTAAGTCTTCAAAGTCATTGTCAAAGAAACTGATTTCCTACCTACATTAATTACATCTTATGGAAATTTCTAATCTGAACGCGCAGGAATACAGATGTTGCTCAACCAACACCTATTAGTCGCATTTTTGTATCCATCGGTGCGACTAATTTCCCGGCATCTGCTCTATCGACGGGATCCGTCTGCGGATCATACTTAAAAGTCCAAGAGGTCATCATTCATCCAACGGCAGCATTCATTCAAGACGAAACGGATCAGTTTGTTGGAATCTCTGACGATCTTGCTCTTATCAAGCTGGAAGGAACTTTGAATTTTTCCTTGCCATGCATTTGCCCACTATGCTTGACGCCAAAACGCCCAAAACCCGAAGAAACTTGCATTGTTTCCGGTTATGGATGTCAAGATGCAGCTTGCGAGTCTCCGCCGCCGCATAGTTTAGCGTGGCTCAAAGTAAGTACAGCATAAAACATCTCGCCGTAATTTTAATCAGTATTACTGCTTGCCGCTGCAATGCTATAATAATTATTACAAGAAACCGCTGCGGCTTCGCCTCCGCGTTTCTTGTGATCCACGGCCGCTTTGAACAAATCATTCCATTTACAGTAATTCGTTAGTAAATTCACTAACTGCCTTAGCAGTTATTGTAGTACTTCTTAAGCAAAGAGTCAAGCTCAGTCCCTCACTCACCTAGCGATTTTGTTCACTGGACAGTGGTGGTAGTTCAGTCACTTACTCACCTGGTTTCGTTCACGGGACAATGATGGTAGCTCGGTCACTCATCCACCTAGCGATTTTATTCACTGGACAGTGGTGGTAGGTCAGCCACTGGCTCATCTAGCAATTTTGTTCACCTAGGGTAGTGATTTATTGCTCGGTCATCAGTCAGCTAGTGATTTCGTTTTGTTCACTGGACAGTGGCGGTAGCTGGGTCACTCACTGCCTTAGCAGTTTTGTTCACTGGTGAGAGTAGACGACGCATAGGATGTGATTCCCTGTTCTGTTTCTCCTCATCGGCATATCCGATCGAGTTGAGTGTGTTTTTTCGATTATGATATCATTCGGATATTATTCTCCTGATTTTTTCCCTGACTTTTACGATTTTCCTGCGCATTACCATTCGCGCAGATTTGTGCCTTCCGATGATGTTTTTGTATACGAATAAAACCGCAGTTTTATTCCCGTTTGTCTTTTCCGTCTGATCTTCCCATTACGGGACCGTTATACACGCCACCACGTGTAACATGGGGGAACGCAAGCCTCTAGTTGTTACCACGTTGCTTGAGCCTACCAGCTCGCAACGAGGAATAATCTAGGAACCATTATACGAAGCACTCAATCTTCCGCATCTTCCCTTCCGATTTTATCCTGGAACCGATATTTAATTTTGCCATTTGCCATTTATTTCCTCCAACGGAAAGAAACCACCGAGTCAAAACCGCGAAGGTTTCCGAAGTTTTTCCCTACATTCACGTAGCGTCTACCGCGGACTCGAGAAGAGGCGGAGCCAGTGACCGACCAATCGGATTTGAGAATTACCCCGCTCGAAGTAATTCGAACCAATCACATTCACGATTCATCGGCGTTCAGAAACCATGTCATCGAAGCCAACGCGTAACAAGAAGGAACCCGTCCGCTACGGTTTCGAACCTGCACCGATCAGCCATCCGCGTCCGTCGTCTATCATGTCCATGGCCGATAAAGAACCACAGTCTTTTCGCCGTCAAGATCAGCACGCACGGAACACACCGGGCCAGCAAGTAAGTGCAGTCTCCAGTCCTAGGATGAACCCCGAAGCTATCGTTACCATGGCTGACATTCACGCCGAACCTCCGCGAGCGCATTCTCAACAATCCCGCCGATCATCCGACTCTTCAATCGTGTCCATACAGAGCGGCAAATCATTGGCCACAGTCCGAAATTTCCTTTCATCCGCCATCAAAGCCGCGGGCAGCGCCATTTCTGCGGTGTTGCCAACCGCCCAGAGCCGTTCGTCCATCACGAAGGAAGAACGTGTTTTCCAGGACCAGTCCGCGTACATTGTCCAGCTCCAGGCCCAGAATGCGAAGCTGGCCGCCGAGAACTCCCGTCTGTCCGATAGCCGCAGTAACTCACCGATGGCAGAAACAGTAGTTTCCCGACAGTCTCCGGAATACCGCGCCAACCGCCCCGAGCGGTCACCAACAGCTAACCAGCATCTGATGGTGCTGGATCCGGATCAACTTGCGGACACCTTGGCCAAGGCTTTTGAGAAGGAACGGCGCAAGAAGTCGCCGCAGACGCCGAGTCCAACACCGCCGTTGCGCCATGCTGCCGCTGAAACGCGTCCAGTCTACATCACCGAAGCACCGCATCAGCCCATACCGAAGTCTAACCTAAAGTTTGTGAAGCCGCCGACGTTCGATGACTCCGACATGGACATTCAGCACTGGTTCGTGCTGTTCGAACGCGCTGCCAAGGCAAATCAGTGGACCGATACTGCGAAGCTGGCAGCAATACCATCCCATTTTGGAGGTCAAGCGTTGAAGGTGTTCATGCGCATCGATGCCCAGAAGCCGGACCGAACGTACACCGAGTTGAAGAAAGTCCTGATCGACCGTTTCCATGACCAGGACCGTGCATGGAAAGCCCGTTTGGCTCTACAGGAACGCCAGTACACCAGTTCAGAGACGCCGGACCAGTACATCGAGGCCATTCAAGTGTTGACCTTTGCCGTCAATCCGGACATGTCGGAGTTGGAAGTGGTCGGGTTCCTGACCAACGGCCTGGCCGGCCAACCCGAACTGTACCGCAGCATCGTGAGCTTTGCACCGGCCACCATCCACGATTTCCAGACCCGCATGCGGCGAGCCGTGGCCATTGACGAAACGCTGAGTCGGCGATCAAAACCCAGTTCGGAATCGAAGCCAGAGAAGCAGCCATGGAAACCGAAACCGTCGTTTTCGGCCCGCACCAGCGAACCGGTGCCGACACCGGCAGAGAAGCTAAGCCGGCCGAGCAGCCCACATCGTCGTGCCCACCGCAGCCACCAAAGCCAGCCCGTACCAGCGATCAAGACCGACGTCCGTATCAGCAAAAACCACCGAAGTGCTGGTTCTGCGGTGTTCCGGGTCATCACAGCGATCGCTGCCCAACCAAACCAGCGGATTTTGGACCTGTTACGGAGAAAGTGTACCTGAAGAGTGACCAGCCAAAAAACCACTAGCGGCGACGCCAGTGGGTCACGTCAACGCCGTATCTCCTAACGATCCCACACCGGAACCACCACCTTCCGACCTAAACTTCGAAGTCCCAATGATGTCTCATGAAGCGTTTGTGCATGATGGCAAGCCGAAGATTTCCACGATGTTACGCCAGTCTGTCACCATCAACGGAGTGTCACGCCCAGTTGTTCTCGACACTGCCGCCAGTACTTCCATCATGCCAGCCTCCTTTTGTACCGATCTGCACGCTATACCGAAACCTCTTCCCGAACCTCACCAGTCGTTTAGTGTGACCGGTTGCAACGGAGATACCCGGACAGTTGGGACCACATGTGCCGACATATCTGTCAATCTCTTCGGTGAAACGTACCCGCACACTATTTTCCTCCGGGACGACAATGCGATGCCCGAAATCATTTTGGGCATGGACTTTATGGAGGGTAAACCGTTTCAAATTCGCTGTCAGGACCGTACCATTGTCCCGGAACAAGCTGCACTCCCAACCGACTACCAAGCTGACCTGCGAGAACGCTCATCCAGCTATCGCACTGCGACTGACCAACAGGATTATTCTGTGCCTACAGAACCCGAATCCGCCCAAAGGTCGCCAGCCGCACACGATGTGCTAAGCCCCTGCAGCGTCCAAGCAGTCTCGATCCCGGTGGTCCTTGCCGAGGAAGTCACAGTGCCAGCCATGTCCGGACTCGCGATCCGATTAGCATTCCCTTCAACCACCGCCAATGATGGTGACTACGTGTTCATTCCTTCCCGCACGCCATTTGAGCCGTCCGGCCACCCGCAGCACAACGACGCGCTCTCCCGCGGTGATATCCTTCTCGAACACGCCATTGTAACCGTCCACAATGGAACCGCGTACACGTTCGCAAAGAACTACTGGGACCGTGACATAACCCTCCGTGGATCCACACCGCTTGGAACTTTGGAGTTGTACACGGAAAACCCTGACGCACCGGTCCTCTCATTCAGTGTGGACAGCAACCCAGCGGCGGCAGACTCTGCCTACGAGCCCGTTTCTCCGGCCTTGGAGGAACAACTCCGCTCCATGATCATCAATCCACGGCTGACGGCCAGCCAGCGCGACCGATTGTTCGCAGTACTACGTCGCCGCTGCCGAGCTTTTCCGTCACCGGGCCGACCCGTTGGTTGCACCACTGCCACCGAACACACCATTGAAACCGGCGACTCACCGCCAGTCCACCAACAGCCGTACCGCACCTCGTGGACGAACCGTGCCTTCATCCGCGAAAAGGTCGCCGAAATGAAAAGAGATGGAATCATTGCCGACTCCACCTCACCGTACGCTGCACCGGTCGTCCTCGTCGACAAATTCGAAAATGAAAAGATGACCAAACGATTTTGCGTCAACTACAAAGGACTGAACGCCCAGACAGTCAAGGACGCCTACCCGATGCCACGCATAGCCGACGCAATCGACGCTATTGGACCGGCCGCTTGGTTCGTTACGCTCGACTGCATGTCCGGCTACTGGCAAGTTCCGGTTGCCGAGAAGGACCGCCACAAAACCGCCTTCTGCACCCAGGACGGACTGTACGAGTTCGTCCGGATGCCCTTTGGGCTCTGCAACGCTGGAGCCACATTCCAGAGGATGATGAACACGGTGCTCGCCGGCGAACTGTGGATAACCTGCATCGTCTACATCGACGACATCCTCATCTTCGCCGCGACGTTTGAAGACCTGTGCGCTCGCCTCGACCGCATCTTAGAACTCCTAGAAAAGTATAACCTCACCGTGAAGCCTTCCAAATGCCGGTTTGCTTTCCAGGAAGTCGAGTTTCTCGGCCACATCCTGTCTCCAGACGGTGTTCGACCAAACCCGAAAAAGATTTCCGCGATTGCCCAGTTTCCAGTACCAAAATGTCTGAAAGACGTCCAGCGATTCGTTGGAATGGGAACGTTTTACCGGACGTTTATCCCGAATTTCTCCACAATTGCCGAACCGTTAACCCGTCTCACCAAGAAAGGGCTTAAGTTCCAGTGGGGAGAAGACCAGCAGACTGCGTTCGAATGTCTGAAAACGGCTCTCAGCTCAGCGCCAGTGCTGGCCCATTTCGACCGGGATGGACCACGTCCGCAGCTGGTGACAGACGCGTCCAAGGACGGCGTTGGAGCCATCCTTAAACAGGACGGCCACATCATCGGAGCCGTAAGCCGAAAGACCAACCACTACGAGCGGAACTACGAAATTACTGCTCTGGAGTGCCTCGCCGTAATCTACGGAGTCGA